GGACCCAAGCCGCCTCACGGGCCCCTCTCAGGGCTGGGGAACAGCAAGACGCGCCCCAAATGAGGAAGGGGACGGCTCGGCGTACCAAGGACGTCAGGGTGACTTTTTGGCAGGCCGTAGTATTCCCGGCGCCTCGCGCTGTATCGGGTACTTCAGCCCTGGGCCCACAGGTACTTACTCGCAAGCTCGAGGTACCTGCCACCCAGGCGGATGGGGCCCGGTCGGTTGCATTATGCAGTTTCCCGGCCACATGGAGAAGAACCTGGAGTGCAGGCTAAAACGGCGCTATTCCGAAAGAGAGAGGCGTTCCTGCATTAGCAATTTTGGCTCTTTCCTTCCAAGGTTCCGGGCCGGGACTACGTAGCCTGAAATGCCTGCTTGACTCTGGCTGATTTGCTTGTGCAAGATGGCATGCCTTCTTTTTTTTTTTTTTTTTTTTTTTTGGGGGGGGGGGGGCGTGTGTTCTTATTGTTGCTGCTATGACTGCACAATTGCAGCGATGTCACCATACTGTCTATCCGTTCCACTCAGCTTTCGCACAGAGGCATCTGCAAAACAGGCTTGCTCATATTTAACCCATTAACCTCCGTGCTGGGTCACGTAGTTCCGTGCCGGTGGGCTGGACCCCCTTCGCAGCTGCTAAAATCCAAGTTAATATGCTGCCAGGCCTTGATTCTATGCAAGGCTGAGGAAGATCAGTCACACGAAACAGGAGGGCGCAGCAAGCCGCCGCGCGCTGGTCGCCGTCGTCCCATCCCCCATCATCAACTCAGATGCAAAATGAAGCAACTAATGAAATCAGTCGTCTGGAATTTGTGCGTCTGCCGATTGTGACAGCTACTCGGAATGCTTCCAATTCGCCAATGCCCAAAAGCATGTGCCATCGTATCATCGAGCTGCCGACCGGAACAGATATCCACACTCGCCGGTCTAGGCCGCAAAGGTTCTTGGACGCGGTCATCTTTCGAATTGAGGGTCGCCTGTGCGCGCAAAAAAAAAAGCAAGGTCGTCGTATGCTTGTGACCTCATCGAACAAGCTCGTCAGAACCACCTCGTGCCTTCAAATTCGCATCCCCATGAGTTCTCTGTTGTGGTGGAGAATGCTGCTCAATTGAGTCGTCACATCGGAATGGACTCTCTTGCTCACCGTGTTCCCACACACGCACCTCATGGAACGGTGGCTCCGTGGCCCCCGGTTGAGCAACCAGTGCCAGGGTGATCCACCGTGGGTAGGTCGCCCAGTCTTCGGTGTAGTCGCGAACATTCACACATCATCACAGACGTGCTGCCGGGGATTCAGCGGCACTATCAGACTTTTCTGTGGTGCGCGAAAGCGGGCGCGGCACGAGCAGGAGGAGCACAGTGCAACAGGTATAGGCAGGGACCTGAGGTCTAGCCTTGATGCTTTCACGGATTTTCTTTGTTGACCGCACGTGGCAGGAGAGGCTCGGAGCACCTTGGGCCATGGCACGATTCCACGAAGGAATTGCCGAGAACCATGTGTGAAAGCAGCGCGTCGGGGGCGACGATCTGGGGAGACAAGATACCACCTTGACCAACGAACCCTCCGTGCTACCACCAAGGGGACGCAAACTTCAGCCTTGACAGCCTTGCCGACGGGGCAACACGGATCCATGCCGTGCTGTCACCAAGCAACTGTGAAGGCCTGGTGGGCTGGCACCCAGTTGACAGTTGCGCCAAGTGGGCATCTTCGGCGAGGACGAACAGGTGTGGAGCGCTCAGAGACTGTGGGCTACTCCAGCCCGCCGCTTCGAGCTTCTGCCCCTGCCGCTCAGTGGGCCGCCGCGAAACCTTCTGGAAAACTGTTTATCATTTCCCCGGCCAGCAGCCCTGTGAGGCAATCGCGATTGACCGTATTGACGATAACGAGTTGGGGTTAATTTCACAGTCTGTCATGAGTCCATTTACACGAAGTTACATGCAGACCCACCGGCCACGCGACTACAATGCACGGTAGTGGGCCGCACCCAGCACACGGCGCGTTGCAAACCGGGCCCTGCGGCACTGCCGAGAGAGCGGCTAGGCCAGCATACCTAGGTACGGTGGGCCTCCAGACCAGTAGCAAATCTCACCGAGAAGGCTCGGTGAGCAAGGGTCAGGCACTGAACCATTCCCTCGTCCGTTGTCCACACCGAAACGCTGGGCGGTCGAGGGCCCTCGCTTGGTCCCGCAAACGGCACGTGTGGGTAGCGTGTCCGAAATGCCGTGTCCTCGCCCTCGCCCAGCCAGAGCCGTCGGCAGTGGGCTTGGCTGAGCGCGACGTGTGAGTTGCATAGAGCTAGGACATCGACAGCACTCAGCCTTGCTTGTTGCTTGGTCCCTCTGGCCTTCACCTGGGACAAGGATCTTCAGGGCTTTTGTGAGTCTTCTAAAAGCAGCCGCCTGCCAAGGCAAGGTTCCAAGTAGATGACACCTCTCTGGCACAACAACAACGGACATCGGCCATTTAGCGAACACTAGGGAAACAAATGTGCCGGGCGCCTCTGGGCCGGAAGCCCAGCCGCGCTGTCAGAGGTGCATGAGAGATCCCTGTCGGCTGGCGACCTCGTGGTTTCCGGGGAACCATCCGGCCTCGCATGCCACTCCACTTGCCGCCATGCGGTTCATCTTTTCTCGAAGGTTGCTAATTTGGAAGGAAATACGGAGCGCCACCGTTTATGTGGGCATAGGGCAGGCGTCTGCCACGAACGGGGGCTGGGGATCCCAATGCAGCATGAGCACGTTGCTGGGATAAGGCTGGCTTTCGGTCGAACCTGTTAATGGGAAACATCGACAATTGCTGACGTATTGCAACAGGGCGACGCCCACCGGGTCACTCGGTGCAACATACTTGTTAGGCCTCTATAGTACTTACGTTATGCGCATCACACGTGGTTTGGCCTCGGCTCCGAACGGTTGCATTGCAGGCGGCCCTCTGGAAACGGTCCTTGCTGGCTGCCGCAGGGCGAGGGCGATCAAATTGACAGGCAGCCCAGCCAGCTTTTGGGGCCACCGGGTCGCATTAGAAGCCTGGGTTAGGTGTCCGGCTTGTCTCCCCCGACGTTTGCAACCCTGTTTCGCCAGCTCCTGCAACGAGACGCAACTTTGGTCGCGACACGAGGTGGACGGGGGACGGGGAGAGGATGTCACAGCCGTGACTGCCATGCAGTACCATCCGGCCTCAATGGCAATGGATGCCCGGAAGCATATGGATTGCCGATTGCCATATTCGAGCAACCTTCCCGTGTGTTGCTTGACTTCCAACTGATCTCCATACAGAGATTATCTGAAATTCCCGGACTTCACTTTGTAATGCCTATTCCGACTCTCGCAAATGATGCTATGCAAGCAGGCCTCGCACTGCATTATTCAGAGCACATGATTGTGGTTTCAGAGTCAGCTGTAAGAAACCCCTATCACCGATTCAACGACACCCACAGATACCGAAAGCCTCTTTGCCTCCACGATTCACAGAGGAGAGCCGACGCCCCCTTGCTTCGTGCTGCCGACTGCACCGCCTTCGGGTCCCCACGGGCATTGGAGTCTAGACCGCGATTCTCCCGCGGCGAGAGTTCCCATTGCGGTGGCACAAGCCGACCGCTCGGGAATGCCTCACCTTGCTCTAGAGTCTGGCTTTCAGGGTCAAGGTGAGCGGGCTCGGCCTACACATCCGCACGAGCGACGCGAGTCAACTTGAAGGAGAAGCCCAACCTTCATCAAAATGTCAAGCAAGACGGGCTGAATCTGTCAATCAGCATCGCGTGCGTCTGATTCGAGAGTGCCGGGTCGAGTCAAGATTGGCCGCCCGGTATGGCGGCTTTTGAAACGCTGCTACAGGAAAACCTTAACCTCTTCAGCCCGGCGCGCACAGAGCCTGGGGCCGTTGAATACGGGGATTTTCGCAGATTTGGGTTTGGAGGGAGCTCCCCAGCTCCCCTCTGGCGGCATGCAGCATGCAGCATGTTCCAAGGTTCTAGCGCAAGCTACCTGGGGTGTATAAGTGCGAAAGCTTCATGTTCCCCGGTGGTGCCATGACAACAAGATTCTCCAGGGAACAGACCCACGAGTACGACGAAGCTTGGGCTGAGTGAGGCCAGAAGCGCTCGGGCCGGAGCAATCTCATATACACCAAACACCAGAATCAAGAGAGAGTTCTGGGCAATCGAGATCTAACCGTATTGTTAAGCTTGCGGACGCAGCTCGAGATGTACTCATTGAACTGGCGATGCGATGTAGTAACCATCAACTTTTATAGCTTTTAAAAGCCTTTGAACATCCTGGGGTGCAATCTTAACATCATGAGCACTCTACAAGAGGTGGGTTCGTTTTCGTAATCGCCACATCGAAGAGAATTCTTCCATTGTCCAGCTGACCGATATATTTCTACATTGGCCAGGTTGGTCAATCCCAGTCGCTGTGGGAGAGTGGTTGATCCGTTGCCCTGCTATTGCATAGAAATATGTAAGGCAATACCTTCTCGTGCGCAGCTTTGTCGGCGACGTATTTTTTTTTTTCTTTTCTTCTTTTTGTTTTCCAGAATAGTGAAAGAGACCATCCAGATCAAATCGAGTCCGACGAAATACTTGAGTCGTTTTGGGGCGTTGTTGACCTGCTCAGGACATGGGTCGCGGGCGTGATTGAGTTCGGGTTCTGGTAAAGGGGGAGGAGGGGTGGGTTGCCTGCCCCACATTGGTTAAGCCGGTTGGTGACGCCTCCCTCCACATGGCACCTACCACAGTAACGGTGCCTAGGTAGGTAGTGCATCGCAGCAACGTACGTACGTGCGTACAGTAACTAAGCTCACATCTGAATTCCATCCAAAAGACCGCCACGACAGCATCTCACTCACCTCACTCAAACAGACGACAAACAATTGGCCACACCAGACAGACCTGCGGTGTCTCCAGCGTGATCCCAGTGGCCGAAGCCAGCTCCTTTCGACGTCCGGCTCCTCGCCCCTACGGTGACCCCTCAACACCATCACCGCCCGCCTCGCAACCATGTCCATCATCCAGCAACACACGTCCGCGTCGCTCAGCGACGCCTGGCGCACCATCGACATCGACGCGCTACAAGAGGACTCGTCCGTCAACTTCGACACCTCGACCCTGCACCCACCCCTGCCCGAAATCGGCGAGGCCGAGGTGCGCTCGCTCGCGGGGCAGGTTAGACAGCTGCTGCGCGGCGGGGACGCGGAGGGCGCGCTGAGGGGCTGCCTGGAGATGCCGGTGTACAACGGGAACGAACTGGCAAAGGTACGACGAGCCCTGAGGATCCCGCCTGGTCCTCCTTCCCCGAACGTCTGGTCGGAGTGGGCTCCTTGGGAAAGGGGACGCCGCCCCCCGTGTGGGGACGGCCGCCGTTTGGGACAGGATGAGGATCTCTTTTGTTGCTGACGCGTGATTGTCATAGGACGCACACCTGCAGACCGTCGTTGAGGTCCTCCAGTCGATCAAGGCGAGCGAGATGACGCATGCTCCAGCGCATATACCAGGGCGACGGCGGTAGCGAGCTGTTGGATGTGCTCATGAAGTACCTGTACGTGGTGGTCCCCATTCGGAAGTGCCGACTTCTACAACATGTCCCCTTCAACACACGAGAGTCCCACGTGGAGCGGTGAGCTGACCTTGGGCATCTTGTCCTTCGACCAGGTACAAGGGCATGGCATCGACATCCGGAGGTAGCGCTCCCCGGACCCCCACCAGAGTCACACCCCAGGCCACGGGGTTCAGCCAGGTCGGTGGCCGACCGGGCGCGGCGAACGAGTCCGCGGGCGCGGGTATGAGTGTTCTGCTGAGCTGGCACGAGAAGGTGGTCGATGTGGCTGGGCTTGGATGCATAGGACGCACGATGACGGACTGGCGGAGGGTGTAAAGATGGTTACATGGTTTACTACAGCAGGGAAAGGCTGCCTCGAAGCTGACGGCTTCGTACAGACCGACGAGGGAACATCGTCTTCGTGCCTGAACAGCGCACGTTATCGAGGGGAGCAATGCATATTCTAGAGACACGCAAAGGCTTTGTCCTGGCAGACTACATTGTCGTGAGATCCACATCCGACGGCATCTGACAATCTGAGATCCACCATCATGTGCGCGCCCAAGAGAGATGCTTTGCTTTTTGATGAGAACAACCCAGCCTTCGAGTACCGACCGAATCTTCGTTGATAATGGTTGACACCCACAACTACCTAGGTGGCTTGCAATAGCGAACACCAAGCTCGCCGATGTCCACAGCTGGGAAGCTTGCAAGGACGAGCACGACAGCACCCAAATCACCAACATCACTAGTGCCAGTATCAATCCATTCCAGCGTCGATGAACTCCGTACCAAGCAGGGGCGCTCAGTTTGAGGTAGCATGGCTGCAGCACGCCTGTGGACAACCAAGGCTCATGGTAAAGCGTTGACCGGTTAGCCTTGATGCCAATAATGTACGTATTATAAAGAAGTATTGAGGCTTCAGAAGTGAGCCCACCAAGCTTTGTCCGTAGGTAACACACAGAATACGCATCGGTGGCATGCCTGGATGTGTAATTGCCCTGAAAAACACCTGGACTGGCGAGGCGATTCTTTGTCCGTTTGTCTGGCCGGCCTCCCACTTCCCTTCTGGTCCTCGTCTCATGAAATGAACTGGATCTTCAAGCCATATGCTTTCCTGCAGACCAAAGTACAACGACGTGCTTAGCATACCACTCGTTGGCCGTATTATTTTTTCTCAAGTATGTCCTTGAGGTTGATCTCCGCACTGCCCCGAGCGAGAGGCTCAGCCTGATTAGGAGAGTCGTGCCACCCAATCATGTAGATTATCCTGAAGGTCGCAGGTATCGTCCCATTCTCGTTCCCGTGGAGCTCACGGTAGATCGCCTCGTTCGCGAGGAGGACGTCCCTGCCGATGGCTCCCGGCTCCCGGCCCAGGACGGCGTTGCCCTCGCCCATGAGCTGCAGGTCCTGCATTAGCTCGAAGGTGCTGGGGTAGTCGACGATGATGTCGTCCACGTCGACGGTCAGCATCTTGAAGCCGGCCTTCTGCAGCAGGCCGCCGACGTCCCGCACGTCAGCGAGCGGGGACACGCGGGGGGACATGCCGCCCCTGCGGTCCTGCTCGGCCAGCTGCAGCGACGTCCGCAGCTCGAAGAGCGTGTCCCCGCCGAGCATGGCGCCCATGAAGGGGCAGTCCGGCTTGAGGACGTGGTTGATCTGCGAGAGCACGCCGGGGAGGTCGTTGATCCAGTGCAGGCTGAGGCTGCTCAGAACCAGGTCGAAGGACGCCGGCTCGAACGGCAGGCTCTCCTCGTCGTCCAGGACCTGCCGCGTGATGGCCAGGTGATCGTTGAAGGGCAGGTCCGCGTCGCGGTACAGCTGCGAGTGCGACGAGTCGGCGGCGACCAGCTCGCTGATGCGCTCTGCGAGCGGCGGGGAGGTGGGCTTCGCCGGGTCCGGGTCCGGATTCTCGCGGGTGAGGGCGCGGGCGACGCTGCAGGTATTCGCGCCGAGGTCGAGGGCGCGAGGGAAGTGCCGCTTGATATCCTGCGGCAGGAGCATGACGAAGTCAGCGAACTGGGGCCTGGCAGCTACAGGTCTTGGGGTGTCTGGTGCAACCTACCAGGAGTCGCTCGCAGAGCCTGATGGCCACCTCGTCCTTGAGGTAGTCGGCCTGCCGGCTCCCCTCGACATCAGCTGCAGCCCTCTCCTTCTGCAGCCATTTCGATCGCCTGTTGAAGACCTCAAAGACAGGAGATCCCGGGGTCTGCGAGGCGAAGCTTCGACGTGTCCAAGCAACCACTCCTGGGAGTTGAGTTGCGCGGACTCTTGGCAGGACCGGTGTCATCTTTGGGTATTGACATTGTTGTTGTTGCAGGAAGGGTTTGGAGCTGGCTGCTGCTGCTGCATGGTGGGGTTGGGGAGCAAACGGTAGAAGCTCAAGACGTCATGCACTCTACTTAGGCACCATTACCTTTTGGCACTTTGTCAATCTCAGGGATTACTGTCATAGGTTGCTGCACGTCCAATTGAGTTGTCAAGACACAATTCATCCATGCCTAATGCACCGTATGGTACCTCCAACTTGTCCGTGGAATAGTCGAATTGTGCCCATAGTCTTGGTCCAGCAGACGATAGCTCATCTAGATCAACTCTATGTAAAAGAGTGGACCGAGGCAGCAAGACAAAACGCTATCGATCTAGTACGAGTCTCGAGCCTGCGTAGACACATGCTCTTTTTGCCTGAATGATGGTCTTGCACAACGTTGATTCACACCACTCGGTATTGCTTGGAGGGAATCGCACATGAATTGCCCGCTTCGAGTCCAAGACAAACTCCGGGCTGACTGACGCCTCATCCAGAGCATGGAAGTCCCCAGCAGGGTTCCAAGACAGCAAGCTGCAGGTCGCGTTCAAGGGTCTGTGCTTGGCTAAGCAAGCCGGCAAGCAGGTGCGTGGTGCAGCGCGGCAGCGGTGCAGTGAGTAAAAGGATCCCAAAGCCGAACCTCGAGACGGCCCGCATAACTCCACCGTCGAGCCCGACCATCGATCCATCCCCTTTTGACATTGAGGACATCGCATCAAGCCTCCCCCGTCTCGTTCATTCGAATCGAATCCCACTGCGACGCTCCCCATTCAATCGCGGACACGGATACCCTACAAACCTTCTCCATCATGCCGGCCGTCTTCTGAGTCCACAACCACCTGAGCATCAACCCCCTGCCCTCCTGCATTGCCGTCGCGGGCCCTCATGGGTAATTCGGCTCTCGCGTCCAACACGCATCGGCCTGACTGTCCAATTTGACACCCTGGTTTGATTCGAAGACCTCTCCGTTCTCTCACTCTGACTATCACGACGAGACGATTTCGAAGAATCACGACCCTCAACATCCAAGATGTCCTCCTCCACGGCCTCCGGCTTCCTGGGCCGGTCAAGTAGCAACAACTCGAACATGCGCGGGCTCGTGCAATTTATCGCAGATTTGAGGAATGCGAGAGCCCGTGAGCTTGAGGAAAAGCGCATCAACAAGGAACTGGCCAATATCCGGTGAGCACGCACGCGGCTCGACGCGGCGCTGGTCGCGAGACAACCCCTTTCCACGTCCCAGTATCTTGCTGACTACGAATGTTGTATACAGGCAAAAGTTCAAAGGTTTGCGATCCCTGCCGTCAACGAAAAATCCCACGCGATCACTCGGCTAACTCGAAGCAGATGGAAACCTGAGCGGGTACCACAAGAAGAAATATGTTTGCAAGGTGCGCGCTGGAAAGGATATCCCCGTATTGTGCAAGAGAAACGGCTGACGGTCGGGCGCAGCTCTTATATATATACATCCTCGGTTGGAATGTTGACTTTGGCCATCTCGAGGCAGTCAACCTCATCTCAGCCAACAAGTACTCCGAGAAGCAGATCGGGTACCTCGCCATGACCCTCTTCCTCCACGAGAAGCACGAGCTGCTTCACCTGGTCGTCAACAGCATCAGGAAGGACCTACTTGACCACAACGAACTATTCAACTGCCTGGCCCTGCACGCGATAGCCAATGTTGGTGGAAGGGAGATGGGAGAGGCTTTGAGCGGCGAGGTACATCGGCTGTTGATATCACCGTACGATTCACCACTGCCCGTATTTGTGACCGGAGCTGACGGCAGGCGCAGGACATCTAAATCATTTGTCAAGAAAAAGGCCGCACTTACTCTTCTCCGACTGTACAGGAAATACCCCGATATCATCCAACCGCAGTGGGCTGAGCGAATCATCTCTCTGATGGACGACTTGGATCTAGGGGTTGCGTTGTCCGTCACGTCTCTTGTCATGGCGTTGGCGCAAGACAACCTGGACCAGTACAGAGGAGCCTACGCGAAGGCTGCTGCCCGGTTGAAGAGAATAGTGGTTGACGGAGACTACGCTGCCGACTACCTTTACTACAAGGTGCCTTGTCCTTGGATCCAGGTGAAGCTTCTCAGGCTGCTTCAGTACTTCCCACCTTCAGGTTTGCACTCTGATCCCGTCAGCCCTCGCTGGAACGGAAATTAACAGTCTGCGCAGATGATAGCCATGTGCGGGAAATGATCAGAATGTCTTGCCAGAAGATCTTGGATCTGGCGCTGGAGACCAACAAAAATGTCCAGCAAAACAACGCGCAGAACGCGGTCTTGTTTGAAGCCATCGACCTGGTCATCCACTTAGAAACCGAACAAGCCCTGATGCGGCAAATATCCCAAAGGCTTGGTAAATTCATTCAGTCGAGGGAGACTAATGTTCGGTACCTCGGTCTAGAGGCAATGACGCATCTTGCAGCACGAGCAGACACATTAGACCCCATCAAGCAGCACCAGGACATCATTATTGGTTCGCTCAAGGATCGAGACATCAGTGTCCGGCGGAAGGGGCTCGACCTGCTTTACAGCATGTGCGATGCTTCCAACGCACAACCGATTGTTGCAGAGCTGCTACACTATCTGCAGAACGCCGACTTTGCCATCCGGGAAGAAATGGTACTCAAAATCGCTATTTTGACAGAAAAGTATGCAACAGATGTGCAGTGGTATGTCGACATCTCGCTGAGACTGATTGCCATGGCTGGTGATCATGTCAGCGACGAAGTATGGCAGCGTGTCATCCAGATCGTTACAAACAACGAGGAACTGCAAGTCTATGCGGCAAAGAACGCCTTGCAATACATCAAGCAAGATCACTGTCACGAGACGCTCGTCAAGATAGGGGCATACATCCTAGGGGAATTCGGGCATCTCATTGCCGAGGACAAGGGCTGCAGCCCTATCGAGCAGTTCTTAGGACTGCATGGCAAGTTGCCCGCCTGCTCTTCTAGCACACGCGCCATGATATTGTCCTGTTTCGTCAAATACGTCAATCTCTTCCCCGAGATCAAACCTCAACTTCTCCACGTCTTCGATATCTACAGCCATACGCTCGACTCGGAACTCCAGCAGCGAGCATGCGAGTATCTCACTCTAGCCACCCTCCCAACGGACGACCTCCTGCGAACTGTCTGCGATGAGATGCCTCCGTTCCCAGAGAGGCAGTCAGCTCTTCTGTCTCGCCTGCACCAGAAGCATGCGAATACTAGTGATAAGCGCACCTGGGTTGTTGGCGGGAAGAGCGCAAATTCTGACGCCCAGGAGCTTAACATGGCTAAGAACCCAGGGCTCAAGAGGACTTTCAGCACGCAGTCTCAAGCTAACGGCAACGGACTTACCAACGGAACGAATGGCACCAACGGCCACAAGGCCGCCAGTGACCTTGCTGGGCTTGACATGGCGAATCTTGGCTCCGCGGAACCCAAGACGAAACCACCAAATCTGGCCAGTGCGGCTCACTTGTCGCCCGGATGGGAGAAGGGCTTCAACCGGTTGCTGCTTAAAGCCGACGGCATCTTGTTCGAAGACGGCCAGATCCAGATCGGCGTTCGATCCGAGTACCGAGGCCAGATGGCTTGTCTCATAATGTACTTCATGAACAAGACCCCTACAATCATGAGCTCATTTACCACGACTTTAGACCTGGACGAGAGCGACAAGGGCAACTTGACATGGGACATCAAGGGCCTTCCCGATACCACCATCACCCAAGGCAATCAGTGTCAACAGGTCATCATGTTTGAGGCGAAGAGGATGTTCTCGAAGAGCCCCACCATGCGGATCAGTTACCTCGCCGGAGCGCTACAGGCTCTGACCTTGAAGCTGCCTGTCACCCCTCACAAATTCATGGACCCTGCAGAGCTTACCGGAGAAGACTTCTTCAAGAGGTGGAAGCAGATCGGTGGGGCTCCAAGGGAGGCCCAGAAGATTGTCGGATTGGCTCCTGGCAGCCGCGACAGAGAGATGACTGAAGGCTCGGTGCGCTCGGTCGTGTCTGGCTTCAGGTGGGGTATCCTTGAGGGTGTCGACCCTAATAGGAAGAATTTTGTCGGCGCGAGTGTGCTGCATACATCGGAAGGCGGCAAGTTTGGGTGTCTGATGAGGCTGGAGCCCAATTACAGCACACAGGTAAGAGTCTCTGCGTGTACCGCCTTCATGAACAGAGCTAACCTGTACCACAGATGGTCCGTCTCACAATCCGAGCTACCGATGAGAGTGTACCCCAGGTGATGTTGAAAATGATGGAGGAGAGGATTGCGGCCGGAGTCTCGACTCTACCGGAGTCGCATCTCGGACCAACGCCAAGAGAAATATCTGATTCGTTTTCTAACATCATGGTGCTGGAATGAAAGTCCAAGGGATTGGGAAGCAGTATATAATGGCACATTGCCGTGTGGGCAACATGTTGAATTACGTGGAGTACACCACAATCGAGCGAGCATAGGGCGTTCTTGGACAGCATCGGCAAGGTACTTTCCATTCCACTTCTTGACTGAGACGGTGGTGGCGTCGATGGGTGCGGCGGCCTGGATTTGGCCCTTCCCAGCTGTATCCACCGACGCGGACGAAGCCAACGTCTTGGTATTTGACAAATTTAATTGCAAAGTGCCCGTCGCTTGCGGCGATTGTCTAATCTCAGCAACGCCTTGACCATTCTTGATGCATTTAGTTTCATGATCCTGTGATCGAAGCCTTTGTTTGGTATCCCGTGGCTGCCTGCCTGTGATGCTCCGGCCTGCCCGAGTTCTTCACTACCGAACTTGACCCATATCCCAATCATCTCAATCCGCCTGGGCATCCCTCACACCAGGATCTTGGCCTCCGACTTGGGGCCCCTCGTCCCGAAGATGGTGCTGCCGACCCTGACCTCGCCGCTGCCCAGGGCGATGGCGCCCTCGAAGTCCTCGCTCATGCCCATGCTCAGCTCCAGCGGCTGGGCCTCGCCGCCGTCCCCCCTGGCGGCCAGCAGGTCCGCGAGCTCGGCAGCGACGAGGTCGCGCTGCTCCCTCAGGCGCACGAAGTCCTCGTTCTCGTTCTCGGGCGTGGTGGCGACGCTGCGGGCGATGGCGCCGATGGTCATGAAGCCCAGCAGGTTCAGGTGCGGGCACTCGGCCAGGACGAGCCTGGACAGGGCCACGACGTCGGCGCCCGGGGCGACGCCCGACTTGCTCTCCTCGCCTGAAGTGTTCACCTGCACGTGGACGTTGAGCCTGGAGACCGGGGCGGCGTCCCCCTCGGCGGAGGAGGAGGAGGCGATGAGCTCCCCGCGGGCCTTGTTGAGCAGCTGGGCCTTCTTTGCGCCGTCGACGCTCGACACGGCAAACAGGTTGGGGATCTTGGCCAGGGTCTTGCAGTGCGTCGACTGCAGGCCCCCGATGAAGTGCCACCGGATGGACCGCGGCAGCAGCTCCGCCTTCTGGCCCAGCTCCTGGGCGTAGTTCTCGCCGAAGTGCAGCTGGCTCGTGGGCTCCCGGTGGAGGGCGAGGATGTCGTTGGCCGGCTTCAGCTTCGACACCGCCACCAGCCTGACCTGCGAGTGGGCGTCAGCCTCTTTGACGTCTTCACATGACAACGCTTCCTCCGGTTCTTCCTGTCCGTTCCAACCGCATCGGGTCCGACCCCCGGTCCGGCAACGCAGGCCCTCAGGCGCCGCGGCAACGGCACCACGCACACAAGGTGAGACGAGAACTGGGTGCCTCGAGGTTGCAGTGCAAATGAGTGTGCTGCACGCACATGGAAACTTACATTCCGGCCCTTGGCCACGTTCGCAATCCTGAGCCGCACTTCTTGCAGCTGTGAGACGAGAGCCTTGGCTCTGACGGCATCGACCTTCATCTCTGTCTCGGTCATGCTTGTGCCGATCGACACCCTGGCGGGATGGAGGGCTGCAGAGTTCAGAGTCTGGGGTAAATCTTAGCAAGTAGGTAGTAGTGTGGATAAAATCGGGGTTGGGCTGAGAGTGCTACGGTACACACTGCCTCAAAAGTATAATGTCTTGCGGTGTCCTTTTTTTTGTGACCTGAGGCGCATGAGCATACATACAATGCTGCTCCCTCACATCCCCGTCGTCGATTTCGCAGAGCGGGGCGGGACACTAAAGCCACGCCCCCCTTCCGATGATTGTCTTGGTCGGGCATACATGCCGACCATGCGACATGAAGTCCAACATGCAGAAGAAGTGAGTCTTTTTAAAATTGTCATTCGCTTTGTCAGACCTGATTGATGGCCTAGGATCTCTCATCAGTTTCACCACCTGTTGCTGTCCGTTTCAGCAGAATGTGAGCGATGCGGTGGATTGGTGGAATGGTGGAGACCTTGTAAGGGGTCTACTACAAAGGATCCTCAATGATACCGACAACTTATGTGTATGTCAAACATTCATGACAATTAGTGAATTTTGACGGGATCAGCCCGGTATACATGCAGGTGATAGAAATATACCTTGTAGAATCCAAGTTTCACTGCTCGACATGTCTGTCACAAGGCTCTTGAACCTGCATGATTTACAAGAAATATAATATTGCAAAGGCATACCGTGAGACCTGATCCAAAAAAAAAAAAAAAAAAAGTGTAGTAAGCTGGTTTGGATAAGTCACAGCGCAAGTCTCATCCCTTATGCCGCTTCATTCAAGCACTTCGGAAGGTCCCCGTCCAATTTGACAAGGCAAACTTAGAATCACAACGAATGGAGTTTCGGTAGTCGCGCTCGTCACTGTAAGTGCACGTTTGTAAGAGAAAATCCAGCGCATTGTGCATGTAAGATGTTGTCAACAGTATCGATCCAAACTGCAGAGCCAAGAAAGAAAGGTGTTCCTGACAGTCAGGAGGCCCTTGCACTTGAAAGAGTGGATTGAAATAAGTTGGAAATCGAAATGGCAGAATCAGGACACGGAAGCGCTGCTGAGATAATGGACACTCTCCGGATACCAGGTAGGAGGTGGCTGTATGACCTAGACTGCTAGGTGAACCTGAGACCATTGGGCCTGAATGAGATGGAATGATTAGCAGCGGCCGAGAAATGCCAGTTGCTCAAATGTTCCCGTCTGAAGAGTCCATTGTCCAGGACATTACCTCCCTTCCAAGAGCCATGGTCAGTCACAGCCAGCCTGCTTACGGTCGCCTTGCAGCAGTTTCGCTTTCTCACACATCGAAGTGACCGTCCGCTTGCCTCCCAGGCTACACCCAACCAACCGCCGAAAACTTCTGGTCACGAAATCAACCAGCCAGTAGCGCACAAAAGTCGCAGCCAAAACTTCCAGCGTCGTTGATGCCAACCTCCATCATGCCCGAATCGACAGCCCAATCCAGCAGCATGCCAGAACCACCTCCGCACGTGCCCGACAGGACCGTCCCGTCCTCAAGCAGCAACGCAGACGCGGAAGAACTTCAACAAGGATCGTGTCCAACAGCAGATCCGAAAAACGGCCAGCATGCCTCAGGCAGACCCTGGCCGCCCAGATACGCGTCGTCAGCCGCCCCTGAACCCACTACTAGCGGTGCAACAAGCCAGTATCCAGACACACACAACAGAAGCATCATAGCAGCTTCCGCGACTCTGGCCTATCTTCAGAGCAAGTGCCGCAAGGAAAACTCCCCGAATGATTGTTCAGACCAGAGCACCAGCACCAAAGTCAGGGCGTTGACAAGTCTTTGTAGAGGCCTGCTACGGAAGCCCGGTGAGACGATTGCTATTTCTGCAGACGTTTTCCAAAACGAAATTCTCTTGGCGGTGGCCCATGATGACAGCAGTCGTATCCCTCTAGAGACGGGTACGAGTGAAGGGGAACGGCCTGAAAAGTAAGTGTCCATCCATGCTGTAAGACTTGGAGTGAAACTAACAAAGTGGCATAGAGTATTCTACATGTGTCCAGAGCTCTACACCCATATTCTTCTCCAGGCGATTCCAGAACTGTGCAGCGACTGGCCCAGTCACAGATGGACAACTCATGCCCAAGAACATCTCATCAGGTTGCACAGCATCATCGCAGACAACTGGAAGATGACGCCGGACGAAGACACCGAGGTACTGCACCACCCGCTTATGATTCGTAGCAGAATCGGAGAGTATCTCTCTGCTTCCAGGTTTCCTCTTTTTCGGCACGAGGCGAGAATCGCCTTGGATACCGATCGCGGCGTTTAGGCAATGCCGAAATGGACCGGACACTCAGAAAAGCTTCAGTCTACGATCGACTTCTATCGCGAACACTCGGCTCAGATACAAAAGGAACATCCTCGGATCCTATTTGCGCTCCACACTATTGAGTACGCATTATATACCGTACATCCTTTGCGGTTCTGTCTCTGGAGTCAAGTCGGAGGAACATTTCTCGCACCAGAACTGAACAAGCTGGAGGATCAGCACGAGAAGTGGTTTTCCGATTGCGCCATAGATGCGACTCCAGCACAAGTCAGCCTCGACGAACTCAGCCAGATCTGCGACCGTGTATCTGATCTCTGGCTGGCAACAGGCGGGACGCCGACCAGGGTCGACGCAGATCCACACGATGCATTGGAGGCAGCACAGGAGACGCTCGAGCAGGGCCAAACCACAGAGAACATCACTTCCTACTTTTACACAATGGCGTTGATGATCCACTCATCCAGGAAGGCTCTGGAACACCTTGTACACATGTTTTCCTTGTGGGTCGAAATTGGTGAAACCCACAATGGACATGTTTTGGACGAACTGGACACAAGGGTGGAGATCACATGGTGTTCTATGGCACTGTACAGCGCACAAATTACATGGAACGAACTGATGAAGTGTCCTTGGACCGTCGCATGTGCCCTTCACCTACTCGCAGAGGATCCCGACACTCCAGCACCACCCACGAATGGTGGCCAAGGACGTGTGCCGGAAGATCGAATGGATGTGGAAGATGTAGAAGGCGAAGATGAGGGAGATATCTATCAGGCCTTGAACAGCGACCCAGCCAGGCCCCCAAGATTCTCGTCAGTCTTCGTTGCAGTCGACAACACACAAGTGAGGGATATGCTAGAGGGTTGCTTCAGACTCGACGCTGTCATGCGCCGACAGAACGAGGCGCATGGGGTTATAGAAGCCTTCACAGTTGGCAAGGCTGACAGCGAGAGCGACGAGAAACCCGTGCACATCAGCTTTATCTCCGATAAGGACAACCACCAGATCGACAAGACGGACGTGATCGAAATCATCCGCGAGTATTGGAAGAAAGAAGCTTCTGCCAACACTGACACACGTGCTCAGAAGGGATTCGATATCCTCTCAGAGCTTGCGGACACATCGGAACTGTCGCAGCACCACTTGCAAATGAACTTGGGCCGCCCCAGAGTGCATTGCGAATGCGTCCTTGCGCAACACTGGATAGCCAGACCACGGCGCGCGAACCAAGCATTCCCAGTCATCGGAGTATCAAGCTATGCATGCGGCACCTGCAAATTGTTCATGGAAGCAGTCTTGGAACACGTCTGCGAACAAGCAGCACGCTGCATGAAGCGAATGATACCTGGAGCAAGGGACGCATTTTGCCTCTGCATGGTGCCCGAGCAGTCGCCTCCCGAGGTCAAGAAGGCGGTTGCTGATGCGTTGTTGCACAAACTGAGGACGCAGTTGAGGGATGTCAAAATTGCGACTTTCCTGGAGGGACAACTGGACGCAGCACGTGTGAACGCGGTTGACAGCAACAGCTGTCGACGGGGATTTGATGGACTCAACTCGCTGGATGGCGTTACTGGGTCATTCTCTGGCACACCTGAAGATGAGGAACAGATGACTGACATCTAGAGAGCAAAAAATTTCATGTACGACCTAGAATCAATCCGATATCATTAGCCCTTCCCGCCTCGCGATGAAATCAGTGCATGTGTAGAAGTGGCTCAAGATGATCGAGAGTGAATAGTCGACGACGATATCAAGAAGCGCTCCCCTTCCTTTACCTTTTTCCCCGGATGGTGATTCCGAATTCTCATATAAACTCTACAACGTGTGGTGACCTCCACGCCTGCGTCACCAGCTGGGACTTGATTCCCCGACGGGGAGGTACACTAAGAGCTGCAGCTGAACATGCCGCTGGATCTGGAACACTCTCTCAGCCCTTCAGCCTCAACTTGTACCCCCTGGAACACACTAGCCACAGAACCTTAATCCTGCTGCGTCGACCGCTTCTCCGCGGCACTGGTGCAAGAATACCTTGGGGTTTCGTTGTTGTCGATCATTGGACGGGCAATCAGGTATAACAGGTACAGTATATGTCCCGACCCAGTACCTCCTCGGTACGCAGCAGAGACAACGAGCCCAGGCCAGGGCAGAGTAGCATTGAAAGCCAAAACTGCCCCAGGCTGATGAGATAGATGCCAATAACTTGCACGTTCAAGCACACTCCTGGCGGCCCTGGCCCCCAATATGTGATTCCATGCTCGAGCCTCTTCACCTTTCACATCCTCCCGTATTCCCAATCCCTGCGCTGTGCCCAAATACGACAGCCACGCATCAATTTGCAGTCACCATACCCAAGGCAAACCCAAAACCCCAACGAGCCGAATCACCGCCGTGTGTGTGTGTGTGTGTGTGTGTGTGTGTGTGTGTGTGGTCTCCGGTCCCCTGGACAAAACCAGAACGTCGCATCCCACCGGGGAAGGCGAGACCCCCCCCCCCAAGGGGGCATGGCCAGCGGCCGGAATGCTACTGTACGGGGCTGAATCTTCAGCCGCCCATGTTTGGAGTTGCGCGCCCAAAATGCCGGGGCACACCCATGCACCTACTTCATGGACTGACTAACCACATGACTGACTTACACAAACATGTATAAGCTGCCTTGGGACACCCTCCCGCCTGCCCCCTGGCTCAGGACGTCGAGAATTCCGGCAGGTGTCGTCTCAGCCTAGAAACACAGAAAAGTTGGGCAAAGTTTCTTCTGACTTGCCCTCCTGTGAGTTAGCCTGCCAGGCTCTGGCACTGATCTGGCCGCGGATTCGACCGCGGGCCTCGACTCGGCCCTTGGTTCGGCGGGTGGGTGTCGTTGGGCCGGACTGCCTCGTCTGTGATCCCACCTGCCGTGCAGTTGGTCGGCGTGGTGGTCATCACACTTTCACAGACGGCCCGGAAACTGAGACACAAGGGAGAGCAGCCACACTGAACATCGGCCGGCGAGCTTGAGACGACCAGTTTTCTTTTTTCCAAAATAATTTGATTCCCGTCTTTCTCTGTTGCGGGTCTGGTGATAGTTTCCTGTGATATACCATCCACCTCCCCCAGCCGCGAAATAATATGTTCTCCAAGCTGGATGGGCAGGCTGGGCCGAGTCAAGTAGTAATAGTGCGAACAGAGCCTCTTCTAAATAAAACGTGGACAGGCGCCTTTTTTGTCCTGCGATGCCACGCAGCCAAGCACAAGCAGAAAGTTGTCCCATGTAAAGTCCAAAAACAACAATAACAGAAAACCCCGCGCGATGTGCTGACACTCCGGAAAACTTTGAAATGCAGATAACCGCTCGTGGCCCCCAAAACGCCGTATTCTCGACATCGCTGTTCCTGCTCCTTTCTACTACCCACGACGCGACTGGCTGCCAACTCGATATGCAAGCTTATAAATGCAGATATTACAATGCTGGGGTATTGGGAGCCGAAAAAAGGAAATTAGCAGCTGGTGACACCTGAACATGAAATGATTCCCTTCATTCTCCAAGATAGGCACTGGGGTGATTAAAGTCGTCGTATAGGTCGGTTTCACGGGTGTTCGAGTGTTTCCGGGGAAAATGTCGGCTCTGAGTTCGTTTTGGCCGAGGCGGAGGACCCGAGATCCCAGCGTCGTTCTCCTCTTGGGCCGGTGGTCACCTCACTCGATGTCCATCTCGTCCGGGTCTTCTTCCAGATAGGCCAGCTGAGCCCAAACTCTCCAGTGCAGAATGCCCAGGTGGGCCAACCGTACGGCCATGTCCTCTACGAGCTCCTGTAGGGCTCCCTCTTCCCTCGACATCTGTCCGGCCTCGGAAGTCATTGAAGAATCGCAACCGCCGTCTTCGCCTCGTGCGGATCCCGAGCCTCCCATACGCCCACCAGTGGCAACAGAGAAGAGTGCAACGCCGCTCAGGCTCCTGAAGTCTTTCACACGCCCGCTAAGTGATCTCATGATCCTGCGCTGGAAAGCAGCCTCGACAGCATGATACAGATCGCTGTTCATCTCGCAAAGATGCTGGGCGAGTTTGGCCTCAAATCGGGGCAGGAAGTCTTGTGGAGCGTTCGTGTAGCGGAAAATCTGTATCGCAATGGAAGGGACCAGGCCTTGCCAGCGCTGTTGCGGTCTTTGGTTCTGTGGGGCCGTGTTCAGCAGGGCAACAAGCGAGTCGTACACGGTGTTGTCCTTGTCGGTTTTTGACTCGGCGGTATCGGCTGAGGTGGGCGGCTGGAGGGTGATGTAGCCAGAGCTCCGGGGCGATGAGGTCGTGGAGCCGCAGGCGGAGAGGGTCAGGCTGGAAGGGCGAGATGGAGGTGTGTTGAGGAAGCTGAAGTCGCCCGAGTTCCTGTTGCTGTGCGTGCTGGATTCTTCATCTACCACATACGATGGAACAGAGGTTGGAGGTGGGACAAAGGACGGTGTGACAGAAGTGATCCTCGATACGCGATCCAGATCATCATAAAGCCTCATGCAGACCTCTAGGTTGATAGCGTCAAGCATGTCGGAACGGAGCTTGATTATCCGCTCCTCGTCGAACAGAAAGGTGTTTGGGATGGTCTCCTTGGCTGTCGAGGGTAGGATCAACTTGGCCAGAGCCGCAAAGAATGCAGCCGTCTCGCCAAAGCTCCGTGTGTCCTGAGGCACTCCCGAGTTTGACCGCAACGCCTCCGCGTACCACAGCCGTGCCCCACTGATGTCCAGCCTATTCGCGGCGATCTTTTTGTAGAAGAATCGCTGCTCAAAGTGTACAGTGTCTTCGATCAGCATCGGCCTGAGGCACCGTATCTGGTGATTGGCGACGTCCAACTTCATCGCCTCTAGGACGCTGAGCAGACTTCGCATGCCCTTCACGAGCTCGGCCATGTCGTTGTTGCGGTTGCCATTGGAGAGTTCGCTGTACATCTCATCCACCCACTCATCACGCATGGGGGCGCAGTGAAGCTTGAGGACACCGGACAACCAGGAGGCAACCTTTTCCAAATCTGCCATACCCTGATTGAACTGTTGCATGAGAAGCTCCACATTGAAACCCTCGTGGAGAAATTCGCGGTCTCGTTGTGGTACGAGCGTCTGTATAATCTCCTTGACGGACTTCAGTAGAATTGGCAAGCACCAGTCGGTCCCAGCGGGGTACTCCCTTCTAAATGTTTCTCTGTCCACCACAAAGGAAGTGAGTTGGTCACGAAGCGTCGTCCAGAACTGGTTTGCCTTTTCCTGCTTTCTTCGCCCTTTGTCTCCGTCCAAATTCGGTCGAAAGTGAAGTTCCGGATCAAAGTTGATGTCGTGTCGGAGTTTGGGGTTGTGTATGATCTTGCTTACGTCCAACTCGCTCAGCGTCGCCTTGGTGACAGGTGGTTCGAGCGGTCGAGGTGGATGAGAAATCTGATTCCTTGGTTCGGGCGTCCTCGCGGGAGCCAACTGACGAGCCGGGATATTCTCGGACGGTATCAATGGGCACGAGACCACTGACGGTGCCGAGGACGCCGATGTATTTGACGTTTGGGACGTCTCGGACTCTGATCGTGGGTGCTGTAGTACATGGTCTTCCGGATCGGTCGATGTCGTACTTATCGTGTCCACTAATCTCTCTGCTGGCGCTGTCTCATTCTGAGATTCTGATCTCGAGTGTTGCGATATGTGCCCGCCGGCGCCTTGGTCGGCCATGTTTCCTACTGCCTTCCCCAGTCCAGCTGGTCTTGTCACTGAGTTCAGGGGGTTGACACCGGAATCAAGAATCACACAGCGGCAGACCTGGTGTCAGTGATGATAAGCGAGTCGCGGAGTCTGATCAGATGTCCGCCTCGGGAGATCGACGGGAAGACAAGAGGAATATCGAGGACGAAAATTACAGTGCAGGCCTTGGTCAGAAAAATCTGGCTGTAGAAGCAGTAGCACACCGGTCAGTCCAACAGTTTCTATTGCAAAAGGTTTGTGGACGGAGGAGCTTTGGTTGCCAGACTAATGAGATCTCATGCAGCGGATGGCCGCAGGAGTGCCCTCTCGTACCGTGGAAACCTGCAGGCAGGCTATGATCGTCGAGGAGTAGAATGGCGTTGTGTTCTCCAAGTAGAAGTGAGGAGAGAGGACAAGCGGGAGGCTATTTACTGACCTGCAGTGTTTCGCAAAAAAGAAGAGTCGAGTATATGGCGATCGCTATTCGCAGCTTGACTTAGTCGCCGTCGTTTGTAAGTACCACAACGCAAGAGGCGCAATGTTCACGATCTTTTGAAGCGTCCAGGGAAGCAACGTGGCCCACGAGCGAAGACAAATTGTCTGTTTGCAGAGAGGGCGATGTAATTATCGGCAGGGAGGAAGGGGCGAGGAACCGGGCGGGCCTCGTTCGGCTTGTAACAGAAGCAGTGTTGGTATGGCTGCGGGAGCGTGCGGAACAAAGAGCAGGAAACCGAGCCCGGACGGAACGAAGCGCTGGTCCTGTCGCGACTCAAGCCAACCAACCTTTGAGGGCAGGAGGCTTTAAGTTTTTGGTGTGCAAGGCAACTGCCCGTGCAATGAGGGTGACTGCCCCTGAGTGCTCCTAGGGGTCAAGGCAGGGCGGTTTGAGGCGAAGTTGGCTATACCCACGGGATGGAAGTAGCCACGGGAGTACGGACGGGATTCTTGTGTCGGGGCCCCTGGTGAGATGAAGGAGGCAGCTTGCAGACCGAACGGAAGCGATGTTCAGAGTAACACAGAGTCACTCGTACACATGCGGACGGACCGGCACACTTCAGACCAAGGAGCGATGGGTTGGGTCAGGCGTGAGGATGCCCGGATAAGGTAAGGCGAGGGCAGCGGAGGCGTATCAAGTATCCGTGGGTGCTGTCTTGGTAAACTAGGTGTACAGTCGGTGCTGAAACCGCTCTAGGAGACAGGCAGCCGAGGTGAGGAGGGAAAAAGAGGAAATTCAGTCAAAGAGAGCGACACAGGTGGAATGAGTGGATGAGGTATCCGTGGGTTATAAGAAGTTCGGTAAGGCGAGCTAAGCGGATGGAGCCCAAGGTAAGGGCGGAAAGGAAAGGAAAGGAGTCGAACAGGTACGAAGGCAAAGAAAAAAAAAAGTCAGTCAAGCACGAAGGCGAAATGGAGAGTATCAGTCAGGATGGAGGAGGAGGAAAGGGAGTGCAGGAGAGTGCATGCATGGCATTGCATTGCATTGCGTAGCGACAGGAAAGGACAGGCTGATGAGCAAGGGAATGGCCTCGATCCAGTCAGTCCAGTCTGGATTGACCTGTACTGTACATGCCTCGTGCCGAGCGTACCACGGGCGTACCGGAGAGTACTGTATGGGCGCCGCAGCGCAGCATACGGCACTGTCTGGGCACGATGCGGTACCTTTGGGTGGTACCAGCCCACCCGCCCACCGCCCAGTGGTCCGAGCTAGGCGGTACGTGCCTTGTTCGTCTGGTCCGGTTACAGGATGCGTGCCTGTGTTTGTGGATGCGGCGTGTATTGGATTCTGATTAGTAAATGACGACCCGGGCCCAAGCACCAGGGAAAACCACGGGTGCCAGGGAAGCCAGGGGAGCCAGGGCAGCCAGGCTGGCAAAGGGCGCTGGCAAAGGCAGGGCCGGGCAGCCAGCGGATCAGGGCAGGACGTGGTGGGGGGAGGGGGGGCATTGGAAAATGAAATACTGCGTCGTCAATGCGCGCACACCCCCCGGTCCCCACCGACCTGAAGGGACCCCAGCCGAGATGTAACTCTCTTGGTCGCCTTGCCCGCGACGTACCCTGCCGGGGCTAACCACATTTCAACCTCAGATCCAGGAACCTGGGGCTTGGGCGGGAAGAAGCAGAGGGATAGGATGGGGAAGCAGGGGGCGGGCCAGCAGGCACAGGCACAGGCACAGGCACAGGCACGGGGCATACCTAGGTAGGAACCGTAACCCCCAGCACTAGAACTCTCAACGTCGTCGTCGCTATATTCCGACGGGATGAGGGCTTGATCGCCGTGGCAGCTGGTTGAGCTGTGGGGCCACGGGTGGTACAAGGACGGGCAGCGCACTGCGGACTGTGGACTGTGGAACTGCGCACATGACAACGGCCGTCCTGGTTGCTGGTCCTGGTGCTGGCACGTGCGAGTAGGCGAGGGGGTGGTTTGGATGGGAATGGGGGATGAGGATGGGCAATTCCAGCAATTCCAGCAATTCCACCGTGATGGCCCCAGGCTGCCAGCTGCGAGGGCAGCCAGGCCGGACCATGATCTTCGCCGGGCTGGCGCTGGTCGACGGCTGTCCCCATGGGATGGAATGGATGCGCAGGATGCTTGGAACGCAACGCAATGGTGGCTTGCGGACCAAATGGTGCGTCCCTTTGCACAGATGGCCCGCAGGAGCGAGAGAGAGCCGATAGCTCTCGGTCCGCGAGCCACGGCGTTAGCCTCTAGGTAGGGACAGCTAGGCCCGTCCCAATCGAGCTGGTGCCCATGCGGACGAGAGGTGTCGCTAATGAGTGTCATATGCTGCATGTAGTCATGGTAATGTGATGTGCATCGAGGTGAGGCCCGAACGTCGACTGGGTCTGTTCGGGGGTGGTGTGATGGTGGTGAAGGCACGGTACGGTACGGTGGTGGTGGTGGTGGTGGTGGTGGTGGTGGCAGTCAGGGTAGTGTCGCGGTAGTGGTGGCATGAGAGATTCCCTTCCTCGGCCCCTTCCCAGTTTGGGCAATTGGAGGCTGATGTCATTCGAAAATGAGGCTGCCCAGCCCAGCCTGCCCAGCTGCTCTGACCCCCCACAGAATGGGCGTGGGACTCAGCTGAGGAACAAGCCATCATTTCTCTCCTCGGCAACAATGCTGGGGTGCATTAGGATCAAGCACTCGTAGGCAGCCATTATTACCGTGCATCATCCACCATCGCCTGTTCTCCTTGCTCGTTCTTGCTGTGAGGACCCCCCTTGCATCGCAGATGCATCACAGATGCTCAAGCCCGCCCTGAGTCGCACCTCCATTTCTCAATGCCAGTGGTACATATTTATCACGTAGATACCACATAGTCCACCACGTACCACTGACCACTGCCTGCCTGCACGTCCCGGCTCGCTCATTCTGAGATTGAGGAAACAGCGACGATGGGAAGAGCGAAAGAACAAGATGAAAATTGTGACGGCCCTCGCCAACCCTAAAACAAGAAACGTCCCAGGGAAACGAAGAACGGGCCTGGCCGATGCTGATGCCGCTGCTGATGCCGAGGGCTGATGCTGATAACCGGGACCGGGACTGGGATGAAGATGAGTAGATACGATGGCGCCCGCACAAGCCAGCACAAGCCCGAGCCCGCGTCTCGTCCGCATTCCATCCTACTTTTTTGTCTCCCATTACCACAGGAGCACGACACGGCGCTGCACCGTCCTGCGCCCGCACTCGAATCATGGCCCAACTCCATGCGCCGATCTCTGGCAAAATGGCCCGGGCCTGGCCTGGCCTGCTCGACTTCCCACTTCCTGGGCATGACAAGCTCCTCGCCCAGAGCATCCAGGGCTGCCGGGCTAGAGGGCAGGGGGGCCAAAATCTCAATTCCAGCGCATTCCATCAATCACCCGGACTCTGCAGAAACCACCACGGCTGAGGTCATCGCCAGCAGGGCCCTTGTCAGGTACTGTAACCGTGCTCCCACAACAACACGCGCGTCTGATGCTGGTGGCTGTCATCACCACTCGATTGGACCTGGGCCACCACAGCGAAAATCAAGACAATACGGTGAACAGCTTGTCCGGGGACAGGGCTCGGTAGCCACGGCATCCACTGGACGTGCTGGCCCCGAAGCCGGCAGCTCTGGGCTCGACACCATGCAGAGAACCGCAGAAGTACGGTGAGCGTGCAGCACGCAGCATTCAGCACGCAGCAGGAATGTGCTGTACACGCTCCAAATCTGGCATGCAAGCCCCAGAGGCCTCATGACCTACCTGTCAATGCGACAAAGCCGCGCTGGACAGGTTGCATTCATTAATCGCCATTTCCGTCGAGGTCCGACCGGACGGGACACCGCATCTTCCCTTGCCATAGAGCTTGGTCTATCGCCAAACGCTAATGAGCTGCGGGCGGCGACCGTCACATCGGTGCAGCGTCGTGTTCACGATGCTAGATATTGGCTTCCGCTCTTGGTCGCAGGTGTGAGTCGTACTAGTGGCGCCCTCATCCCCGGCGGGGGCCAAGTTGAAGATCCAAATCGAACGTAGACCAGACCGCCTGTGCATTCTCGCATACCTGGGACCCATGCATCGTCTCTAATGACGAGATGCAAGCGGCATGCTGCTGGCATGGGAAATGCTATCACCACCGTCTTCCCTCTATGCCGCACTGTTACAAGAGCCACCACCACCATGAGCGTCGATGGCTTGAGAAACTCGTTCTGCGGCCCTTTTTGGGCCAGGTTCGCCAGGACCCGAAACCAACAGGATCAGAGAGCCATGGCACCGCGCAGATTGCGACCTCGGACGGCTGGCGGGAGTTGAAACAGGACATCGTCCCTGTGCAGTATGATACAAGACGCATAGCCTCGCTGGTCTCCAGACGCAACAGCCCCAAGCAGCCCACGCTCAGATGAGGTCTCAGCATGGGCTTCCGGGGGCAAGAGCAAGCTGCAGACGACGGCCGCCCGTAATGATCCACGGCTCGACTATGCTGAATGGATAGGGATCAAGGGTTTTGCCACGACGCCCATCACGGACAAGCCCCGTAAGCTGAATAAATCCTCGGATCCAGGTGCTCGGTACTGGGGCGCGAAGGCAAATGGACAGAGGCAAGGAGGCTGCCACCAGGGGTGGTCTGTCGGATTCGGCCCAACCCAGAACGGTAGGACGGGGGCCGATCTGAGGAGCGCTCGCACCGTTTGTTTCAATTTCCAGAATACGCCCTGGACCATGTTAACCGTTGCAGTGTGTGATCTATTTTTTGTTTCGCATTTCGCAGTTTTCGGGCCTGGCCATCCCAGCCTCTTGGTCCGCATTCCTACGGTACTGTGATCCGTACAGCATAGCAACAACCGCAAGGTTCGGCACGTACGGCTGCTTATTACCCACCATCCACCATCCACCAACAACCACTCAGGCCACTGTCCGAGACAAATTCTACGGATGCAGATTAATTGGGTCTCAGGAGTCTGTTCTCGCGTTCCTCCTCCGGCCCCTTGCCCGCCGCCGTCAAACATCTATGCTATGCAGTACGAGCCGGGCATCAACAACAAAGCAGTTCGTCCCTGCGGACGCCAGGTGCTACAGTGTGACGCCTCGACACTGTGGCGTGCGTGATGCGGGGGGCTGTGATGGCCCCAGGAGTGCAGCTAGCCGCATCCAACGACTGCATCCGCACCCTCATCTGCACAGGGCGACACGAGATGCACCACGGGGCAGCGTCAACGACTTCTCCTCCTGCAGGCTTGCCACTGTCTAGAGCCGTGAGAATAGACTCACTCAGCGCCCACTTGCGTGGCACCTACGCCTGCACCGCGCGTCCAATGGACTGCGCGCGTTATCTGCAGCACGTCTTGTGAGGAGGGCCATGGGGCGTGGTTGGCCATGACGTCCCTTCAACCAGCCTCAACACCACGGCTCAGATCGCCACCGCCTCTTCCAGTTGGTGGGTGGGCCCAGGAGGGGATATCGCTGAACCCGGCCCTGGACGTGGCCGGCTCACTGCGACTGATCCCAGCAGCGGCCATGTGGCATTACAAGGTCGGGCATCGGTATTACCGTGTCGGCCACCCTGCCCTTTCTAATGTAAGTCCGACGCCAATGGTCCAGTGGGAAGTCTCAGAAAGATTATGGTGCAGCCGCAAATTGCAGTCACCTCAAGCACTGCATGGCATAAACGAAGCGACCCAACAACAGCGGCAGACATATCATCAAACATGACCTTAGGGTGGTGATGGTGGCCTTCTGCCAGCGAACTCTGCATCTTTGGCCCGGACAGTCAACAAATGTTGCAATGATCCACCGCCAGCCACAGCTAATTGTTCAGCGCTTGAGCCTACACGTGCATGTTACCCCGCGAAGCCAGGAAGCCAACTGAGCATCGTCACCCAATCTCTCTGTGACACCACGGAAGCAGTAAACGACGGTCGTCAACGTCGAATCCACACCTGCCACTACGGCATCGGTCATGCTACGTGTTCGCGTTCGAAGCAGAGACCACAAAATCGTGCATTCTTCCGCATCAGCGTGTGGTGGCTTTTGTCATGACGCGGTGGTGAACCAATCATCGACAGAGGTGGAGAGCCGAGCGCGACGGCGACCGCTACAATACATTGGCAATGCTGGGAGACGTCGACTACCACACTGCGTGACTCCGAATTGACGGTAGCCATGAAAGCTCTTCAGCTCGCCGCGTGCTCGCCGTCTTCTGTTCAGCCACAACTCGGTCGCGTCGTCCTTAGGTTAAACCTCCCTCTGCCAGGCACGTGGACATGCACAGACTAGGTTTGTCCGTGGTGGTATCCAGAGACGCTTTTGCTGTTTCAGAGGCTAGCCAACATGACTATGACGAGAGACCAAAGGGGAACTGGGTTCTGTGTCTCACGAGTCGTCACTCATGATACAACAACTCAGTGGCATATCGGCGCACAGCCGGAGCCGCGTAGCCAGCACAACACAATACTCCACCTTTCCTCGGTCCAGGAAACTCTGCGAAGGTCGTCCCGCTCACGTTTTGTCCTTTGCCTCAGGTAGTCACCGATTCGGAACATGCCTAGCGAGTGCGGTCTCGATGATCAAGATGCCCTGACTCGTCCGTGCAGATTTTCCTGGCCCTAAGGGCGTTTCATCACCAGGACCATTCAGCCCAACCAAACACTCGAGTCTTTCCACCAACCTCACTGGCGATTGGAGTTGCCCTACACGTTGTTTGCCTGGGGACAACACGTCAACCCCCGGCAGGCCCTTACACTCGAGCATGCTAACCTTCGGCGCAATCGGACGAGGCATGGTACACACCGGAGGGCCCTCGACGCCGTAGGCATCGGAAGGCTTCCTAGTGCAGAGGGTGACCGTCCCCGGAGGCCCGGGTCGTTCCCAGGGTCAGGGGACCGAGGTGTTAAAATTAGCAATTAAAAAAACCATGGGGGAGGTGGGCTCCGCCGAGAGGTGCTTGGGACAGGTGCCAACTGAGTAGCTGCAGACCCCCCTCGACGAACCAACCCTGCAGCCCCGGGGCGTCCCACTTTGTGAACCCTTCGATTCGGCCTTCTCGAAGGGTTTGACGCATCCAGTCCCGCCCCGCCGAGGCTTATCCTGCGGACGCTTAGAATGATCCACACACTCCTGCGTCTTGCGTCTCGACCGCTACTATGAGCTGACCATGCCCTCGGAAACATTGCGCCATTCGAATGTCCGTGTGGCTTTCCCGTCGTTTTGAGTCATCAAGGATCTTTCTCATTCCGGGGGCATTGAGCACACAGAGAAGGAGCAGTGACGACGTGGTACTAGCGGTGACCACACGCACTCGGCTTCGCCTCATGTTGCAACTCCAGGCTGAGCCGTGCAGGGAGGATGCCGGTCGCCAGCTTCCACTGGGTCAAATAGCGACGAACCATGTACGGACAACCTGAGCCTCTGTGACAAGGCCGGCTACTGAAGCATCGCGATTGGTTGTTTTGTAAACGGGTCCGCACGCCTGTTGCCGACGCAAAGTTTACGCCTCCTGCTTTCACAGAACTCTTGCCTCTGTCCAACGTTGGATATCCAATGGACCTTTTTCTGAATTGGACGGAGGCCGATTACTAGGCTGTGCTTTACCGCAACCTATTCACCCGTCTGGAACATGACGAGTCGGAACATCTGTTTCTGAAAGGAGACTCGGCGTTGTGCGAGGGACCGAGGGGGTTACAGAGCACAGCTATGCACCGCAGAGGCGACTCTGGTGATACTCGATCGTGCTCTTTGCGGGCCACATCTCAAGGCACAAACCTCTTACGGGCCATATCTGAATACACAAGCCGGTTAGTTCTCGAGACTTCGGGGCATCCATCCAGCTGTATTCCTGGTGTCTGTACAGTTGACATGGTCAATTTCAGTTCCCTCAGCCTTTTCTTCCACCAGCAGTAGAAAATAGGCAGTGATGAGTTACTGACCCGCCGCGCAAGGGCTATTCCCAAGCGTGTGTACATCGACCTGACTTCGAGCGACATCAGGAAGATGCCTTGAGAGCTCTACTACTCCATGGTTTCACAACATGACTCCGTCTCGTCACTTTCACTCGATTAAGGCGACTGATACAACCCGCCGTTGCAGTGCTTCATGAAGGTGAAGCCTTGACGAGCATCTGCAGAGGCGTATCGGTGGTCACTCATGACCGTGTCGTTTGTGGAAGCTCCTGGCCTTCCCGTTGGACAAGAGGCTATGGTGACAGTCGCACGAGCAGTGGGCTGGGTTTTATGCACATAATCACACGACAGGTGGGTGGACTTGAGACGAAGCCGTCCTAGGTGATACATGTCGTCTGAACGGTGAAAAAATTGTAAAAATTGGGGGCAAAGCGGTCCCATCTTGTAAGCACACCAACTTGGGGCGTGTAGTACTGGCAAGCCCATTGCGCATGCCTTCATGCCCAACCAAGTCTGTGAGCTCCAACTTGCTTCACCCGCCCACACCTACCCATGACTTGACTTGGTCAGTGTGCGTGGTGGCAGCAGAAACGCCAACTGGCTCAGCATTCTGGCACGCGACAGTTGCATTGACGCAGGTTCAGGACTCGTGGGGAAGTAGGTATCCTTCAAGTACTATATACGAGCTATAGTAGGTTGACGTCGAGTTACACAAAGCTTCAAACAATCACACTTCGCGAGAATGGACGATGGCTGAAGGGCAATGGAAGCCAAGGACTCGTTGCTGCCATCGCGACCAACCTTCCCGTAGTACCCTGTAGACATCCCGAGAAGAACCGGCACCGAGGAAGAATCTTTGATGCCACGTAGACATGAGAGGACATCACGGGACGAGACACTCGGATAGGGATGATGACGAGGTGAAGAACATCAGATTTCTTGCCCAATGATAGATGGAATTTCGGAGCTGGTTTGCCGCAGGCAGGAGCCAAAGTGTCCTCGTGCACATCAAGACTCAGTGCCTCGACCTTGCCATGACAAGGTGTCAGGACACCGAGCGACAAGCAACTCTCGCCTTGGCATTGCTTCGGATGTCCCCCTTAGATCATGATTCCCAGCCCTAGCCGGTGGCAGTGATGTTCTCAAGTGCGCCCCCGAGATGAAATGCCTCAGTAGCATCCAAAATAGACGTGTTGCCTGGCAAGCATCGAGCCATCATCAGACTACCTGATCGCACCATCCCCTTAAATCCTAACAAACGCCTTGAAGCTCCGTATCGGGTATGCCGTTGAAAATGGAATGATATCGTGTCGCCAATCGTCTGAACGTCTCCTGCAGTCTTGCCCGCCTATACCAACAAAGACAGCTGGAGCAAAGTCAGTAATGTTGCAAGGGCCACTCGGGAAGAATAACCATGGGTTCCTATCTTTTTGCTTTCAACTTACAGCCATGCCGACGCAGCATATACTTATGTAGGGGCTCAGACGCTCCCCTATCCGGGCGCATTTCCAGAAGACGCCCATGGGGCCGTCCTTTTTCCTGTCGAGGATGCTGGGGAACATATCGTGCACGTAGGCGCATGTGCAGATCAGGAGGAGGATGACGAGGAGGAGGGACTGGAAGTTGAAGAGGGCGGACTGCATCGCGGCGCAGCTGGCATTAGCATAGGTGTCGTTGACCTGAACTGGGGGGGTAGGGGGGAAGTACCATGGCTGCTCGCTGTCAGTCTTGCGGAATGCCGTGATTGTTGGCTTGTCTCCTTAATCGCCCTTTCTAGGAGCGATGTGTGTTGGCAACGTGAAGTTTGAGAGGTGAGGCTTGTTGTTCTGGACACAGTGTTGGATGCCGAGCAGGCGGGAGGGCAGGTGTGTCGTAAGGCCTGCCTGGCCGTCCTTGATTGCATGTGGTTGCGGCTACCTCTACCCACTCACATTAGGATCCCTGCAAGCTCCTGCATGCGCGTGCCTGAATACGTAGGTGGTCTGGGCGCACGGCCCCACTTCCGACCCCGGCGGCTCTCCTTCCCGACCATCAATCCACTCTCGACCGTCACCAGCACAAGCAGAGCGAGCTTCATATCCAGGCGCAAAGTTGTCGTCGCACAAACATCAGCCCTGTCTCGAAGCTGACGGCTCGGAGTCTCACATTTCGACGACGGCGCATCATCTTGACAGATCCTGGACGGCTTTTCCTTGGTCTCAACTCAAGGCGTCAATCAAAGATCGCAGGTCGTTCGTGGCACGCCACAGACTGCACTGCTCGCTCTTGTCTCGTGCCACGTCCGCTTTGGGACTCGTTCCCCGAAGCATCTTATCAACGGCCACCACAGCCCTCCAGGGACCTCGCCAAGATGGAGCCTCGAGCACGAGCTGGCAAGAATGTCGGGAAGGCGAACTTCAGCCATCAAGAACGTACGAGGCTTTCCCCAGGGCTCTCAACCCTCTTGCGCTCCATCGGCTAACCCGGACCCCACTACCGCAGTGACCCAGTTCCTGATCGCTCACGGCGACTCGCGACAGCCCCTGCCCGAGACGATCCGCATCCTCGACGAGATCCTGACCGAGTTCATCCAGGGCGTATCCTTCGAGGCGACGCGCGTGGCGCAGCTCGCGGGGCGCCAGAAGGTGAAATACGAGGACTTCCAGTTCGCCATGCGCAAGAACCCGGTGTTCCTCGGCAAGGCCGCCGAGAACAAGGAGCTGCGCGAGATTATCGACAAGCAGCGCAAGGTCTTCAACGAGGACGAGATGATTAAGGAGGACCTCGGCGCCGACGGCGCGGGAGGCGGCCCTGCCGCCGCCGCAGGTGGAAGCAGCGGGCCCGGTAGGGGCCGGAAGAAAGCCGCGCCTGGTGGTGGCGGCGGCGTCGGGGAGAGCAGCCAGGCGAATGGCGCGGGCGAGCGGCCGGCCGGCCGCCAGAACGGTGTCGACGACGAGGAGCTGGGCGAGATGGACGACGTGGACGACGCGGAGCTCGTCGGCGCCGGCGGCCGTAGTAGGGCTTAGGAGGCTCCTCAGGGCGGCGGCCGGGCTGCTCAGCGACGGAGGGTTTCCTTCTCGACACATGTTACTTCCAACACCAACAACACCTCATGACTGAGCATAGCGACGGCGTTTTTATTTGAGGGTCATACATTCATGCAGGGACGCACAGGATCAGGGCACCTGCGCAGGCATAGGTCTCTCGCACGAGAGGAACCAAGATGAGACTGGAATTATAAGCTGCCTCAATTCAAGAAGAAGCAGGAGCACGTCACGCAGAGTTTCAGTTACGGACCCAATTGCTTTGTGATCTCCGCCTAACCTACCTAGTCCACCTCACCATGAGGTCTCTCCTATTCCGACTGATGCTCACAACCTCGTAGAAGCTCACAGCATACGCTCATGAGCTTGCCTGCATTTCCTAGCCTTACCAAATGATGCGCTGGAAAATGTCACCCTGTGTAGTGCACCTGTGACCTGAATCCAAAGGCAGTATTGAGCCGCAGGTGAGCATACGTCCGACGAGATTTTGTTGACTTGGAGTACCAATTATCATCTCGAACCAGAGCATTACAACCATTATCTTCGCAGGCCGACAGTGGAAGCTTGACGGAGGCGAGTTTGGATTGAACAAATGTCTCATAGCTTGTCGGTGACCGAAACCACGAGAGCCATTCGACAGGAAGTAAACATTCAGTCTATCGCCCGCTCAAAACTCCATTATGCGATGTGCCCTAGACCGCCACCGCACGCCAATAATGAAAAATTATGTAAAATACAGCAGTAACCCCCCTAGAGCCGTTTCATTCACGAGTGCCCCTTATCGAGCCACCTGCCCCAGCCCGCGCCGTCCCTCGCCTCCACCTCAGTGCCAATGCCGTGGGCGTATTTGCTCTCCTCTTCCGAGAACTTGCGCCTCTCCATCCCCTCCCTGGCAAGGAAAGCCCTTGCAAACTTCCACGCCTCCGTGTCCGCCAAGTTCCAGGCCTCGATGGCGGTCCTCAGCGCCAGGTTCTTCTTGTCCTTGGTCGCGCCGACGACGTCCTTAGCCCTCTTGAGTAGCTGCGGCTCCCTCTTCAGTTCGTCCGGCTTGGCGACGGGCCCGTCGGTGGGGTCGTGCGCCGGCTGCGGCCTTCGCTCCGGGCCGGGTACAGGCGTCTCCGATTTCCCCTGGTCGAGGCCCTCCGTCGGGACGTCAAAGCCGAAATGCCAGTCGATGTCGTCCGGCAGCTCCTGCTCGGCGGTGAGCCAGATGGATTTTGAGGCTGTGAACTCTGCCGCCACGGCCTCCTTGAAGCGCAGCACACGTGGGGCACCGCCGACGCCGGAGCCAAGGTACTCCTTGGTCACCTCGGCGAGCCAGACATCGCGTGGACAGTCGCGGCGAATCCAGGGGACGTCGAGGTCGTCCTTGAGCTCGTTCAAAGTGTGCAGGGTGTATGGGTGGGGAACGGTGCCGATGGTGTATATGCCGGTTGTGTTGCGGTACCTGCTGGGACTTGCTATCTTGAGGGGCGAGGATGAGACGCAAGGAGCACACTTCGGGTTGTTAGGTGGGCAGGAAGTTTGTAAGGGCGACTCGGTACATTTCTGCAGCCGATTGGCCAGCTCGACTGCCGGCTGGACCATGGTCGTTGTGTGATGTGGAAGTGGCTTCAGCACTGCGATGCCCTTCTTGAAATTGTTCTGCCAGGTGAGATGCAGGTGGGAGGTGATGAGCTGGTTCAGGCTGTCCAGGCCCTTTGCACCGTTGTTGGCGATGGCCTTGGCAACCTTGTCGTACTTCTCAGATAGAGTCTTGTCGCTGTAGTAGGCCAACGACTTTGGGGCTTCGTCCACCCAGAACAGCTTCTTCTCGTCATCCTCCTGCTCGGCAGGCAGTGCAGACAGGAAGTCCTTGGCAGTCTTCGCCTTGGAGCTGCCAAAGACAGCCTTGATAGCGGCCGTGATTTCCTGCTTGGATCCTGCAAACAGCCCGTCCTCGAGACCCTCCCAACGCGTCAAGCCCTGGTATTCGCCACGGCGCAGATAAGACAGCAGCGGGTCGTCGTGGGCCGCCATGGGGAACAGACGATGGTGTGTGAATAGGCCACCTCCCATGTTCTCCCAGGCCAACCACCTCATCAAGTCGGCCTTCAAGGCCGGCTCGACATCCTTGATCCGCGTCAGCTCATCGTATAGGGGGTTGCTCGTAGCTTCTACATCGCTCAGAATGATGGGCTTGAAACCCTGCGCCCACCACGCCCGCCTCCATGACAGCAGAATCTCATTCTCGGCCTGCTTGAGTGTGGGGTCCTTCTTGGCTGTAGCATCATAGTAACAGTACACCTCGGGCCTCGTCGGCATGTAGGGCAGCAAAGCCCTAGTCTCGTCCAGCGTGTAACTCGAACTGAAGGGGATCGCGAGCCATCTCCAATCGGAGAACCATGAGGACTGGCCGTCGGTGTCGTTTGCTTGCCGCTGCGGGGGATGGGGTGGCGACTTGAAAGGGTTCCATGAGGGCGACTTCCACTTAGGTATTGACATGGAAAACTTGTGGTCGGATATGGAGAGCGTCGGCCCTGGGATGGATGAGGGCGCCGTAAAGAGCAGGCTGAAGACGGCGAAGATGGAGAGACTGGCCAGGAGAACAGATATGCGACGGGACGAGAGCCGCGGCAAAGGCCGGCCGAAAATGACGTGATGCTTAGGCATCGTGAAAGTTCGTGAGGTCGAGTTGGAACGGCGTGGTCAAAGATGCGGCGGGCAGAGCGGGAGTCGAATGTTGGGAGTGGCCAGCCCTTTGACCACGGGCCGGGCAGTCGGACGCGTTAACACGACACAATCGACGGGAGCTGATCGAGGGAGCGGCTGTGGCCAACCGGATGATGCCAACGAGCACTAAGCCGTAGGCATTGAACGCAACAACATGTGTAGTTGCGAATGCCTGCTGCGGGCGTAGAAATCAGAGAGAGAGAGTGTGTGTGTGTGTGTGTGTGGTGTAGTCTGGAGTCGGAAGGGAAAGAGGAATCGGGGCTGCGGTCACTGACTCTGTGGCCGGTGATAATCCAGATTGGACCGGGCCAGGTAGTTAGTTACGCAGTCAGCACGGCGGCGCACTTACATTGCCCAGGTACTTTATGCGGGTGGAGGCCGATCAAATCAATTGGGAACAACGCTTGGCAGGGACCGGGCCTGTCAGAAGCAAGGGACACTCCCTCAGTGTGGACCGCTTACTTGGAGGACAACCGCTTACGGGGACCTGACCAGCACCCTCTTCCTGCCTAGGCACGGGATAGCCACGAATAGGATAGCCACCAGTACGATAACTACCACCGGTGGGATGGCTTGATATGGGATGACCTCTCTAGCTAATGGACAACGGCTGTGTTAGCGGTGTCTTAGGCAACGGTCTACCGTATAGACGAACAGAGATTCCAGCAACCCTGCATCGCCTGTAGATCAGTCGATAATTTCCAGGCGCAAGCATTTCAGTATCACGGTATCTACGGCATTGTGTCATTGCCTTTTACAGGATCCTGCTCAAATCAATCATGGCCACCGGAACACTGATCAATCCGCCATGGCCGATTACACGAGAAGCGTGCTCCATTGCAACATGAGGTTTCGCCCCCACACATATATGCCGTCTTGAATACCCAGATACCCCAACAACAGCAGGATAGCTAGCGTCAAGTCATCGGAGCCAGCCCCATAAAGACCCCAAATCCGAAAAGGACGGGCACCTGGACGCAACGTGATATCTGGATGCCCAGGCAAAAAAGTTGGCAAAGACGGAAGGTAGTAACAAGAGCGACAACCCCGCTCAGCAGTCGACTGATTGAATGGGTATAAGAGACACGGCGCGTAAGCCGTGAGAGACATCTCCAACGCCCTGCTCTGTCGAGTATAGACAGTCAAGTCCAGCCTTCTGAACCTATTCAACAACTGGTGTAGATTGACAAAATAGGAGGAAAAAATTAAAGGCAATCCCTCTTTCCAGTCACAATGCTGTGGTACGGCTTGGCACATACTCTGCTCTCTTCTCTGCTGTTCTCCAGCTCTGTCAATGCGGCCGCAACAACTGCAATCTTCCTCTTCAAAGATGTGCTGCAGTCCAACACGACGGCACTGAAGACGTCTGGCTTCAACACACTGCTCATCTTCCGCATTGGTGTGCTGGAAAACGGCGACCTGGTCTATTACTCTACCGGCGATGCTGGTGAGGCCGTCGACGCACCCGTTATTACGGGCGGCGCATACGTTGGAGGCTCAGCCCTCGCCGACAAGATCAAGTCGTTCAAGACGGGGCAGACCCTCATCGACCGCGTCGAGGTCTCGCTCGTCTCGCACGACGCGACCTTCGTCAACATACGCAACCTGGTCAACGCGAACGGCACCGGTGCGGACACGCCTCTGTACCAGAACTTCGACGCGCTGAGGACGGCCTGGGACCTGGACGCCTTTAACAACGACGACGAGTCCGTCTACGACGTGAACAGCACCGTGAGCTTCGCCCAGCTGCTCGGCGGCATCGGGTACAAGTACTCCATCGCGCCCTACACCAACACCGGCTTCTGGGCGAGCGTCGTCCAGCAGCTGCCCGGCCTGCTCGACCGCGTCTATCTCCAGGTCTACGACGGCGGGGCGGGCAACAACCCCGGGTCATGGCAGGACTCCCTCGGCCTCAAGGTGACCCCTCTCGTCTGGGTCACCAACGACGCGGAGCCGAGCCAGGGCAATACCCCTGAGCAGGCGCAGACCAAGTTTGCCAACTGGAACGCTCAGTATTCCGTAGACGGAGGAGGTATGTGGAAAATGTCCCTACCAGTCTCTCCGATACTGTTTACAGTCAGCTAATTCTTGCTGCTAAGGATACTGGAATGATTATGATGTAGAAAAGATGGGGTCTTCTTACACCTCGTACGCCCAGGCGTTGACCAGTGTCTTTCAAGAATAGGTGCTATTCATGACAAGACAGATCACAGCTGTTTTGCCAGACCACTTGGAGAGGAGTGTGCCGATTGCTTATATTCACATTCTGTGTAGTCTCCTTTGCAATGCAATGGCAGGTGCCTTCTGGGTCTTGCAGCGTACCAGCAAGCTCTTAGCACCAAAGAGACAATTCGTGTCAAAGGCAGATCACTACCCCAAGAGAATCTGTATATACTAGATTTTATTGCCATTAAGGCGCCCCCCAGTCTACGAGATAAACAACCATTGCTATGAATGTGAAAGCCCTGCCCCGTGCGTGTTACAATATCCAAGAAGAGAGAATCGGAAGAGCGATTAAACATAATACACGCCGCCGGATGGCTTATAGATATCATGCACTCGACCCGGGCTATGAGTCCCTGGGCCGTTTCCAGTGTCGTTACCGTGGCGTGAGCGGGCTCGAGCCCCGCCCGGCCGACTTCTTGAGCGCCCGGAGCTCCTCCTCCAGCTTTCTGCGCTTGTTTTGTTCTTCCTGCAAAGATCGTTAGCTCTCAAACTCTCGAGATAATGACTGAGGAGACAACGGTCGAGGGAGCGCCTTACCCTGATTTCTTCCTGGAACTTCCTTCTCTCCTCCTTCATCGTCGCTCTGAACTGCTCGCTGAGCATAGAAGCGCCAGCCCTGGGGCCTGTGCCTGAGGCATTCGTCCCGGCCTTGAACTTCTCGGCGTCCAGCTGCTCCTTAAGCTTCGTGATCTCCGAGTTGTACCTGGTCCTCAGCGCAGCAATATCACTCTCCAGGGTCGACCGCGTCGACTCGGCGTCGTCCAGGCGGCCTTCCAGCTCGACCTTCTCCTTCTCAGCTGCGAGCGTCTCCTTGGTCAGCTCCTCGAGGTCCTTGAGCGTGGCGGCCAGCTCGGCCTTCAGCTTCTCCGACTGCTCCACCACGCTCTGCATCTGAGAGCTCTTGGTCAGCGCGGCCGCCTCGGCCGCCCGCTCTGAGCGAGACCCGTAGGCTCCCTCGAGCTCTGCCCTGGCGATGGTCAGCTCCGTCTTGATCTCGACCATCGTCACGTTGAGCTGCTCCATCTCCTCGTCCTTGACCCTGATCTGCTCCTCGAGCTTCCACTTCTCATCCTGTGCGGCCTTCTTGGTGTCATCCGCCTCTTTCAGCTGCTCATTCATGCTGCCCAGCTGCGCCTCAATAATCTCCAGCTTGTCCTGCAGGGCTTTGGCATCCGACTCCAGAGACACAATTTTGGCGTTCCGCTCCCGGAGTTGATCCTGTACGGCTGAGGTGGCAGCAGTCTCGTTAGCTGCTTGCGTAACCTGTAATGAGTCCAGATCCGCAAGGGCCCGGGCCAGCTTCTCCTGAGCTTCTGCGGCCTCCGTCTTGGACTGTTGGGCAGACTCCTCGCAGAACGCCAGGAGGTTCTTGGTCCGATTCAGCTCCTCAACCTTGTTTCGTAGCTCCACGTCCTTCTCGGAATCTCCCTTGCCATTCAGATCACGCTGCTGTCTGATTTGTCTCTTGAGCACCGACTTTTGCTCCTTTAAACTCGTTGCCTGTCGGAACAGCCACTGCACCTTTGCAGAGAAAGCGTCCAACGAGTAGGGCTCATCGAAGTCAAAGGCTTCATCCGCGGATACGTCGTCTTCATCGTCTGGCATTCCTTTGCCGAGACGCACTTCTCTTCGAGCATTCCGTTGTCGGTTGATATCCGCGTATCCTGATTGGATGATATCCCACAACCCAGTAAGAACAGTCTCGATCTGTGCGGCGCTTGCTGAAGAGTCCTTGTCCATTGACGTTTGCAAGACTGGCACTGCCGACTCGATCCAGTCGAAACGCTCCTGGATGCCCGAATCCTTAGCCAAGGGCGGAGGTGGCTGGCTCTCATCGACAGCCTGAACGGCTCGAAACACCTGTCGGCTCAATGCGTCTAATCTGTCCTCGACCTGAAGCATTACCATCGAGTTGTTGTCAGAACGCGGCTGTCCTTCCTGATCCCGCTGAATGGTTGACAAGGCCTCAGCGAGATAATCAAGCTGACTGCTGACCAACTCGCCAGGCTCGAAGTTCCCGGCAGGGGCTGGCTTGTAGCCTCCGTTGTTCGTGGGGTTCATTTGAACCACCAAGTCTCGCAGACGGTTGTTGAGGTCCTCGAGACTTCGCTCCGTAGTAGTAATAACATCCAAGTGCCCAGAGTTCTGCTTTTTCAATGTTTCCACCTCGTCACGCAACTGATTCGAACGCTCCCGCACCGGTGATCGCGGTGGTATCGGTATGTCGCTCTTAAGCGACCGGCCAAAGGTCTCGGGCTCATCGAGCGGGAAGTACAGTTCCCGGTCCAGATCATCGCTGGGGAATTGCATGCTGTTCCGCCCATTTGTGTACGTGTAAAGACTCTCCGGACTTCCGGGCATGCCATTAAGCATGGCCGGAGGTGGCTTTCGTTTGGAGGACGCCTTGTGAGTGAGTTGCAAGATTGCAGCCGTATGCTGAAGCAGGCGGCGTTGCGGCGCCAGTATTTCTTTCTCCAGGTTGAATAACTCTGTCGCCAGTTCCTCACACCTTTGCTCGCTTTCCTGTCTCTCAACCGCCGTTTCTTGGGCGGTTGGATCGGCAGTGGCTCGGTTTCCCCTTTTCCCGGCCGTGTATAACTTGGACATTGATATCGCGGCATCTCGATATTTCGTCTGTATCGCCAGGTTTGCCCGCGCCTGCTCGATGCGCACCGTCAAGGACTGGATCTGTTTCTTGAGGTCATCCACCTCTTCCTGCGCCAATATCTCCCATTCTTTGCTGTCAGTCAGGGCGGTCTCGGTGAGCAGGTGCACTTGGATGGGATCCTTGAGGTCGACGTGGGGCGAGCTCTGTGTCCGGTCTACATTCAACTACGTTCCCGATTAGCTTGAGACTGGGCGACGCGCTCGTGGAGGTACGAACGGGATTGTAGCGCGGCTGGTCCTGCGCGAAGCCATTCATTATGTCTTTCCTGTATCCCTCCATGATCTGTCTCCCGCCCGGACCCACAGCCTGGGTCGGGGATAAGAGGCTGGCGTTGTTGCCATAGTTCCCATTCATTCTGGCCTTGCAGCGTTGTTACAGTAGGTGACTCGCCGTCAATGCATGGTACAGTGTCCAAAGAACAGGTTGTGGCGTATCGGTGACTGGCGAGGATGCACAAAGGATGACGGTTCGAACTCAGGAAATATGTTGGTCACAAGATCGCTAAACAAGGAGTCGAGGACGTGACGGAGACGAGGACAGACGAGTGGGCCGTGGGCAAGCGAGCTGAGGGTATCATAGGATGATGCAAAAGAGTGACAAGTGGGACAGGGCAAATGAAATAGACTTCAAGCACGCGTCTCATACGGCTTTCATTGTCCCAGGGCCTTTTCGAGCGTTCTGGAAGGAGAGTGACGGTGGGAGATGGTGAAAAGAAGCCGACCGCCAACCGGAGGAGCTTTATGCGACAAAGGCAGATCTCAATTCGACCATGTTCTCAAAAGGGGCGGACACTTGAGCAACCCCCCTGAGGCCTTCACCGGCCGCTAACCCCAAACTATTGGGTGCCTATTTCCTGGCACGACAACCCGCAGCCTGCCAAGAACTGTCAATGCATTGGCCTCTGAGATATCCCAAAGTGAGCGCTAAAGGTTGTATCATTGAGCATTGCGCAAGTTGCCTGTATAGATAAGTTGGCATTTGTAATTGGCATTTTTGTTGAATTATTGTAAGTTGGCCAGAGTATTCAGAATGTACATTCTGTATGCATAGTAATGTACCTACGGATGCATCCGTACACGCTTGAGGGGCGGCAGGCTCCCTGGGCAGGTACCTGGTTACCCAGTTCCCCAGTACTGTCCTCCGAATCGAGAAAGACCCCTAGTCTTGTGGAATGTGGGTCCGAGCGTCCAGTTGGAGCCGCATGCAATTCGTACGTAGCGACTAGGCGGGAATCGTATACTGCAAAACTTCCCGGCGCATCCTCCCGCCGTCAACCCTCGACTCTCGCCATCGTCGTCGAGTCCTCTTGAGTCACGCTCATCCGCCAGAATCATTTAGCCATCTGGTTCCGGCTAAGCAGGCCTTGTGGAGGCTCTTGCTCGCACGCTGCTGTGACTTCTGGGTGTTGAGGCCCTGTCGCAGACTGACCCGCGTAAATTGCAGGTAGAAACCTGAATACCTCGAACCCAGGCAGCTGACTCTCAGCGCAACGACCTGGACGACAACACCAGCAAAGGGAGGAACGACATCGCGTCCCATCGTAAATACCTCTTCCCACACGAAAGTGATCGCACCCGAATAAGCGACTCTCCTTCCCCGCTCGACTAAGCGCGCATCCAACTTGAGGTGCTACATCTCACCACTCCAATCCTGATCTTTCGTCAGAGGCCCTAGCCGTCCACACACGACAAGATGGGTATTCCCGCGGCCTTTCGGTGGCTTTCCACCAAATACCCCAAGATCATATCTCCTGTCATTGAAGACCAGCCCGTGACCATGGACGACGGCTCCGTTATTCCGGTCGACCATACGCAGCCCAACCCAAATGGTGAAGAGTTCGACAATCTTTACCTGGACATGAATGGTATCGTCCACCCTTGCTCACATCCGGAGGACAGGCCTCCTCCAAAGGATGAGGAGGAGATGATGGTCGAAGTCTTCAAGTACACCGACCGAGTGGTCAACATGGTAAGGCCGCGCAAGCTGCTCATGATTGCTGTCGGTAAGTCACGACTGCCCCTAGCCACCACCCTCACGTACCTTACTGACCCATTTACGCCAGATGGTGTTGCTCCCCGTGCCAAAATGAACCAGCAGCGCTCCCGTCGTTTCCGTGCCGCCCAGGATGCCAAAGAAAAGGAAGAAGACAAGCAGCAATTGCTCACCCTCCTGAAACGACAGAACGGTGGTACCCACCCTGCTGAGTCTACCGAGGAAGTTGTCAAGAAAGCTTTTGACTCAAACTCCATCACGCCTGGAACGCCCTTCATGAAGATTTTGGCAGCCAGTCTGAGATACTGGTGTAGTTACAAATTAAATACCGATCCAGCCTGGGCGAACATGAAAGTCATCATTTCAGACGCGACTGTCCCTGGAGAAGGCGAACACAAGATCATGAACTTTGTTCGCTCCCAGAGGGCCTCGCCAGAACATGACCCCAACACCCGCCATGTTATCTATGGCCTAGATGCCGATCTCATCATGCTTGGTCTTGCTACCCATGAGCCTCATTTCCGAGTGCTGCGTGAGGATGTCTTCGCACAAGATAGCAGGGTCAAAATGTGTAAGTTGTGTGGGCAGAAGGGCCATGATGCCCAGAACTGCAGAGGAGAGCAGAAGGACAAGGATGCCGATTTTGACGGCAAGGACAACGCTCATCCGTTGAAGCCTTTCATCTGGCTACATGTCTCCATTCTCCGCGAATATCTCGCTGTCGAGCTCGATGTGCCCAACCTTCCCTTTCGTTGGGACATCGAGCGCGCTATTGATGACTGGGTCTTCATGTGCTTTTTCGTTGGCAATGATTTCCTGCCCCATCTTCCTGCCCTCGAGATCCGGGAGAATGGAATCGATACACTTACTGCCATATGGAAAGACAACCTGCCCCACATGGGGGGCTATCTTACCAAAGACGGACATTGCGATCTGGAGCGGGCGCAACTCATCCTGGCTGGTCTTGCGAAACAGGAGGATGCTATCTTCCGCCGCAGGAAGGAGACAGAAGACCGGCGCGAAGCCGGTTTCAAAAGGCGCAAGGCGGCTGAGCAAGCTCGCGCAGCTGGGCGTAACAACTCGGGCCCCCAGGGAAGGAATAAGCATCAGAAGGTTGACAACATGGTGCCCGGCCTTGCCCCCGATGCAGCTTTCGTGCCGATCTCGAGCTTGCCTGGCCCTCTGTCCAAGCCGAACAGTGCAATCACGCACGATATGGTTGTTAACAAGAGTTCTTTGCAGAATGCAAACAATGCCAACAAGAGCGCTGCCAGCGTTCTTAAGAGCCAGATCCAGGGTCTCATGAACAAACCTACCGAGTCCAAGGAGGAGACGGCGAAGGGTGAAGAAACTTCGCAGGCCCAAGAAACACCGCCTTCAGCTGCACGCAAGCGCAAAGCAGACCTTCTGGAGAAGGATGAACCTGGCACACCGAGCACTGACAGTCCTGACGCCGTCACTCCGTCCACCACGACCGAGAATGAGGGGCCCGTCGACACAGTGAGGCTCTGGGAGGACGGGTACGCCGACAGATACTACGAACAGAAATTCCACGTGGACCGTAACGACGTTGAGTTCCGTCACAAAGTCGGGCGCGCGTACGTGGAGGGTCTAGCATGGGTGCTGATGTACTACTTCCAAGGCTGCCCGTCTTGGGATTGGTACTATCCTTACCATTATGCGCCCTTCGCCCAGGATTTCGTGGACCTACACAAGGTCGAGATCAAGTTCGAGAAAGGAAGAATATCCAAACCATACGAACAACTCATGAGCGTTCTCCCTGCGGCGTCCAGGCACGCCATCCCTGAAGTTTTCCATGACCTCATGACAGATGAGGACAGCGAAATCATTGATTTCTATCCTGAGGATTTTGAGGTCGACCTGAACGGGAAGAAGATGGCGTGGCAAGGTGTCGCGCTCTTGCCGTTTATTGACATGCCGCGGCTCCTCGAGGCCATGGCGAAGAAGTATCACTTGTTGAGTGAAGATGCTTTGGCACGGAATGAGCCTGGAAATGACGTTCTCATAATATCAGATGCGCACCCAGGCTTGTACGACGATATCATCATTCACTTCTACTCAAAGAAGCAAGGCGCGCCGAAACACCAGCTCGACCCGAGGACAAGTGGTGGTCTGGCGGGTGAGATCAAAAAGATCGAGGATTACCTCCCTCACGGTGCTCTGACATACCCACTTGAAAGAAAGTCAATGCCTGACCTTGACTACGACCGCTCCCTGAGGTATGCCAGCACACTTTTCCCACCTTTAGCTACTTGTAGATGCAGTCACTAACAGTGCGCAGTGTTAACTACGAAATGCCAAGCAGCGCACACACGCACAAGTCTATGCTACTTCGCGGCGTCAAGCTACCGACACCGGCCCTCGACCGGAACGACATGGACGAGATTCGATCGAAGGGCCGCCGGTCAGGCAGAAGCCATGGTGGCGCGCCTCTGGGACGCCACAACTATCAGAATGGCCGTACTGAACCGATCAATTACGGTCCCGGACGCGGCGGGTATCAAGGTGGCCGTGGTCGTGGAGGCTCAGGAGGAGGCTATGGTGGACGAGATAGCTATCCTCCACCTAGAAACGGTGGTGGCTATCCAGCCCCACCGGCCAACTGGGTGCCACCTCCTCCTGGAACAGTGGGCTTCGGTAGCGGTTTGCCGCCACCACCACCGCCCGCTAATTTCGGCAATGGCGGTGGATACGGTGGATACGGCGGCGGATACAACCAGGGCTATGGCAATGGAGGCGGATATGGCGCACCACCAGGGCAGTATGGTGGAGGAGGAGGAGGAGGTTATCAAGGCTATCAAGGTCAGGGGTATCAACAACCGCCGTACTCTGGTCGTGATGACCGTCGACAGGGGGGCTATGGAGGGGACAGGGGCTACGACCGTGGTTACAGTGGCAATGGTCGTGGCTATCGTCGCTAGGTCTGGGTAGATGTTCACAATACCTTTGCGTGCCTTGAGTAGATGTGATTCCACAAAGGCGCCGAATAGAAACGTCTATTGAGCCCACGGCGCTGTCTACTTTCTCGCGACGGTCAACTGTACTTCATGTCCACCGTTTTTAGGAGTTCTCATTGCTTGTGTTGTTTTTCTGGGATGTTTTCTATTTCGCACGTTCTGATGAACGCTCGGGAATGCCTACTGTGACACACTCATACGTGTGGAGCAGCAATTCCTGGGTTTCCTTATCAGGGCCTGTGGCCACGGTTGTCATCGTCATTGCTTATTCTATTGGTTTTGTTTGCCATCAAAAGTTTGACCAGGATAGTTCCTCGGAATGCTATAAAACGAGCTCGAAAATTACATCTTTCTTATGAACCTATTGGCACAATCAACTCTGTAGACCGTCTGGATGGCGCTGATAGAAATCCATTGCTTACTCGAGATTGTCTACAAAGTAGGTCTCGTGCAATGCTCAGCCGGTGTTTGTCATGACTAGGCCGGTATTTGTATTTTGGCTAATCATTATGTTTCCCAGCCTCGCCGATTGCCTTGGAGGCCCTATAGATTTATGTGAGGTACCAGCAGAAGACCAGGACACCCAATGACACTTGGAGGTGATATTGTGAATACCCGGAACAAGAGCAAAGTGGCTCTTGTAACGCGAAAGCTGTCAAACACATGTCCGTATTCAAGTCTTCAAGCCCATCGGGTGCTTCTTTTCTTAAACGTGCTGCTTCCTGGATATACTTGGATCCACACCGTGTATGGGAACAGTTGGTGTACTCCAGGCGAACGAGTATCGTAGTGCCTGATCTCGGTATGAATGACCTTCCACCCACCCACCTCCACCGGGCCATGCAAAACCCCGTCAATTAACACTTTGGTTGATTTAGGTTGAGGCGAACGTGCCTTGGGAGCAGTGGCGGCTTAGGAGGCATCGGAACATGCGCCTCCATCATACAAGCCAGAGTCTGCTCGTAAGCTGCTATGGCTGATTCAATGCGCCCCTGTGTCAAGTCGAAGTGCACCCTTCCAGGTGGCGTCAAAAGGCTCGACCTCCTTTTCAGCCATGCTTTGATGAACGAGCAGGTTGTGAGCACAACTGGCAGGGAGGAGCCTTATGTGCGGGTCCAAAGGAGCACAGCCAGCGCTGATATGCTTTCCGAGATCAATCGTACGGATTGCGACTGAGCAACGGTATCAGGGGCTGCAAAGGCAGTCTCTCTGCGCTGGGGAACGAAATACGGCGACTGAGTGCATCAGTCATCATATGCCACACACTTGCTCAGGTTCCAACGCCAATCGGTTGCGTCCCAGCAAAGTTGTACTGCAACGACCCCCCATAGGTAAGGTTGGAGTATCCCATCTGTGTGTTGTTGTTGAGACCCGTGGCCAGATATCCACTGTTGTCGCGTCCCGACGGATTTCCTGACCCAACCGTGGTATACCTTGGACCATTCGAAGCCCTGCCCTGCTGGTTTGTGCTATTTGCGACGGTATGCCTGGGATGGTACCCTGATGACCCTTCGCCAAAGTAGAGGTAGTCTGACGGCTTAAACTTGTCGTTGTTTCGGTCGCTGGGGGCTGTAACGGACTCTGCTGGTGGTTTCTGAGCTGCGTCTGAGGGTTTCCTGCGGCCCGTGACTGGCTTCGGTGTAAGGGACATCTCGTCGGAAGGGGGCCTATTTGCTTGGGGGCGAGCGGCCTCGTGTTGCGTGTCGTCCTCGTATTCCCTCCCAGAAAAGCAGCACGCGAACATTGCGGGTGAGGATGGTTGTTTAGAGTTTGGGGGAACACAAGCAGAGGTGAAAAGAAATCCAGCCCGGCGTCCTCACGCACTGCAGATTATATGTAAAAAGACGACATTGAACTGGAGGAGCTGGGATTCGTCCATTAATAGAACACACTCTACGAGGGCCATGGTGGCTGAGTCGGACATGACCTGTTCCTGCTCCCTAGTAAATCCTTCCCTAAATGCGCCTTACCTTGTCGCATAGTAAGGACAGCAGGCACATGGAGGCTGGCCTGGTTATGTTGTCAGCAGGGCAGTTGATCAGTCATTGGTCGTTGTAGAGTCAGTTAGTTGTGCCCACGTTATTGCTCATGTTTGTGGGATATTCTCCTGGGATAAGGCGCCGTCACATTTTAGGATAGTCCCTAGCCCAAATGCAGCCGTGATATCCTTTCCTGGTAGTCCAGATGTGACCGTGGGCTCTTGGCTGCCTTGGGCACGCACAGCCCTATTGCTCAGCTTGGACATTACGTGGACTGGAGCTGCTTCTAGAGCTTGAGCTTGAGCTCGCCCTCGTCCGAGACCAGCTCATCCCTCGCGGTAATTCCATTGTTCTCTCGGGAGAAGGGGAGTTGTCACATGCTGGGCTCGAGCCTTGCGGGTGGTAGCCCTGCCCGGTTACTCCTCCAGCCCTCTGGCAATATACCAGACTCATGTGTACCTGCATAGGTACGTAGATGCAAGGTCGTGCGTCTGGAGGTTCAGTTGCATCGACGGCTGGCCCAATCTGCCGCGGTCGCTGGGTACCAAAGGGTGGGTTTTGTGTTCCAAAGTTGTCTCTCTTGTGTCTCTCCCTGCGTGTGCCTCTGGGGTGCAATGCAAGGGACCAGGGGCCAGCTTACCCCTGGGCCATGGGGGGGACGCCTCACCCGCAGCTCAGCTCTTGTGCCCAATCTTGCGCTGCCTCCCACGCCGGGCCTTGCTCCCCACTGCAGTACCGAGCTGGTCAACCATTTAAGCTTAGCGCGTGCCGCGGTAAGCACGGTACGGTACCCTACGCACACCGCAGTCTGCTGCTACCCTGCTGCCCTGCCGCCCTGGCCAGGCCTGGTACATGTGCATGTACACACCCAGCAGCCTTGGGAGGTCGAGGACACATGCAAGACAGGTCCATTGGGCGAGTGGAGGGAGGCCAAGGGCGAGTTCATGCATCGTCGACCGTTGCAGTACATCCGGCCCCAGACAAGCCCCTTCGCAAAACCACAGACGACCGATTGCTCAATCGAGGGGCGCCATCATCTGTTTCTTTGTGTCGATCCATTTCTGCTAGCCTGTTGTTGAGAGACCACGCCTACTCCACTCTTCAAACCCCATCGCGAGCTCCATCGAGTCAACGCCCGCTGCCGTCTCCCAGCCTGGCCCGTTCCCAAGCACCGACGCTGTCCCGACGCTCTCAATTGCCCAATCGCCCAATCGCCCGATCCCACACCATCCTCGCCCCGGTGTCACGCACGCATCGCGATCACTAGCCCGCTCCGACACCTACAAGCCCGTCGACTGCCTGGCGCTGCAGGCGAATCCCCCCCGGACCGCGAGGGCAGCCCGATCCCAGAACTGCCCAGGAGAGGGCATGCTGCTTTAAACATGCGAAAGAGGGAGACACACCCCTATGTCTCTCAGCACAATGAACGGTGATGGCAGTCTGGTTCGGTGTCTTGTGGAGAGGCTCACTACAAGGGTAAGGAGACGAATGACAAGGGGACGCCCCGAGGATCGCATTGGATGCTGTCCCGATCTCTGGATGCGAAGGATGGCGGAGAGAAACACCCGTGCTGACTTCCTGCTCGCCCCGATGTAGCTTCCGCACCGGACAGGCACCACCAGCCAAGACCTCGCTCAAGATGACATCGTTCTCATCACCCGTGCCACCCTGCTGAAGGTCAGCGCCGGATCCATCAATGTCGTCCTCGACGCTCTGATGGGCTTGATCGAGGACCTAGGACGACCATACAAGGCCGGAGCAATCTCCACCCACCCACCTCACGTCCTCATATCCGAGATCTATATATTTGGCCTGATTGCCGATTGCTGCACCAGCCACTGGAATGCTGTGGGTTCTATTCCGCCACAGCCCGAGTCTTGGCGAATGAGAAGTGCCCAGAGGGCCAAGTTGCCTCCTCCGCAGACACTCGATTCCGCGCTGGTGACCAGGGTTCTGGATATTTTGAGACTGTACGCCCGACCTCTCCCGGAAGGATACAGTCTGTCGACCCAGACCTTGCTTGATGAGTTCAATACCGAGCGCACCGTGGTGGCGGACCACCCCGAGCTGGCCACCTCTCTGCCGCCCGCCGGCAGCGAGCAGCCCGTTGAGAGCCAGGCGCTATTTGACTCGAAAATCGAAGGCCTGGAGCGCCAGGGCAGGACCATCGCTGAGTTTGTCAGTGCGTCCAACTGGACGAGCTCGTTCGAGTATCTGAGGAAGCTCATCTACATGGTCCGGACTGCCACGTCTGCGAATATCGCAACTGTCCAAACCCCAGCGAGCGCCGACGACGAATACACCGCATTAATAGTGTTGCGCCTAATCGGATGCTTCTGGGTAGACAGTCAGAAGCTCGGACTGATCATCCAGGAGATCTGCTCCAGTTATCTTCATTTTCGGAGACCGTTCCAGCACACCATCGCCATCGTCACCCCGCTTTTGATCACCAGATGGTTGGATCGTTATCCCGACGAGTTTGTTGAGTTGCACACAATTCACAAGAGGCTAGATGGTGGGCCGGATACCCTCTTTGATATGACACAGACAGTCGTGCATGACAATGGAAGGGCAGACTCGGTTGCCGATGGTGTGAGGCGGAAGTTCTTGCTCTACCCGTTGCAAATTACCTTACTTTTCCTCCTCCCTGATGTGTTCGAGGTTGCCAGCAACCTGCGAGAGGCCAAGAGTGGTAGCATGTCCAAGAAAGTCGCATTTCTTGACGGTTTGAGGAAAACCCTCAGGAACAAAAATGAACAGGCGGCGTACTGTCTTGTGCTACTTCTGCGTGCGGCCCGGCATTTTGACCCCGAGAGTGATTCGGCGTTCATGAGTTACGCCCTGGACGTGCAGGATGAGATTCGAGACGCTGTTTTCCGTCGCAACAGCTCGGGGCCGGATAGCGGGCTGTTCGACCAGGACATCATGACCGCTGCCTTTATGAGCCTAACTGACCTTAACTATGAGAGCTGTGTCGAGTCCTTGGCACCATCCTGCCTCGCCCCGAACACTCCGCTTGGTTTCAAAATCGCTGTGATCCAGGCCTGCTCTCACTTTGCGGGTCTTGAGGAGGCGGATCATTACACGCAGCTCTATACGATCGGGTTCGAGTTCACGCTGGCTCAACTCAAGGTATGTAACACAATGCTCTTGCACAGTCGAACATGAACTGACTTCGGCGGTAGACCATGTCCACAATATTTGTCGTGGGCGATCACGGGTCTTCGAGAAAAGCCCTGGAGCTAGTCGACAACAATAGCATGCTCCATCACATCATCTCGTTTCTCTGTGTCTGCCCACTGGGCGTCTTTGTGAAGATTCCAGAGCACAAGGAAAAGAATGAGTACTTTGAAGAGAGCCTCGAGTCTTTCCTGCCTTGCCTGGTCACTTCAAACGAAGAAGTGCGCCGATTGGCCGCGCAGGTAACCGTGCGCGTATTCGGCAGTACGATCATCATGGAGTCTCTCCGTGCGTCGAAAAGGATATGCTCTCTTGCATTCAAGCAAAAGTTCTGGAAACTGACCTCGCTTGTTCTAAGCGACCTTCTCGACAAGGTCGACTCTCAAGACCTTGGTGCAGGTATCAATTCGATTCACGGGTATCTTGAGTCCAGACTTGTTTTGCTGCGGAAGCTCTCGGAACTGGCCAACTTGCCGGAAGAGATACCCGAGAGAGCGGCCATAAATACCAGGCTGGAGACACTTTTGCTGGTCTCCTTGTGCTCGGCGAATATCGAGACGTGCCAGCTAGTTATCAGCTGCTTCGGCCTGTTCTTTGAGGAGAGTCATATTGTTGAGACTGCCTCCTCGAGCACCGCGAAGGCGGCATTATCTCTCCTTCGAAATGGCGATGTTTTTCGGGAAATCGGCTCGCGCGCGTTCCGCTTCACCGGACTGGTCGCTTTCCAGAAAAGAATCCGCGGCCTGCTACGGCGAATGCAATACCCAAGCGCGGGTATCTTGGATGCGTGGGCTCTAGCATTTGATAGGTGGCTGCATTTATCAAGAGATGTGTCGACCGCAGCCCTCGAGACTACATCGGAAATGGCAGTCGCCGAGTGGCGGAACTACTCTGGCTTCCTAGCCTCTCTCGGCGGTGTCTGCGTAGCCGACCAGACTGCGATTATCGACGACCCATCTCTTGGAGGTCTGAAATGGATTGATCGGCTGTCTTCCGACAATCAGGAGGAACCAATACTCAATAGGTATCTGAGGCTCAGCATCCAGCTCCTGGCTTGCAGCAACGTACGTGTGAGGGAGACCACGCGGGAGGTGCTCTCCTCGGAGATCTCGCCCGCATTGTACCAGCCTCTCTTCAAAGCACTCGAGTCGGAGCTGGATATTCTGTTCACAGGTGCACTGGAGTCAGCTGTCAAGGGCCTTGATAGCGAGATCGTTTTTGCCGAGCAGTCAATTTCCCTGCTCCGCGCCCTGGTGGACAGACTGGATGGCCCTTCCGATTTGGGAGCAGCGTCGTCTGTGCATCTAGGTGCACTCACGCTCAACTTTGCCAAATTCCTCGACGGCGTTCCAGACACCAAGAACAGCCTCATGGTCAAGATCAAAGTCTGCCAACTTTGTGAGGCTGTCGTGAAGAAAAAAGAGCATCTGAACCTGAGGGATGATGTTCGTATCCGCAACCAGCTCCTGGAATACATATTCAGTTGGATCGCAAGGCCACGCTCCCCAAGGGCGGAGTCTGCGGCGGCGTTTGGGCCTGCGCGGCCTGACGATTCACTGAGAATCCAGAGAGATCTCGACAGGGCTTGCCTCAGGTCGCTGGCTGAGCTAACGTATCGTCTCCCACTGCAACCAGGCGACGGACAGTCAGATGTTGGAACAAGTGAGCTCAAGTCACAGATGTTCCACACTTACTTCAACCGGTTTCTGTCGCTTCTCAATCTGGAATCTGCCGAGGCGAGCAGGCACGATCATGGGACGACCGCCAGGGACGACAGTATTACAAGCTCTGAACTTGCCATCACCGTACTTTCCAATCTCCTTAGTGCGAACATTGACGTCGGTCTGAAGCACTCTTTGAGTATTGGTTATCACGAGAACGTTGAGATAAGAACAGCTTTCGTGAAAGTTCTCTACAACATCCTGATGCAAGGCACTGAATTCAACAACCTGTCCGACACTGCCGTCACGGAGAAGTACGACGAATTGCTAGATCTTTTGACTACTGATACGACTCTGGCGGCTGCTATTAGCGCAGTATGCCCCAGCAGCGAGGTCGACGAGGTGACAATATCGCTGTTGAACATCTTTGAGACCCGGGGCATGAGCTTCGCCCTGCTGGAAGCTCTTGTGAAGCAAGAAATTGAGGATACGGAAAACGAATCCGAGCTGCTCCGGAGAACTTGCGTGGCCACGAAGATGCTCTCGATTTATGCAAAGTGGAAGGGCACAGCATACCTGAAAGCAACATTGCAAAAAGTCGTGGAGCGGCTCATGCTAACTTCAAAGGATCTTGACCTTGAACTGGACCCAGCCCGTGTCACGTCACAGGAGGAACTCCAGAAAAATGCGCTGCAGCTTCGCATAGTCGCCAAGGTTTTCATTGACGATATCTGTGCTTCGTCGGCGAACATACCGTCGCCATTCAGGAAAATCTGCAGCATCATATCGACGGCAGTCATGCCTAGATTCCCGGAGGCTAAATACACTGCCGTTGGCGCCTTCATCTTCCTCCGGTTCTTCTGTCCAGCTATTGTGGCACCCGAGGTCGAGGGCTTAGTATCTACTGCACCGTCCAAGGAGATGCGTCGAGGGCTTCTTCTTATTGCGAAGGTTGTCCAGAATTTGGCCAACAATGTGCTCTTCGGGGCCAAGGAGCCGTACATGTTCCCTCTCAACGACTTCCTCACGCAGAACATATATAGGGTGACAACCTTCCTGCGCGAGATTTCTGTGTCGCCTGAGAAAACAGATCCTCCCAGCACGAATGAATCGTTCGACTTTGGCTCCTGCGTGGCTTTACATCGCTTCCTCTACGACCACTGGGACCAAGTGCGGCAGCGCCTCGCCTCCCAGGAGAGAAGAGACTTTGTTCGAACTCCGGCTGAGATCTCTCGCATGCGGTCCCCTGTCCTTGAACCCCTTAGAAACCTCATCTCACATCTTGGTCCTCCAGCGCTGGCCGTTACTTGGAATAGGCCGTTGATCTCAGCCAACAGTCCACCAGCTTACTCTCGGTTCCAAAATTTTATGCTTCGCAATGCGTTCCGCAGTACCGAATCATTCGTCACGGCGAGGGCTGTGTATGATGGTGGAGAGAGCAAGGTAAGCCCACAAAGATCCTCAAAAATTCTGACACTTCCGCTATAAGCCACGGCTGACGGCTGACATTCTGCGTTCAGGATGGCTTGTCCATCATCTGCATCATCTTGAGGAACATTGATGACGAGAACATTGATTATGATACTCTGATATACTGCTACTTGAAGGTAAGTGCAGACAAAATTTTGTTTGTCACGACTCTATGCTGTTGCCCGTGACGCTGCTCTTTGCTCAGAATTGGTCATCGTACTGACACATGGACAGATCGCCAGCCGCCTGTGGCATCGACCTTTCGGACTACTCATCGACGCAACCTGCTACAATGGCCAGAACGACGAGCCCCAGGACGAGCTCTTCCACAAGCTCGAGCTTCTCACTCCCACGGAGCTGTCGAAGCAGCTTAGTCGTGTCTATATTTACAACATGAACAGTGCATTCCGGTAAGCAGAGTTTTGACTATACAAGGTGTGATATGGACGTCGGAAGGACTGACAATGTACAGCAAATGCCTGCGTCGTGTTCTTCGTGTCTCGACAAGAAAAGATGCCAGTGTCTTCAACCCCAATAACATCGAGTACCATCTCGTTGGCAGCATCAAGGAGCTACAAAATCACTTCCACTTCAACCAGCTACATCTGCCAAAGGAAACAATCAGCGTCTTTGCAGACACGCGCTACGACTTTAAGCCAGTCGTACGACTGTCGAAAACGAAAGGAAGGATCGCGTGCCGGGTCATGGTAGGCAGCCAATTCGTCCAGATAACAACAGCCGAGAAGCAGGAGGTACACCCCAACTTCCGCCTAAGCGCCACCATCAACGATATATTCCGCCTTGGTGACGTTGATGAGGCGCCTACGAACGTGAAGCCTGATGATGAATCAGCCTTTGGCCTCCGGGCTGACAATGGCAAAATTATCATGTACTTCACCAGCCCTAAGAAGGCGGAGATTTTACAGACGATCCGCGCCGCGAAGGCCAAGTACGGCAAGGACACGCGGTCGCTGAAGTCATTTGAAAGACTTATTCGGCCACAGGATGTGCCGGGTACGCTTTTGAATCTTGCCCTAACGAATCTGGCCAGCCCCGATCACGTCTTGCGACTTTCCTCATACAATCTGCTGGGCGCCCTATGCAAGGCCTTCAACTTCACGGTCGCATCAAAGGTGGTGTGCACACGAGGTAAGCCAAAATCGATTGGGACACTCTGGGAGCGGATTGTTGGAGCGCGCGCCCGCTGACTTGTTCTAGACATCGCGGTGCCGCTAGACCCGTCACGGTTTATCGTGGAAATTAGCAAGACGCTCGCTCAGGCCGAGCCTCAGCTCACGTCGGATTTCCTGAATGAATTCTTTGTCGGCTGGGATAGCTTTTCCGAAGAGCAGAAGCCTTTGAGTCTGGCCTACCTGGCGCCATGGCTGCCAGGCCTCCGATCATCAGTGCTGGCAGCTGAGCCCGACAGTGACAAAGGTCGCGATAAGATTGCGAGTTTGTTCCGGAAGTTAATCGACGTGACGCTGTCCGACCCGACTTTGAGCTTCACATTGGAGCAGACGATCTGGCCGGCCATCCATGGAGACGAGGTTCTCCTCGATATCTTCCTCGAAGAAGTGATCAAGACGGCTTTGAGTATAGGTCTCCACGATGAACAGACAGAGACATTAACCTCGATCGTTACGGCAATTGGCAGCATCTCGCTGCGTGGCAAGATAATCACTCGCTTGCGGAAGGCCATGAACCGGTCTTCTATGCGCCAGAGCAAGTACCTGCCTGACAACGTCGTCTGGCCAGAGGTCTGCATTCTGCTGCAGTTCTGCGTATCGCTGTCCTTCGACAGTGGGATACAGGCGCAGATGTTCTTGCCTGAGATTTTCCACATCGTAACGATGCTTGCGAACACTGGCTCGCCGGACATCCGCATACTGGTGCACAGGCTCCTGGTCAATTCCATCCACGCGGCCTGTACGTCGTTCCATCTGGATGAGGCCCGCCAGGCCAAGCTCCGGGGCATCCTCGAGTCCTTGTCGGAAACCAGGACTGATATCTGGAGCATCACGCCCGCATTCCCTGGGCGCGATGGGGCATCAATGTCTACGACACAAGAGTATGGCCCCAACCTAGCGGCCACGGAGATTTTGGCTGGTATCATGTTCGAGGTCTGCTCTATCGCAGCAATTTCCACGGATATTGCTAATGCTTGGCGATCGCGCTGGATGAGCCTCGTGGCCAGCACCGCCTTCCAGAACAACCCTGCCATCCAGCCTCGTGCTTTCTCCGTCATGGGCTGCCTCGCGAGGGAAGAGGTAGACGACGATCTTCTGTATCAGGTTCTCGTCGCCCTACGGATCAGCATCACTCGCTTCAGCGGCGAGGATAGCAGCAGCGAGATGCTGGTGGCGATTGTTACAGCACTGTCCCGGATGATGGCCAAGCTCCCGTCGACCTCCCGCTACGGTGTGCAGTTGTTTTGGCTCGCTACCTTCTTGTTGAGGCTTGTGCCAATCAACCTGTTCAACTGTGCGGCGGTGTTCTTGGAGTCGGTGCTCACAAATATCAACACATCAGGCGACACTCGCGGCCCCAAGCTCGTGGCACACCTGCTGCAGGGCCGTGAGCAGCTCGAGGAGGTGGCGCTTCCGCTGGACGCATTCTACGGTATCCACTTCACTGCCGAGAACTTCCACTTTGCAGTGTGCGCATGTCTCGTGCGTGGCCTGTCAGATACGATGACCAAATCTACAGCCCTACATGTGCTTGCTACGTTTTTGGACATGACAGAGACGGCTGCAAGTCCAATTGAGGGGCAAGAAGCCTCTTCCAAGAAACTGAAGGACGTGCCTTACTCTCCATACCTGTCGCTCATCCTGTCACGGGTGGTCACACCGGACGAGCTCAAAGACACCCTCTGGTTGGCGGGTATCAAGCCACCGTCGAGCCTGGCTGGCGTGCACAAAGCGCGGACCCCTGAGAAGCTCAGCACGGTCAAGGACAAGGACTTGCTGCTGAACTCTGCGATCGAGCTCATCGACTTCGCGTACCTCGAGGACGCCGCACAGAGCCGCACGCTACAGTGGATGAATGAGCTGGCAAGTGGACGGCCGAACGTGATCGTGCACCTGTGCGGGCCGATACTAGCAATACTCGACGAGACGCTGCTGCACTGCCAGAACTCGGCGACGCTCGAGTCGGCCCACGGCCTCCTGCAGACGTTGACGTCGAACCCCAAGTTCGCCTCGGCGATGGAGTCTGGGGGTGCCTCGGGGCTCAACGAGATCCTGGAGGACATTGGGTTCGGAGGCCTCTGGCGCTTCTGCTCGCTGAACCCGCAGCAGGAGCCAGACAAGGCGTGCTTTGCGCAGACGGAAAAGTTGATCGATGTGAGTAGCCTTTCAGAAACCCAACTCGCCACCAGGGAGTCAGACCAGACATGCTAATATTACGGACCAATAGTTGATAATTAATGCCGGGACGTACTGAGTTGCCCGTGCCCGTAAAACCTGGTTTGGATTCCACGACCGCAGCGGCAGACGCTTTCAGGTGTTTAGATGCGCTAAACCAGCCTGCGCGACCATTGCATATGGGCGCAGGAGCATGGTACGGAGTGGGTTTAGAATGGTGGCAAGATGTTTTGGATAGTCGCGAAGCTGGGTGTTTGTACGCAGAGATATCCTGACGATACAGTCGATGGTTGAATGGTTATTGGACCCCCGTGTGCATGTGTGCATGGGATGATCTTGCAACACCATGAAGGCAGTGCAGTGCATAGTCTAAACGCCCGTTTCCCCCTCCCTCTCTTGCTTGTGTAATCCCAAGCAACACCACAGCTAACTACTCGCATGCATGTCATACGTGAATGATCAAAACTTCCTACTTGGGCTACTTGGCCCGAGGATCCAGCTTGGAAATCCATCCACGGTGTTGCCACAGCCCTATATGCCAGGCCTTGCCGCGATCCTGTCGTGTCTCTCCCGCTTCCGAGATAGTTGCGGATTTTCACCGTCGCACAGATTGAAGGCACTGCCTTATAAATCCCTTCACCTTAAGGCGTGCGCGGGTTAGGCCGTGCAGCCACCGTCCTACAGTCGTACTAGGGCGCGTGCAGCACGGCATGCACGTCTGCACCACCTAGTGTGCACCTGCTGTGCGAGAATGGGACAAGGATTGCTATTCTTAGGGGGTGCTAGTTGCCACACGAGGAAACTCTCGCCTAGCCCACTCCACCCCACCCACACCTACCTTTCTTCCCGCAGAACCCCGTCAGCGGCTGAGTTCTGCATGCTGCTGCAGCACAGGATGTGTGTGTGTGGGTTGGGTTGCTCTAGACCCGCAGACTTGGACGCTGGGCCAAAGGCTTTTCCGACTTGACAGCCAAAGACCTGCGTCTTACACATGGAGAAGGGATTTTCTTGGAAACTCTTTTGCGCGTGGCCGAGACACCGAAGTGCGAGGTTTTCCCTGTTTTTTTTTTTCTTTTTTTTTTCCTTGCGTCACTTGCGCTGGAATATACGAAGCCTCATGTGTGGGCGGGCGGTGGCACCGCATACGCATGTACTATACTGTAAAGTAAAGCTTTCTTGGTGTTCTGGCAAAGGTTGAGGGATGTGGGTCCCCCGCCCGGGAGCCCAGGACAGGGCGGCGGCGACCACATGACAATGCTCTCTCTCGAGAATTGATTGATACTCCTCCCATCGCTCGTGTTTTTTCGTATTTCCGCGGTATGGGGTGTACGGTTGCACGCTTTGGCCCGAGGAAGCCCCCACTTGCCATCTATCTATCCACAACTTCCTAGTTGTTGTTGTTGTTGTTGTTGTTGTTGTTGTTGTTGTTGTTGTTGTTGTTGTTGTTGTTGTTGTTGTTGTTGTTGTTGCTGCGGTTGCTTGCTGCTGGAGTAAATACCTGCAGGCTGCAGTGCTGTTAGGCCGGCTGGCCGGGGAGGGTATCGATGTCGAGACGTCCAAGTAAACACAACTCCGTCGCCACCTCGACAACCGACACCCACCGCCTTTCCCCACACACGGGGTATCATGAAATCCGAAAGTCCTGGGTCATGTGCCTCGGAATCGCAGTGAATTGTGTAGGCTTCCTGCGATGTCCAGAGACCGTTGAGCGTCCCCCTCGGGGGGTTTCGAGGCTTGGGAGGCGGGTCTTCTGGCGCAGGACGACTGATGTTCCTTCTGCCTGGACATGACCAAGCATTATTATCTTCTTGTTCCTTTTCTTTTCCGCACGTGAACATCGCTGCATGTGTGATTGCTCATCAACGCTTGCTTGTGCTGCCTCGCAGGGCGCCACAGGAACGAAGACAGCCTATTGAGGGCTTTATGCCCCCGGAGGTGAGTAATACTTGGTGAAAGCCCGTCGAGCGTATACATGTAACGCATGCAAATGCACGAGCACACGCGGTTCCGCAGTCGTGGGTTGAGCTTGCAACATCTCCGGGGCGCCGGCCGCGGGAAATCCTTTTTGGGTCACACCGGGGTGGCTCATGTGACATGCGTCAGAGGGGGCCGCGTTTGAATTTGTCGATTTTATCGATTTTAATTCCTGGCATTTCTTTTATTTATCTAGTTGTTTTATTTTGTCGGGCCTGCTCTACCTGCTGCATGTCGGGCCTTGCAGTCGCTCTGGCCGGGCGGATCGAGTATAATTGTCGGAACGAGGCTGGTGGTCTGGCCAAGGTGAGAGTGGTGAAGAAAAAAACCCAATTGAGCGCGCGCGAGGGCCGAATGGGAGTGCGATTGGGGGATGTCTCGACTGAGCCCCCTGTAACGCGGCTGCCCACCACCACCCTCCCGGCGTGGGCTGGTTCACAGTCGGCCATCGGGGCCGCCGAACCACACCCCCAACGTTGTGTGCTGAGGTAACACAGCGAGTTCGGCCGACGGCCCACTGATTGGCCAGGCGCTGCTGCGGGAAATCTTTTTTTTCTCTGGCTTCCTTCTCTTTTTCGCTCCCACCTCTTATAGTATCTATCGTGCATTTCCGCGCAGCGCACCGCGACAAGCCGACCTATCGCCGATGTGTGCGTGCACTAGTTGTGTTTCACTTGCAAAGCTATGTCCTGGGGCAGGGTTAGGAAATAGAACAGAGAGGAAGTAAATGGAAGGGCCTGGAGCACGGTCGAAGCGTTGGGACTTGATGACCTGAGCTGAGCTGATCGAGTGAATCATGATGGGCCATGACCAGTGCGAGGGCGAGAGCGAGGGCGACGTGTAACATGCGAGGCAGCGGCTAGCGCTATTCATCGCGGTTAACGGCCTCGTTTGACTCCCGAGGACTTTTTTTTTTTTTTTTTTTTTTTTTTTTTAAAAAAAAAAAAAAAAGCCCCTAGCAGAGATCCTTAGATCTAGTGTAGATCGCAAATGACGGGAAGTATCATGTTCCCCACAATCCCACTCCCACCCGAGCTGGCTGGCCGTTCAAATTGTCGGGACGAAGTACAGCATGTAGGCTACATAATAATTCTATAGTGCTGACACATCCGGCCAGGAGCGTACCGAGGCTTCTTTCTTGTCCCCAACAGAAGGACTTGACCGTTGCTGCTGCAGCCTGGCAGGCCCGGCTGGGCCCTACCGAGCCCCCCCGCAAGACGTCGTACCAGGGCGCGCGGCAGCTCGGCTTGCCCTTGCATGAGAGCGACAAGACCGACGGGCCAAAGCGTGGACAGGTTGCATATGGGCCTATGGTCTCGGCCTGGTCTCGGCATGGGTCTTGGGTATGTCTGATGGAACCATGCGACGATAGAAAGAAGGAAAAAAAAAAAAAAGAAGAAAAAAAAGGATAAAACCAAAAAAAATCAATAACCAGCCAGGCTACCAGCCGGGGGAGAATTGAGGTATTCAACAACATAACCGCATACCCGGCCGGCCAGGCAGGCAGCTCGACCGAGGCTCGTCGGGATTCCGACGGACAATATGAGTCATCCGTGTTGATGATGGCTTCGTATGCAAAAGCGAGCGCGTGACCCGTGGCTTAGGCAGTGAGGATAGATTAAGGTAGCCTGGCCTACGTGGAGTCTGACAACGCAATGCAATGCGGTACCAGCACTGCGCTATGCACTCCTGGCTGGCAGTAGGGCTGAGTAGAAACTGGGTCACGGGACGCGGAAAAAAGCGAGCGTGAAGAAAAGACCTGAAAGGGGGAAAGAAAATCGGTAGAGACAGGGTGACAAGCGGGACACCAGGCGCCCGCCGTTCCGCGTTCTCGGGTCCCCCCCGAACTGGCCTGATTAATCAGTTTATTTAGAGCAGGTCTTAAGGCTGGGTACGGGCGACAGCCGGGGCGCCAACCCCAAAAGCTCGGGCACGCTTGTGGGGGAGAGATGGAGAGGCCCACAGGGGCCGCTGCGTGCCGAAGAAATGCCAGGCCTGGCACCAGCGACTGAGCCACAACCGTCGGGCTGGCCCCGCTGCCAACGCACCTCTGGCAGCGGCAGGCCAGTCTACCTATGTGTCCCAAGCCCAACACCAAGCCCGAGATGGACATGTGTCGTCGGTCATGGTCCTTGTCCTGGTCCTGGTAACCTAACCTCACAAGCTTGTGTGAACCAGGCAGCCAGGTAGGTGGACTACGGCACAGCCACGAGACAGGTGCGTACTCGCATACAGTTGACTAAAGCCACACGGATGATACCCAGCTAGGCGAGGGTGTTGATGCTGATCCGTCGACGTGGCACTCAATGCAAATCCCAGCAAGGCGTGGGATGGCATTGTTGGGAAACCCCATGTGTGCGGATGGACATGTGGTTGGTCCATCACATGCGAATTGGCATCTTGCACAGGGAAGGAGTGAGAGAGGGTCTAGGAGAGAAAGAGGCCTTGGGTGTGGCGAACATCTAGACGACAAGCCACACCTCGCGTGCCTGCATGCAAGCGTGACGATTGTTCCTGAGAAGAGTAATCACTAGCAGTAGTCTAATCTGGGGTTCATGGTCCTGTAAGATCAAGGGCCGGGCGGCTATACCTGGCACTTGCTTGTGCAGTGCATGTGCGGTATAGCGATCCCCGTTTGTTGATCGAATTGGTACGAGAGATCCGGGTCCGGAGACGGGTACGGGTACGGTTATGGGGTCAGGCCACGGGAGGCGACCCTCTTGTGTGGCTCGGCTGAGCCCTATCGCTGCGTACTGCAGGGCTGCAACGCGGTTAATCGTCGGCCGGTGCCTCACAAACCTGCCAGCTTGCAGACACCAGATGCAGCAAGAGCCAGCATTTGCAGATCTCAGCCCCTGTTTTGCGGTAGTCGAAATCTTGTTTGGGGTCAAGGAACCACGTGGAGGTTGCATCCGCCCATCCCACGCCGTCGTCGAATACCATGGCAGCAGATGGAAAAGTCGAGTGTGGCTGTGGCGGAGCAGAAGCCCCAACCCTCCCAGCCGGGAGGGAACTGACAGCGGGCAGCCTCGGCAAGTCAAGGGTCCACACGGCAGAGGACCCTGGATTTATCACCCACGGCCATTTGGCACCATCCAGGCCACGCCTAAAAGGGAAAGTACAGCAGAAACCTGTCTTGGGCCCGGGCCCCAGGTGGCCCTGCCGTGTTTGATGCACCGGCAAGAAATCGCAGCGACCAGGCTTACAGAGAATTTCTGATCTGTTGAGAGAGGCAGCCCGTCAAGCCAGCCTGGTCTGTGTTGAGGATGCTGTAATCAAGCCTCCAGTTCTGCTCCGGCCAGCGCGGAACCTTGGTGGAGGCTCGGACCCTCGGAGTTGGCGTGTGTAATCCTGCACCTGTCCATGACTGCACAAAGTAGGTAGGTACCCAGGTACGGTTTGCTGTGTAAGTCGGAGTGGGCAGGTGCAGGGCAACGCAACGGCCAGTGTCCTGCCACCCCCCCCCCCCCCCCGAAAAAAAATCCAACGTCACCAAAAGAACCACCCCTAGTGTGTCTACCACAACCTGGCACGAATGAGCAGCGACCCCAATCTTTCAACCGTCCGGCTCCGCGGCGATCAACCCGAGGGGCAGCAGACACACGACCCTGTGAAGCCAAAAAAAAAAAAAAAGGTCTTGTCCCTCCCTCGATTTGGGGTATTGGAGGAGGGCAGCCGACCATTGGCGACGTCACCACTGCATGATGGGCACGCAGAGGGGGCTCGATTGACGAATCAGATGCCTATCGTTCGCGGAAACAGAGAAAATCATGACGATCGTTGTTCATTTGGAAACAGATCCCCAAGGCTTTTTCACGACAGCCGCTGCGGCACACAAATTATGTCCAATCCAGGGTCCCCGACGAGCCCTGGAAATTAGGTTATGTATGACATCGCTTCGGTTGGGCGTCCCTCGACAATTCTCGATGCAGGACTGGAATTATGGTTCAGGTGGCTTGTTTTGCATTGCTCTCATCGCCATTCAGGATTTCCCATCATCATCAGCATCATCACATCATAGGCCTGACAAAGCCAGGGGAAAACGGCATCCCCAGAAAGCATCAGCCAGCCCCTCGTAGCCCTCGTGGGCCCTGGGGATGACCGCGCACACACAAAGACATGCCAAGTCATGCGCAGCATCATTCCGACGGCCACGGTACAGACATCCCCCCAGGTAGGTAACGTAGTACGTACGAGTGCTTGAGAGACCGGCCTGCTCAATGAGAGCAAGCGATCGCCCAGGTCAATTTCCTTGTATGGTTGGGCCGCCCGCCCGCTCGCCCGCGCGCCCGCCAACCTGCTTAGCAGCACCAGTCCCCGGGGCAGGGCAGGGGGGGATACGGTTCCCCCAGGCGAGGTCATCACACTATCTGCATCTCCCCAAGCTGGATACCACGCGAGATAAACCCGCTACTGAGAAGTGACCGGCCCCGAACAAACGGCTTGCATTGTCATCCACAGCCCACATCAAGTTGAGGTCAGCCACGAGGATAAACTTGATCGTCGTAGGTATTCAATCTGTCCGTCAGCCCCGGCCTCGCCCTGATGTACAGGCGCCTAAGTCCGGGTCTCCACGGATCGACAGGAAGATGTCAGCAAGTCCTCCTGTTCAGTTCTGTTAGCCGTCCAGGCCAGATCCTGTGCCTGGCAGTCTGACGCACAGCTAGCTTTCCCATGCTGTTGTGCATGGTGGTTCCTCACCCACCAGCATCGGCAAAGATGTTATTGACGACGACAACAATAGCGAGGCACATTCCCATTTAGCCTCTGTGCTGACCTGAGTGCCTGTCACCCGATCTCACAGACGTTGGTCTGATCGGATGTCCACACCTCGATCAATATCAATAAGCCTTCGCAAGTGGCCGGTCCCAAGAATGACTCTCCTGACATGACGGCTGACAGAGCCGTGGGCGGACGGCTATGACTGACGGATGACCACTCCCACTGTCGCACACGCTTGCATGGCTTACTCAAAGTCAAATCAGGTTAGCGAGCTCGTATGGCTCCCCATGGGTACTACCCCTTTGGGCTTAGCTCCCCGCAGGCCTCTAGCGGCCAAATTGTCATTCGGTGCCTATGACAGTAAATCCGGTCCTTCTCCCGGGGGGGTTAGGGGGCCTCACCAGGTCCGTGTGGGAGACAATGCACCATGTCCACACACACACCCTCTGTACGTAGGTACTTGGGTACGTACCTTCGAATCCCGGCTCGGGCGACAAGGGTGCCTCCTTCCCGTTTCCTGCACTTACGACATACCACATCTTACAAACTCGGCCCACGCCCTTATCCCCCATTCCCTCTATATATACAAACTCCCCGTCACCACAATGGCACTGGCCAACCTTAAATTCGCCACTCCCCCCTCGAACTCGTTATTTCGACAAAACCCAAGGACAACCTACCCATATAACCCGCCGTGATGATGTGGTTAGCCCCAAACAGTTCAACATATAATAACAGTCTCTCCTCGCATCAACGACAGCGATACTACACACAGCAAAACCCACGGCTGTCCGCCTTTCTTCCCAACACCACCGCCACCTCTTCAGACCCGATTCTTGATATCGACTCCGAGACCCAGTCGCAAAGCGCCTCTTCGTCGCCTCAGTCGATCTCTCAGTTCCCGCTGTCGGCTTTCGATAGCGTGCCCGCCGCAAGCGTCCCGCGAACACCTCAGGGTGACCTGTTCAGATTCTCGGCACCCTCCACCCAGGCCCAGGCCCAGGCACAGGCTTTGCCTTCCGTCAACATGATGTACGCAGATTCCTGGCTGGGCGATAACAGCCAGTTCCCAGCAAAGAACAGCCACAGGAACATGCACCAGCGCGAGTCCTCGCTCTCGTCGCTCGGGTCCCTTGGGCCGGCCTCGCCTTTCTCGTTCAACTCGACAAATCCACAGATCGCCATCAACGAGTCTGGCGAATCCTACCACGGCCTGCCCATGGCCGATGATCAGACCTACCACCTCGCCGCCAAGGCACCAAATCCAACCACCCACGACACCTTCTACACAAATATGCCCTACTCGTCTGATTCTACGTCGGTTCACAATTACGCAAACATGCTCGCACCACAACGGCAGCGAGGTGACCGCAGCGGCCTCCTGCCTCCTCCAGATTTCCCTAGCGGCGGCTCGACCAACTCACGTCCCGTGTCAGTGGCGAGTTCTGTCGCAAGTGACTCACCAGTCACACCGGCTGCCCCGGAGCCAGAAGAAGACAGGAGGCGAAAACCTGGTGAGGACTATATCCTGGCCGACTTCCTGAATGATGTCGACGAGAACACAGGCTTACCTTTCTTTAATCAAACAGCCATCCATACTGTCCCCAAGTTGGACCGTACCATGACCGATATCTACAGCGACGAGTTGTACAACCCTAACTTCTCAATCACTTCTATGTCGCCATCTCAGCCCAGCCAAACCACAATGTCGCCAAATCATGAGGTATTCGCGCAGCGGCTGCAGGCCGCCAACAGCCAACATCTCAGCGCAACACATTCCCCGATCTCAATATCAAGAGGCCGCTCGCCTTTCCGCCAGGGTTCCCCCTTGGCACCCGCACCCGCTCAGGACTTCCCTAATCAGACTCCCAACATGCGCTTCAACACTGCTCAGCACATGAGGGAGAAGAGAAAGGCGGAGCAGGATGCGGCTCAGGCCTTGCGCCAGGCTATGGCCCAGCCCAGCACCAGCACCGGCACGCCACAGACCATTTCGCCCAAGGATGCAGTCTTGGAGTTCAACGATGGGGATAACAACAACAACTTCCCGTTGTTCTCGTCTCAAGACTCGACTGGATTCGATGCGAACCAGATGTCGAAGGCCACCCCTCAAAGCAACAATTTCGGCGCTTTGTCGCTCGACACCTCGTTTGACAACTACCTGACGTCTCAGCTGTCCTCAGGAGGAATGCAGCTACCACAGCAGTATCCATTCGTCGCAAAGCACAGGCAACAGAGCAGCTTGCCGTCTGTCAGCAACGGGTCTTACTCGGTATCCTCTCGGCTTAGCTCGAGCACATCTGCATCACCTGTGTCGACGGCACTGGGCAGCCCCCAGAGGCCGGACGCAGTTGGCGCGGATGGCGGCACATACACATGCACGTACCATGGTTGCACGATGAGATTTGAGTCGCCAACCTTGCTTCAGAAGCACAAGCGTGAGGGGCACCGCCAAGCTCATGGCCTGAACGGTCTGCGCAGGCCAGAGGCGGTACCAACCACCTTCCTGAACACGCAAGCGGGACCTCACAAATGCGAGCGCATTAACCCGAGCACTGGCAAGCCATGCAACACGGTATTCTCACGACCCTACGACCTGACGCGGCACGAGGACACTATTCACAACGCACGGAAGCAAAAGGTCCGGTGCGATGTGTGCACCGAGGAGAAGACTTTCAGCCGCGCCGACGCGCTTACCCGGCACTACCGCGTCTGCCACCCAGACCTGGAATTCCCTGGCAAGCACCGCAAGAGGGGTGGGGCGACCAGCTGAGTTGCGCCGGACGGTGTTCCTGTCCGCCTTATGGTGCGAACAGGCGCGCTTGACGGCACTCTCATTACTACGCACGGGTAGTTGCACAAGACGAACCGCAGTGATAAAGACACACCCACCCTGACAGGAAGGGTGGGCTAGGCATGGGCGCGCATTGGACGGGCTCTGAGTCGATGACCGCAGCGTCGAAGATTCTTTGACGACATTGGCGTCATGTGGTTGGGAGATGGAGGGTGGGGGGAGGCTCTTCCGCAATGCGTGCTGCAGGCGCTACGCCAGGGTGGGCAGCGGGGATCCGGCCCCATCCCTGTCGCGTGGATGCCAGGGCTCATCATCCTACGTCATCCCTCTGCCTTAAGGGTCCTGCGCAGGGACCAAGCACGACTGCAGCATGACGTCACGCCGTCGCCGATCAGGGTCCTCGCTGACTTCATCCTGACCCAGCCAGCCAGACCCGACATCCGAATCCAAAATTGGGCACCCTGGCGCTCCTGGGCACGACAGTCTGAAGTCATATGCAACCCCACCGACACCATTCCAAAATACCGGCATGATTGTTATGTCCTGTCTGCTCCCGTCTCGTCCTGGGCCTGGGAATGGGAATTCTGGAAATGGACACGGGACCGGAACCGGAAACGGGGCTGATGCTGGAACAGGACATCATTACCGCATGGTGCCTGTTTCCTTCCGCTCTGTCTCGTCGCGGTCCCGGCCGTTGCTCCGACGCGCTCTGCGCCATAACATCATCGTCGTCATACCCATCTCGATGCCCCCAGTTGCATCGATTTTTGTTGTGGGGTGAGACGGCATGTCCCGTGTTGTGTCCATCCGAAAGAGGTCTTATCACACCACTCAACAAACAACACCACCAAGTCCCGATTCACTGGCACCAGCGGGCTGGGTCACCCTTCAACCCTCAACATCACTTCAAACACGAAAAATGGGACTTGGGACGTCACCGTAATATGACCTTGTGCGACTATTTGTGTACTATTATCTGGAGGGGGTCGGTTATTCACAAGGACTGTGTCACGGTTCTAGACATTTGTGCACTTGGGTCATGCATGGCGTGCTGGAGGAACTATAGAGCAGCTGCTTGAATGGTTTTTTTCCCCTTGCTTGTGTCTAGTTGAAGCATTTTGTACATGTGTTACTTTTCGAAGCTAATCGGGTATCATGATTGTCGGATGTTTTTTGAACTGGCACGGAACTCAAAATGGAAAACAGGGGACCATAGAGAAAAAAGAAAAAGAGACTCGATGTTTCCGTGCTCCCGCGCAGGAGTATCGGACTGTCACACGAGAATGCATTGGCGCCTCACCCAGGTTGGGTTTTGTTTTGGGCTTCCTTGATTAACCGGGCAGGGTTGCACGACATTTTTTGGGGCCAGCAGCACTTTGGTATTGGTCTTGATCTGTGTGGCTGTTTTTCATTTTCATTTTTCTCTTCCTCACGTTATGGGAACGGGGAAATGGGTTGCTTTCGGCGCATTCGCAAAAAAACAAATACCCCGCGATCTGCACCAACTATGACGACTTGCAGGAATCGGGTAACACACACCCCCCAATTTTGGATGGGGGTTGATCGTTAGGGGGGGAGCAGGGCATGATTTCCAAGGCAAATTTTTTTTTTTTGGGGGGGGGGGGGATACAACAGGCGCAAGACAAAGACTTGCGTAAGCTGGGCAAGGCGAGCATGGGCAAGCAAGGCAGGGCGAGCGAGCGGAGAGAGCGATTCAGGGTCCTTAGAACATACATGATTTGATTGGCGACTGCTCTGAAATAAACTTTTGCGTGCCGTGTAGGACTTTCGAAACACCGAATCCTTCCAACTCTAAATTCCTCTTCCCTACCTACGTATCTTTTTCCCTTCCCTCCAGTCCCCGACGCTGGTGGGGGGATGTCGGGCAGTCCTTGTGGCTTTGCATGCATGCATGCAATGCAGGTGTAGTTCGTAAAAAGGTGCTAGACATGTGTATATGCCTTACCGGTGAGGTTTATTATTATTATTATCATGTCAGTTGTATGTACGTTAACCTGATTCTTGGTCTCACAAGCAGGGCTGTCAAACCGGTCCTCATGCAGGCATGGCCGGCTGTTCCTGGAATGCGCCTCCTGGCATTGGTCATTCGCACGCCTTCATCCGCCGGAATGAGTTTTTGATATCGTGAGTGAACAGTGGGCCTGAATAAACGACCGAACGAGTGCGTACGTAGTCCAAGTAAGCGAGTTTTGCCTGCCTACCTGACCTGGGGCGCAGCGCCTGGCCATTTCCCGCTCCGTATAAGCTGTGGCTTGCTCGGGCCCGGAGTATCTTTCAACTTGGTACAAACTCTATAACGTGTACAACAACCAACACGCACTCCCGCAGCGCGCAGGAAATAGACTCTTCAGCCGGGGGGTCTTCGTGCGACACCTGGGCTGGGATGGGGGGGGGGGGTTCCACAATGATTCCTGCATTACACCTCTCTGCCCTCGGGGCGAGGCCGGCAAACCCGGGGAGAGAGTTCAGAGAAATGAATGTGGGGGCCCATATGGAAATCAAATCGCACCTGGGAAGCACAACTCCAACGTTCACGTTTTGGCCTCCCACTTCCCACATCACTATCTATCCGCGCCTCCAAAAGGGTTCTCGGCGAGCAGGGCTGCCGGCGGCGTTTCGTTTCCTCTTTCCCTCGCGGACAAGTCGCATCAGGTTTCCTTAGAAACCAACTTGATATCATTGGCAGCCTTGGTAACACCCTTGGGGGGTGCCTGGTTCGGCAAAGTTTCCCCCTGCCCACTTATGTCGTACGGACGACAACAGGGTCGTAGACAGCTCCCTCAGAATGCGAATGCGGGAAGGACGTAAAAGTAAAAATAAGGGGGAAAAAAAAGAAGCTTCAGACCGGCAAAACACCGACGTGTCCTTGCTTGCCGCCCGATGCGCGACATCCTTCCCTCACTTGGCTCCCCGCCCCCGCGTGTATCTTGTTTTGTGTTGCGTCTCCATTTCTCAAACCTTCGACAGAGAGTACCTGCCTAGTCAAGCAGCTCCGGCAATTAACCCCCCAAGTGATCTCAAGAACAAGAGTCTTGATCGGAAGGGGGGCCGGTGAGGGTGTGGGGCCGGCGGAGGGGGCGGGGAGAGACAAAACTATGGTCGACCTATGTTTCCAAGGCAGGGTAGGTCAGGGCACAATTATGCATTGTAACTGAACATGACTCCCGGCCCCGGATCATGTACCCCATCTCAGCTCCCGCTCAGCTCTGGCCAGGATAAGCTTCTCGAGATCTCGGTTGCACAGGTCGCGTCTGTTCGATCTCGTCCAAGTTTTTCTGTGGCAGCTTTCAATCGATGGGACGGCCTGCAATATGATGGTTATAAGTTGCCACTGGGCGAACGGTCCCGTATATGCGCACATGTTATTCCCATGTCGCCCGGAGATCATCCCATATGTGGAAATTCAAGAGACGATGGCCCCATGTTGGCACTGACACTGACACTGGCATACAGACACGTAACATGAGTTGATCCGATTCTAGACATTGTACCCTCTACAGTCTACGGACCCCCACAAATCATGGGAATCTCACATGCGTACGCTCGATCCCTCCCTCCGAGGGGCTAGATCACGCGGTACCGTTGGAAGCTGCCTCTTCGTCAGCCATGACCGCCTCCCTCGCATCTGTGTACAAGGGTGAGATCCCCGTCCAGAGTTGAAACTGTTATGTCGGTAGTCAGCTTCGATCGTGTACCTCGGTGAGCGAGAAAGTCAGGCATGTGCACTCACCTGGAACCACCCCTGGGAAGCGAGGACTTCCAGCCCGGGAATCGTCTGCCAGCCTGCTTCCTCCGCCAACGCCATGACGTCCGTGCGCCGCGGCTTGTAGGCCATCTCCAGCAGCGTCCTCTTCGGTACATTCCTCCCACTCGCCTCGTGGTCAGGGAGGTTCAGCACCTTCGAGACGATGTCGCTCATCCCTCCCTCCATCGGCAGGTCTGCGGGGATGGTGCTGACAACCACTCGCGGAAGTGGGCCGGCAAAGTCCTTCTCGTCCGCGCTCGAGAGGTGCTGCACGTGGTACTCAGCTGGGAACATCTCGGCCAGCTTGGTGACGCTGGCTGAGTTGCGAGCAACGACGTAGATGGGCGAGTAGCCGAGTGAGTGCAGCGCGTAGATGGACGCGCGCGTGGTCCCGCCGCTCCCGATCACCACTCCAGGCCCCCCTGCGGAGGACGTGCGGATGTTTCCCACGACGCCGGCCTCGCGGAGTGCGAACACCATGCCCATCCAGTCGGTGTTGTCGCCGAGCAGAGTCTGCTGGCTACCGTCTTCAGATGGTACGGGTATGACGGTGTTAACGGCGCCAATAGTCTTGGCTGCGTCCGACAACTTGTCGATAACCTCGATGATGTCGAGCTTCAGGGGCCTCGTCACCGAGGCGCCACCAAAGTTGGGGGATCTCACCAGCTCCTTCACATCCGGCGCATGGTCGGTTTCGAACCGAGAGTAGACGTGCGGTAGGCCGTTGGCCTTGAAAAGGGTGTTGTGAAGGGCTGGAGACCTTGACTGGTCAATGGGCTTGCCGAAGAGGTAGAACTGACGCTCATCCAGCTCCCCAATCAGCGTCAGAGCCTGGCGGATCTCAGCAGCAGACAGCTGGCCTGGCGCGGCCTTGAACGGAAGCGCGGGATGTGAGACCGGCGTTAGGAAGCCGTTGAGGATGCGGCTAAGCTTGCCAACAGGTCCCATGTTGATGGCGATAATTGGCGTCTCGTGAGCCGCAAGCATTCGTTGCTTGAAGCTCGCCAAGGCAAAGTTGTCGTCCTGACTCCGTGCCACGCCGACCAGCTTGATAATGTCACCAAACTGGAGCGCTCTATTGTAGAACTGTATCCACGATCCATTTTTCCAAGACAAAGTGCCCTGGGGGTCGTGATGTGAGGCAATGATGCGAGAGGAGCCCTTTGCACTCACCACACCTTGGATAACATCTTCCGGCCATGTCAGCTCGACATCAATGTACTCACATCCCATGCGTAAAGCGACATTGTAGAGAGCTGCAGCGCCTTCAAAATCGTTGTCCGGGAATTTGCCGCCCTGACTTTGGGTTCGAACCGTGAAGACGATTGGTATCTTGGCAGTGGCCCGCAAGATAGCCACCTGGATACCGACAAACTCAGCCGAGTAGTCCTTCAGCAGATCGACCCGCAGTTCGACGGCGTCTGATCCCGCAACCACCCGAGGTATCAGCTCCAAGGAACCCGACACGTCAGGCACAGTAAGCGAGACGAAGAATGAGTGCCTCTTGCTCTTCACCTTTTCGAAGTGGTCGCTGTGGCCGCACATAACAGCAATGAAGCTCCTAAAGTCCACTGGTGCCTCCCGGACAGCTGAGGAGCCGGCTGGATGAGGACTGTGATACTTGAAATTGCTGCACTCCTCGAACCAAGGTTTGCGACGCTCATAGACCTCGCGAATCTGCTCTGTGTAGGCCGGTCGCGACTTGTCTATGAGCAAGTAGTCAATCACTTGGTCCGTGTCGCGATGCACCTGAAGTACGTATCCACCATTCCCCTTGTGGGAAATCAACATCTGCCTGGCTTCAGGGGCCTCGACAATTCCACCGCCACAGGAGAAGACGTGGCCATGAGCGCGGTTCGTCATCATGTCCTGAAGGAGATCCAGTTCTGCCTTTCGGAAACCCTCCCAGCCGAGATCACCACGGATCATCTCTGGGATTGTTTGGCCCACCCTCCGCTCCAACTCCTCGTCGAGGTCGATGAACTTCCTACGCAAGGTTTTCGCCAGCCAGCCTCCTGCAGTTGTCTTTCCCGCACCTCTCATACCGATCAAGAAGATGGACCGATCTGACTGGGGCTTGGGTGCTTGGCCGTGGTGCGCGTGCTCTGACGCTGGCTCTTCGCCATCCAGAGTGGCTTTGAAAGACTCGGACAGGACATCCCACCAGCCCGGCCAGGTCTTTCCTGTGCATTCACGCTCCAGTATGAGGACAGGCTTTGGTGTGACCACAGAGAGCACACTGAAACTCATCGCCACACGGTGGTCATCATAACAGTAGATGCCGTCAACTGGCTCCTTCAGGCTTTGGTACGGCCGGCCGATGACCTCGATGCCGTCATCGAGCTCATTGCATTGCACTCCGAACTTGGCGAGCTGGTCCTTCATTGCAGCAATGCGATTGCACTCCTTGACCCTCTGGTTGGCAATCCCAGTGATCCTGGTTGTACCATCGGCAACAGCAGCCAGCACAGAGGCAGTCAAGAAAGCATCGGTCATGGGCTCCATGTCGACGTGTGGGATGGCCTTCAGTTGCCCGATTTGCGGGCCGGTCACCGTCGTCGTGTAGTCTGTCTGCTTCACGGTGGCGCCCATTGCCTGGAGCACATCTACGGCGAATCGTGAGTCGCCTTGCAGCGATTTCGACCCAATGTTTGGAACTGTGCAAGTAGTGCCAGTTGTAGCCGCGATAGCCAACGGGTAAGTAGCCGAACTTGCATCGCTCTCGATCTCATACTCTGCCGGGTTCTGGTAGGTACCCTTCGGGATGTGGTACGTGTTTTCTTCCTTGGCTGATCGCTCGACTTGTACGCCAAATGCACTCATCATGGAGATGGTCATGTCAATGTATGGCTGTGAAATGGGCTTGCCTCCTACGAGCTTCAAGGTGACTGGGTTCTTGGCGTACGGTGCAGTCATCAGTAGCGACGAGACGTATTGAGAGGAGACGGTGGCTGCAAGCTCAATCACACCACCCTCGAAGCCGCCGGCAGCATCGACCTGGACAGGCAAGCTGCCTTCCCGGTTGAGATACTTGACCTCAACTCCATTGGCACGCATAGAGTCGACCAGTGGTCCGATAGGTCTTTGTTGCATTCGCGCATTGCCAGTCAAGACCGTTGAAGAAACGGACGATGGCGAGGCCAAAGAAACCACGCTCGTCAAGAAGCGCGACGCGGTTCCTGCGTTGCCAAGGTAGAGAGGCTCCTGGCTCGCCTCAAGCTTTCCGCCCTTGCCTTTCACGACGAGGATCTCGCCGCCGTCCTCCCAGGAGTAGGTAGCCCCATTCAGACCCGAAACCGCAGATAGCATGTACTCCACATCGTCCGAGCGTAGGAGGTTCTTGATGCGCACCTCTCCTTCGCCCAAGGCAGCCAATACGAGAGCCCGGTTGGAGATGCTCTTGGAACCGGGAGGGGTCACATTGATTTTCAGGTCCTTAGGGACACCAGGCGTGACACGGATGGCAGGTGTCAGGACGACGCGGATATTACGGTCGTCAACCACACTTGCCTTTGGCTCGTAGCATTTTCCGATTTCGGACAAGAGAACGATCTTCTTGTTGGTGCCGTGGTTCTTCTTGTCGACGGCCATCTTGTCCAGCAACACATCCACAGGGCATTTCTTCCCGGCCGACAGTCGGACGATGCGGGCGTCCTTCAGCGAGGTCGGCAGCTCGTAGCTCGCAATACATTTGACGAGACGAGCAACGGCGGCGGGGCGCAGGACGCCGAGGAAGCGGGCAAGCTCTGCCTCCTTGACCATGCCGATGGCGACAGCCTCGCCGTGGAGCACCTGGGGTGTGAGAATGGCCTCGTAGGCATGGCCAATGGAGTGTCCAAAGTTGAGGATGTTCCGCAGGCCACCCTCCCTCTCATCGGCGGAGACGACCTCGGCCTTGGTGCGGGCGGACCCGAGCACGATCCTCTTGAGGATGTGGCGGATGGGAGCCAATCGGTTGTCTGCCTTTGATTTGACGGCCGCAAGAATGGTAGGCGCGTTCTCCTCAAGGGCGGTGAACTCGGTCTCATCCCAGATGGCAGCCGTCTTGACGACTTCAGCCATGCCGTTTATGAACTCCCGAACGGGCAGCGTCTCAAGGAAGGCCAGGTCAATGTAGACGCGGCTGGGCTGCCAGAAGGCGCCGATCAGATTCTTGCCCAGGGGCGTGTCAATGGCAGTCTTGCCACCGATGGACGAGTCTACCATGGCCAGGAGAGTGGTGGGGACCTGGACAAACTTGACGCCGCGCATGAAAGTAGCGGCGACATATCCAATCATGTCGCCAATGACGCCTCCGCCCAGGGCAATAACCACAATGTCCCTGGTGCACTTTTGTGACAGCATCCAGTCCTCAATCTCGGCCTTTGTCTCCCTGCCCTTGGAGCTCTCGCCCGGGGGGATCGCGTAGGTGAGGAGGCGCACATTGCCGGCATTCTTGGAGGCAACGGCAGCGGCGAAGGTCTTCTGGAAGGAGGGCACATAGAGAGGGAAGAGATTCGTGTCGGTGATGAGGACGTAGGTAGCCGAGGGGGTGTTCTCGAGGAGGTCGTGCGCGACAAAGCTGTTGAGCAGGCCGTAGTTGATTATGATGTCCTCGTTGCCCAGGATTGGGATTCGCGTAGGGCTCGAGGAGGCACCACCGTTCGCGGTGCCATTGGCGGTGCCATTGGCGGCGGCCATTGTGGCGTGAGGGTGGGATCAGCTGCCCGCAGCTTGCTCAGCTCAGGGCTCCAGTCGAGCAGGGCAGGGCAGAGTAGAGGACAGAGGCGAGGAGAGTAACTCGAATTGGTGCCGATCTCGTCTCCTTTGGCGTCCAATGAGTGTAGGAGGAGGGGATGGGATGGGATGGGAATTGGACCGTGGACCGTGGAGCGAGGAGGGGCGAGGAGCAAAGGACGGCCGGGAACACAACGTCCAAGATCACATCAGACGAGGTCTGCTCGAAGGGATGCTGTGGACTGACCGGGCTCCCTATGTACTGACAGGAGTGAGTACTGAGCAGTCTGCTGCCGAGTATGTGCCCACGGTGGCTCTACTGTGTATGCGGTGACTCTTCAGACTCCTTTGCGATGACTCTTACAGGGCTGTTGGTTGAGTAATAACCCCAGCAGCACGCAGCTAAGCTCCACCGCGATCGGACGGCCGACCGGGTTTGCTGTGTGGGCGGTATTTTTTTTTCTTTCTTCTTCCTCTCGCTAGCCTTGCATGATGCAGGGGTCGCAACCACTACCGGAGGGTCCTCCCCCACCTGCCAAATCAGTCCATCTACTACCCGCGCCCGCAGCGGGAACAGCCTTGCCTCTGGCCTGCCTATTTGTATGCAATTGTCGCGATCCGCATATATATATGTATGTATGTATACGTTTAAATGTGTATATATGTATAGACAGGCTAGACTGCACACTTCGATAAATCCACCGTTATCATCATCACCATCCAAGCTCAGCATGAGTGATATACATGCAGCCCGACGACTGTACAGTGCAACCCTGCCTGGGCTTGCATGCGAGGGGCCATTCAACAGTCGACAACAGCAACGAACTCTTTCCCGGCCCGAGATGTCAATACAACTCCACCCACCCATATCATGCCCTGCCATGCCCTGCCATGCCCTGCCATGGCTCGCTCTCACCCCGCTACTGCAGGCACAGACAGACAGCCCGCGGGACGCCATAGGCTACCTACTCAGCACGCTGTGTACCCTTCCGTATAGGCTTTGGACGCCCGCACCGAAGATGGCTCCACCTTACTCGTGCCTTCGCACCGGGCCCAACATGGCCGATTGATAGACTTACTCTGCACAACTCTCTCTTGTTCTGGCGTCTGACTTGAGTCCAAACTTCCCCATAACACAATCTCGCAGGCCGTGACTCAAACGTGATCGCACCTGAGTCCCACGGCTCTGGTAAAGCTGTCTAGCCGTCCAGTTTCGTCCGACACATGCCTATTATCCCCTGGCAGGATTTATCGATCTCTACCCGCCTCAGACCACATAAGATTACAAGTATTACCATGGAGTTCAATAAATGTATTTGTTTATTCGCCGTATAATGATCGCTGGGTTTGGAAACTGACCCTCATTATACTCCCTCGTCCCCATCCTTGTTCATACAAGTGGCCCACAAGTCAAGCAGGCCCACGATCGAGCACCCTCGTCGACGCGAGATTTCCAATAACCACTGTTTGGAAATGGCCGGGGTTTTAAAGTTGATCCCTACTAAGGAACATAACCTTATTGCCATCTCAGATGAGGTGTCTTCGCACTGCGACACTATCTTCCTTCTTACTCAGATCTATCTGCCGCCATTCTCGCCCACTCCGGGACAGACATGTTTCACGCGAACTAACCTTTGATCTACGGCGATGCTTGAGTAGTGGTAGCCTGCAAGAGCGTCTGTCAGAGACGTCCATGACTGCGTCCTTATGGCTTCCATTGCCGGCTGACCGCCGGGGCGGCCAACGGACGAACCGCATAGCTGCGTACTGTCCCAAGTCGGTGCGTCCGGTGTATGCACGAGGCAGGTTCCAGAAAGAGTCATAGTCTTTGCTCCCTTGCGGCCTGACGGCGAGATATACCAGACTCGTCAGCGCAGGTACCTTGATGAACTACTTGACAGATGTAGATAATCAATTGGCATGTAGAAGTCTACTACACACTCACAGCCGACATCTGTGCCACAGGTTGAACGCCATGCGGAACCAACTCGTCAAGAACTCCTACTAACCACTCCCTGCGGACACCATTGGCGGAAGGAACAACTAATCCTCCAAATCATCGGCCGTTCCGTACATTGAAATGCTACAATCAATATGCTCTACCTGAACTGTCCTTGCTTTCGTTAAGATGTGCATGATATTCCTGCTTCTTGTTAGAAGGCGCACTGCAAATGTTAGTGTAGATGCTGCGAATGCCTGCTTCAGATGGTACACCCATATTACACAAACACCACGTGCAGATCCTCATAGGCGAATGCAAGATTCCCACGAAGTATGAGATCTTAACTTTCTTCCGGACACGATTCAGCTTTGTCGGAACACAGACGTGACCCGGTTCTCTGTTGCTTATTTCACTGACTGGCTGATGCATCCCGTTGTACCAGACTCCCTATTGTACGAGTATGCGGCTTGAATGTGCTTCCCCCCCATCAACACAGAAAAACGAGACGGTCCCTACTCCTCCACTTTTCGTAGCATCAGACAACTACGCACTCTCAGCTCTCCTAGAACCCAAAGTTATCCAACAAGGACCCGGCGTCCGGCTCCTCGAACATCGTCGGCGGCGGCTGTGGCCTCTTCTTCTCACCCGTCGGCGACAGCAGCCCTCCCAGGTTCATGTCCGGCGGTCCCTTGCCGGATAATGGCGAGACCGGCATGTCCTGGACGACCAGCGAGCTGCGGCGCTTGAGCAGCTTCAGCGGGTTGACCTCGCCGCCCAGCTCCGGCTTCAGGCTCGCCCCGGGGAGGAGGAACTCCCAGTTGCGGACGAGGTCGAGGCCCAGCAGGTCGCAGCCCATGCGGTCGTAGAGCCTGGCGTTGTGCAGCACGAACTGCCACTCCACCTTTGGCGTCACCTTGGACGCGCCCCGCAGGGTCTGCAGCGTTTTCTGCCGCAGCTGTGCATACAGCACTATCAGGGCCGGGTCATCTGTCAGGAAGAGCTTCGAGTTCAAATTCGGCGCGATCGGTGTCTCAACCAGCGTATACACGGGCGTCTGTGGTCAATTGTTAGCACCAGAGCTAAATTTCGTGACAGACGGATGGAAGAATTATTCACAATGAGAGCGCGCACAGCCATATCCCTGCGGTGGAGCATCCAGAACGCCCATGATGCCAGCCAGCGGTTGCCTTCTTGTGCAGCGATGTTGAGCACCTCCTCTTCCAACAGTTTCCGCAACACTGGTCCTTGATCACCCTCGTAGACCCGAGTGATGGCGATGGCAAGCTGCAGGTCTTTGAGCTGGTTCAAACACACGTTCACCGCATCCTGCAGCCTGTCGGCCAGCAGGAAGAAGGCTGCACTATATTCTGTCCGGTATGTCAGATAATAGGAAGCAGGACCAGACAGCCGATGTCTATCACTCACCAAATCGCCGTTTGCTGAGTAGCGCGTAGGCATTCTTCAACGCTGAGGTCTTCCACTTTGGGTCTTCGAAATTGTTGGCAAGCAGTCTCTGCGTGCCGGCTTGCTCTCGGTTCCAAGATGCCATGCGCCACAGGCCCTGTAGTACTGTTTTCTTTCGTAACGCCAGGTAGTAGAGACTGCAGTCCACGGGATTCTTCACCTCGTTCTTGGTGTATTCATTGCGAGCGATCATTTCAAATTGCGCTTTCTGTTGCATAATGTCAGCGAGCTTGGTCTCTTTGCTGCCGCCGTCTGTAGACTTACCACGGCCGCGTTGTCTGTCAGCCACATGAACATGCCACTCTCCCGAGCGTGCTCCCAAAGGAGCCCCCCTGAGTGTTGCCGAGCCACAAAATCGGTCAGCATGTCCTGGCTGGTAGAGTGATACGCCCAATTGATCTCCCTCCATGACATAGTCACTTCGTTAGTCCGTCTTTTCCGGAGGGCGTGTTGTCTGTAGTATATCATGAATCTGGCACCATTTTCATCCATTGACCGACGATGTTTCTCTACCATGCCTATACACTCAATCATGTCCACAAGCTGAATTTGCTCATGGCCTGACATTTGAGGCAAGGCAATATTCGTTAGCTTCTCATTGATGGTTTGGGCGACATCCTCGCTGAAGACTTCATCGTCATCGTCCGGCAATGTACGGTCGTCGAAATAAGAGCGCGTCTCCTTCCCTGGCGTGAACGCTGCTGTTGACTTGTCAACGTAGAACTCGTCTAGCTCCAGCCCTAGATAGTCATCAAACTCATCTCCTTCAACCCAAAACTTGAGTGTCTTGTGGAGTGCCATGAGAATTCGATGTACAGCCATAACTTTGCCAGCGAGCATGCATTGACTGAGAAATTGTGGGTGAAACACAGGCAGGGGGCCGTTCAGTCGCTGCACAACGTCGAACAGGTCCCATTTGCGGTCCTTCTTGTATGGGAGGGAGACATCTTTAACAAGTGCGTGGGAGGCATCGAATTTGCGGTCATTGACGAAAAGTTGATTGCCAGCCCCAATGACGAGATTTCCATCACCCAGCCAGGTTGAATCACCGATGGGGTGTGGTGTGAACTCTCGGATATTGATTTCTCGCACCGGGGCCCATGCCGGGCCCTTGTTCAGGTAGTCGAATCGCATTTGCGAAAGTAGCAGGACACGCGATGGGAATCCAACGGCCAGAATAGACTGTAAGTCTGGGGTGGACGTCCAGTCCAAGTCCTGAATGGCGTGTTGTGCCTCAAATTGCTGGTTATATTCAAGCTGCGCGCCGCGTATGTCCCAGATTGTGACAGCACTTCTACTGCTGTTGACCAATGCCGCCTTCTTCATGGTACTGCCACTGGCAAGCGCAGGTTCTGAGACACCTGTCTCCATGGAGGCGGTTGACAGCCAGTCAACCTTGGCATCACCCACGCGAGCCGTCCAGAACTCAACGCGACCAGTATGTGTATAAGAGATGGCCACATCGCGTGCAAACACGTCAAGAAAGCCCTGTACCATCGGCGCAGAGCCTGCTGGGTCCACGGGAAGAACATAGGACAGATCACCGGCATCCTTTAGTTCAAATCTGTGGAATTCCTGAATTGATGGAGGTGCATGGCCGTTCGTACCACCATTTTTTTCAACTCCGTTTGTTGCAGACGAGTCATATGCAGGGAGCCTGATTTCCCATACTAGGCCCTTCTTTTCCGAAGTAATGGTGCCGATGTGTACCACCGAAGATTGCTCAGCGGTTCGCCTGGGAAGGACCAACAGGCACAGAGGCTTTCCCGAGATTTTGTAATCGATCTGGGCGACCAGAGACGGTGTGAGCTGTCTGCAATCCCAGACGGCCAATCTGTCATGGTGTAGGAAGACCACAAAGCGGCCCTTCCGTATCACTGCTATCCGGTGGATGTGATCTTGCGAAGATATTGTGCTCTGCCGCGTGAGTTTCGTCTTTTCGGTGAAGAGCGGATGTTTCCATACGACGGCCTCTCCTCCACTAGTCCTCGATACCACTGATCTCCCACTGTAATTTCTCACTGTTTTCGCAATGGACGCCGAATGGCCTGTCCATACGCATCTTGGCCTGATACGGCTCTTTCCAGCAACAGGGTCGAGGAGACGCGGGAAATTGGCCTCGAAAATTGCGATCCTGCCGTCGAAAAAGTGGAAGAGGAAATTCAAATGCCCGTCGGGTTTGTTGCAATATGCATGGATCTCAACGTGTGATGAAGTTCCTGGCGAAGTGTCCCTAAGGAAATCAAACTCGTTTGAGGAGATGTCCACCACTAAAGGCAGAATCTTCTTCTCGTCCTCTTTTGATTTCGATCGCGACTTAGACGATATGTTCTCCATAGCCCAGGCGGACATTCTTCCGTGCCCGTCAAAGGTGATGCAGATCTCAGGGTTCCGATTAGCCAGCTCCACGACATTGACCAGCGGCCCATCTCCTTTGCCATATTCAGAGGGCCCCTCCTGCACCGCCGTCTCCGTGGCAGCCGAGAAATCCCTTCCATGGACAATGGCAGCCCATCGAAGACTCGATCCAGCTGCCGATGCAGCAAGATCAATTTTCCCCCACAGCTGCAACTGCTGATGGCTGTGATTATCCGAGCCAGTCCAAATCCGAAGCACATTGTCGAGACATATAGTATAGAGGACGTTGTCCACGGTCTGGTCGATGTGGAAAGGCTTGCGCCACTGTAGGCTCGTGACGGCGAGAGGATGGGACAGGTACATAAAGTCGAAGCGGACCTCGTCCGAAACGTAACTGAGTCGCCGCCATACTTTCACCAGTCTGTCATGATATCCCACAGAGGCAACATACGCTGAGTCGTACGACAGATCAGCGTATTTGACGGGGCTCGCGAGGACCTTGCGCCAGGTGCAGGCAAGGTCGGGAGTTGTTTGATGCAGCGTTAAAGCGTATCGAGACACGAGTATTTCTTCTGAGCCGCCCCATGACAGGGCCATTGCGTATCGGACGCCATCGTGTGTTTCCTCGTCATCAACGTCTGGGGAGAAGGACGTTTCCAGCGCCCATTTCAGCACGCCATCTTCGTGTGCGAACGGCCTGTATATCCGGACGCTACGGTCTGTGCATATTGCTATCTTTCCGGAGGCTTCGTCTAATGCGACAGCTTCGAGGTGGGTTTCGTCGTCGTCGTAGATGGTCTGCAAGAGTGTTTCATGGTCGGACAAGATCGCGATAGCATTGCCGCTTATGTACGCCTAGTGGAAGCTTTTAGCACAGTCGGTCAGGGTCAAGAGCTGAGACCACTCACGATGATGCGCCTCGATTTCCAGAAGCCAGTAGCTAGAGCTTGAAGCCTGGCTTCTGGCTTTCCTGGTAGGACCACCTTCATGCTACCAGGGCCGCGCGATTTGAGCAAACATAGCAGGTGAATCGACAGGTTTTGACAAAGGACAAAACGCAAGGCGGCAGAATCCGGGGCGCTTCTCCTCTTCTAGGAGAGACCTGCAGACAAACGAATGAGGAGAAATGCAGACCGAAACCCGCGATGAAGATGGAGTTGTAGTCTAACGAGGATCTGACTTGGAGCTCCGAACAGCTAACAGCTCGCGTCATTCAACGGGTTGCACCTGACAAGTACAGGGATACGCTGGCGCTAGTCTACGTACTTAACAGGGGCCCCTGGCACCTTTGTAGGGGTCCTCGTAGGCTTGGCCGCCCGAAAGGCCCGTGGTATTTCATACCCGAATATCACACCAGGCAACATGCATGGAAGGGTATCTATATGTCATTGCTGTACTGGACCATTGCAGACGCGACTTTAGAAGGTTGTGAGTGGTGATGAATGGTATCTTCTGTGACAGACGCAATTATTGCGGTTATCTCTCCAGAATTCTCAGCAACAACCCAAAGCCAGCATGCAAAATTCACATGGAATGGCTTCGAATGCGATGCTGTTCCAAGCCGAGTGCTAGGCCTCTATGCTCTTCCCTTGGGCTCGTTCGTTGTGGCTCGAGGGAGCATCTCAGTATTCGAGGTCGACGATTCGTCCCCGACTAAAATTACTGGCAAGAGAGCCGGGCGTTTCTGCGAGGCATCGACAGCTTGATGGCCCCAGAAAACAAGCCTCCCACTGGCGAGTGCCATGATGCCTCGTATAGAGGCATCACGACCTTGGGAACACATTTATGTTTCCGTTATCATCATACTTGGCCTCTGTTCCGGACAATTAGCATTCGATGTTCGCAGACAGTTAGCGCGGACAGCTCGGATCAACTCACTGAAGAACGTGTAGCTCAGCGTGACGGTCTCGATGCCCTTCATGTTCAGGTCCGTCAACATGTCCGGATCCAGATAGAAGAAGACAGGCATGTCCACCGTCTCGCCCGCGTTAAGCCTCTGCTCCTCGAAGCAGAAGCACTGGATCTTGCTGAAGTACGGCGCCACCTGCGCCGGCGTTACGCTGTACGTCGCCACGCCTATTATGTCTTTGTCGCTGGTATTCGTCGCCGTGTAGAAGGCGAGGGCGGTCTCGCCCGGGAGGACTCGCACCTCGCGCTGCTGCGGTGTGAATTTCCACGGTAGGACGTCGGACACGGACGCGTTGAAGGTGACGCGGAGACGCTTGGCACCCTCGACGGGTACAAGTCGTGATGCGAGGTCGTCCTCGGAGCCCGATGAGCCGCCGTGGCTGGGCGCGCGGACGGGTTGCCCACCCCAACCGGTGGTTTGGCAGATCTGCTGAGGTCAGATACTGCTTCAGCAACAACGGAACATGACGCACCATCTTGTACATAGGCACCGAGCCGTAGGAAAGTGCCACCGTGCCCAGGATGATGCTCAGCGTGTAGAACCTGTTGGACAAAACCGCCTGGTTAGCACCATTCTACACCCTCGTGCCAAAGCAAGTGATCGCGCACATTGTTGTCCGATTCCTCCGCCTGTAAACCTCGCGCGCCTGCTCCATGCTCGGCGAGATGTGCTGAGGGGCTCTTGCCCTGGCCGTGGTGTTTTTGACTTCGGTCGCATAGCTGCGCAGATGCTGTCGGCAGCTGAGGGTCGGCAGCTCAGATGCAGGTCGAACTGCGGCACCTGAACAAGCTGGGCGCGATAGCGCCGTAGCCAAGCTTCGTAGCTTCCATGTTGCACCTCGGAAGCTGGACATCGTTGTCATAACATTGTCGAGACCTGGTTTGCAAAGTGGTACGGTTCGCAGGCTGGACGAGATCCCTTGCGGCATGATGCTTCCCCGAACCCTGACAGCAACGTCCGGGGGACCCCCTTACCAGTGCAGCAACCAACATATTGAAAATCCGCTGCAAGTATCACCAGTACATGAGCAATGCTTTGCTAATGATTTAAATTACCAAATTGTTTATGTGGTGCCTATTTATGCCTAAGGATACATGCATAAAGTCATGAGCGGTCATTACTGTCCCTTCAATTTCCCCAAGTGCCCATTGATGTGACCAACAACAGCCTTCTTCTCAATTGAGCCCAATGTTGCCACAATCCTCTCCAACGGCAATACCACGAACACGTGTATCAATAAGATGATGAGCCTCACAAAGTGATCCATCAAACCCAATACTGGAGCCCTGCCTCGGCTGTATGTCGAATCGACAAAGTCAAACGGCAATCGGGCGCCCAGGTGGTTCTTAGCCACCCGCAGCCCACTGCTAAACCCATCCTCGTGGAATCCGTACTTGGTCCACGCTCCTGCATAACTTATGCCCCTTCGATTCTGTATCTTTGGAAGCAAGGCCTGTGCACGCACCGAGTCGCCGTTGTATAGAGGGTGCGCGTACTCATAGCGGCCCTGGACGGTCTTGGGATCTGGCTCGTGTAGAGGATTGAGGGTGACAAGGACGTCGCCGAAGGTCGAGCGAGGGATATGCTGCAGGATGTTCATATTGTAAGTGAGCGAGACCTGGTCGATATTGGACTTTCCCGACCAAGGAGATGACAGGGTCATGTAGTTCCAACTTGACCAGGCCTTGCGAGAGGCAGGCATATGCGTGAGGTCGGAATGGAGAACCGCCGTGTTTTTGGAGGTCTGGAACTTGGACATGATCGACCTCTCTTCAGCGGTTGCAGTGTCCTTGATGATTTGATAAGCCTGATCGCCGTGTGTTGCGAGGATAACATGGTCGTAAACTTCGCTGTTGCCGTCGTGCAAGTGCACCCTCACTCGCCCATCTCCTTCGTTTGTAACTGACTTCACGGGGGTGTTCAGGAATAAGTGGTTGGGCGGGAACCCCTTCATCACAGCATCGATGTAGCTCTGAGAGCCCTCTTTGATAGTGAGCCATGAAGGTCGGGTCGCTATCGTGGACAGTAGGTGATGGTTCCAGAGGAAGCGCACCAGAGTGACAGCAGGAAACTCCAGCGTGCATTTGTCGGGACTCGTGCTCCACACCGCGGCGGTCATGGGGATGAGATAGTCGTCACGGAAAGCATCCGAGTAGCCCTCCCTTAGGAGATATTCCCCAATAGTCTCTTCGACCTTGAGAAACTTGGGCGCGGGCCCACCATTAACATTGCCATTCCCGTTGACCTGGTACGCTGTGTTTCGTTGGCCATCGTCATCGGCCAGCAGATCCAGAGCGAACTGATTGAAGCGGACAATGTCGAACATCATGCGCCACATCCTCGGAGAGAAGATGTGCCTTCGCTGGGTGAAGATAGAGTCCAGACTCGTGCCCGCCCATTCAAAGAGACCATGATCGCGTGAAACACCAAAGGTCATTTCCGTTGGCTCCTTCTGCACGTCGATCTTATCAAGAAAGTTGATGAAATTCGCTGTGCGGGAGCAATTAGTCTCGACGGTGGAGTTCGAAGCAAGACGGAGGAACCAAAAAGACTCACGATATGTTGCCGAATTCATCACAATGAAACCAGTATCAACCGCTGTCATATACTTCCCCCGGGTCCATGGCACGGTATTTGTGTGGCCGCCGAGGCGATCGGCGGCCTCGTAGACGTAGACATCGTGGGGTGTGCGGTTGAGAGCCCAGAGAGCTGCTATGCCCGCACAGCCGCTGCCCACGATGGCCACCTTCTTCCTAGAGACTGAGTTAGGCCGGCTCATGGGAGATGAATGCGACAAATATGAGTGGTGGTATGTCCGATCCTGAGATTGGGTCTCAGCCCCCGCAGACCTCGAGAGTACCTAGTGGCTTTACTTCAGGTGCTGGACGGGGCCAGTCGGCACGAGACTCTTCAGATTGGGTGACATTCCAGTGCGAAACCAGCTGACCAGAAATGGTTGTTGATGGTTGCGGCAGAACAGCTGAACAAGTTCCCAGGTCAACGGAAACATGTGCATGAAGTGACAAGAGTCAAGTCATGACGCACATGCAGCTGGTCAGCAAGCAGGAGTGCGGACGATGTTTGATCGAGGCGCAAGCAGCTCAGGGAACAGCGTTTTGGCTTGTTGCAAGTCGCCGCCATGACGCTACTTTCTTAGTCAAGCTCCTTGAGCTGGGCCGATGAGAGAGAGAGAGCATGCGGGAAACGGTTGGGGAAAGAGCATGTGAGACGGCTTGCGACTTACTCTGCAGCCATCTTGCACCTAGTGACGGAGGGATCTGGCTTGGCACGTGTATGGTCGTACAGGCCGATGGAGGTCTACAAGAAGCCTGCTGGTCCCAGAAGTAATGTGCACTTTTCGCAAGATGGGCTGACCGTGAGTGCATGTGAGAGAGACGAAGGAGAGATTATATTGTGAGAGCCAGAGCTGTCCATTTGGGAACAAGTTAAGCCAAATCAAGTCTATGAGGTAGTCCATCAAGGGAGATGAAACGGGAGCCACCTGTGGCTGGTTAACACAACCTCGGACCGGACGAACCGGGGTGGCAGCGGAAAGTCGAGCAACCGGTCTAACCTTCCGTGCTGGATTTGAGCTGAACGGAACAGGGCTGCGATGCGCTGGTGACTGATGGGAGCAGGCAGGGCACCACGATCTACTGGCGACTTTGACGGCGAACTGGAAAGTGCAGCTCGCCTCGCCTAGTCCAGAAGCATCACAGTCTGACTGACAGTCGCAGGCCGTGATGCCAATAGATGTCGAGACCCAACGGGATCGAATACTCAGGGAGGAGCGAGCATATTCAATTCTTAGGAGCGCCGAAATTTAATCTGCCCGGATTATTTCAACTCGACAATCATCACTGAGTCCCGAAGAACACGAACGTCGAGCCTTATTTCTGCACCGGGGTGTTTCAACTTTCTATGAAGAGAGGAGAGAAAAGGAAACGGAAAGGCAAAACTTGGCTGGACCTGATATAGCATTTTTCCTGAGAAGTGCAGCTGCGCCTTCATTGGCTGAGACCCGGCCGTTCTGCCCCACCCACCCATCAACTCCGATCAGTTGGGTACAAACCTGAGTACGTTACCCTGATCCCCTTACCCTTACCCTGAGAGGCCCCTACCAGTGAACGCCCCCTGACCGCGCCATCCAGGCATGGCGATTCACTGCTGACGCACTTCCCAGACCGGGACCCCCAACCGACGACGAGGCGATAGTCTGAAGCGTAACAGCCGTTTTCGACATCGACACGTCCTAGGAAGACTCACCCGCTTGCTGCACCATCCACCATTCATAACCACAACCTGCCAACTTGCTCGTCGTCCTCTGCCCTTGACAACACGATAGTCCTCGCCTCGATCGCTTCCAGGTTACCTCTCGAGTACCAGACAGGCACACCCCTTCCGCCCTCTTCCGCTTCCGCCTCCGCGCTCGCCACATCCACCATCATGTCGAATCCGCTTGACACCGACGCCGGGTCGGAGCTCTTCGAGAGCTACTCTGCCGAGTTCAGGCTCGTGCAGGCCGACCTTCAACAAAAACTGGACCAGATACCCGAGCTGAGCGGTGAGCCGCGAAAGGCGGCTATCAGCCAGGCCGAGCGGGCACTCGAGGAGGCAGAAGAGCTGGTCAGTAACCCAATCCTCGAAGCGATGTGTCCATGATACCGCCATCAGCAGACATGAAGGCAGGCGGCCGGGCGGGCAAGAAAAGACAACAAGCTGACCTATCGTGTTTCGAAAACCGTAGCTCGGACAGATGCAGCTCGAAAAGCAAAACATACCCACCTCGGCCCGCACAAAGGCCAACCAGCGCTTCCGCGACATGCAGACGACTATCGACCAGTCCCAACGGAAGCTGCGCGCCCTCGCCGAGGACCGCTCCGCCCTGTTCGGCAGCCGCGAGCGCTACTCGGACGACCCCAACGACGTGCAGCTCGAGCAGCGCCAGCAGCTCCTCCAGGGCTCCGACAGGCTGGACCGCAGCACCCAGCGCCTCAAGGCCTCCCAGAGGCTCGCCAACGAGACCGAGTCCATCGGCGCCTCGACCCTGGCCGACCTGCACCGGCAGCGCGAGACCATCCAGCATACTAACGACACCCTGCTGGACTCGGAGGGCTACGTCGACCGGAGCGTCAAGACGCTGAGGGGGATGGCGCGTAGGTACTGTGCCACTCCTAGATCACCCTCCTGCTGGACCTGAACCTATCAGCATGCTAACGGTGGCATCGTAGGATGGCTACAAATCGGGTGATCACGATCGCCATCATCACCATTCTGGTTCTTTTGATTGTTGCGGTAATTTTCAGCAAGTTTCGGTGAGCGAGCGAGCGAGCGGGTAACAACTGCCTGGGTGTGGGCATAAATCGCTAGTTCCAAGGTGTTTCTCGAAGGCGTTGTTTGGGACGGCGTGACTGTATTTTTCCTCAATTTAAATACGAAGAACGGCTGTGCGGATGCAGCCGGACTGTAGCAGTATCGGAATGAACAAGGATACGACTTTTGATTCATATATCTCACCAAACGCCGGTACTCGTAAAGCAACCTTCCAAGGCGACCTCGTTCAATCCTAGATCGTGACGAGTAGGAAGGCCCGCCTATTGCCCAACACAGGCAAGCCTCAAACTGGTGAGACGGTGATATTCACCTGCGTCCTCCCCTGGGCTTCATCACCCTGCCGTTTGATGGCGGGCCCCGTCGCTTCTCGCCCAGTCCTCTCCGCCCTGCCGCGATGCCCTTGCCAGACCTGTTCCCGCGAGCATGAGCGCCTCCGCGCGCGGGAGCACCTCCACGTGGCTTGCTGTTGCCCTTGCTCGTCTTCGACTTGATAGCAACCGCATCATTCTCATCAACATCCATGCCATCCTCATCGTCATTGTCGTCCTGGCCCTTCTTGTTCGACCACTTGAGCTTGCCGCGAAGCCCCTTCTTCGGGGCGTCCTTGCCCTTGAGCGCGGACACGTAAGCGTTGACACCGCTCTCCCCGGTCGGGGCAGCATCGATGTCCATCTCGTCAGCACCCGCATTGTCATCGCCGAGGATAAGCTTGCCGTCGAGGTCAACCTTTACCTTCGTCTTGGTCGGACCGCGCATCTTGACAGGCTTTGTCGACGAGATACTAGCCAACGCCCCGCGGTCCAGCAGATCGAGCGGCTCGTCCTCGTCCTCGACGATGTAGGCCTTGCCCTTCTGCTGCTTGCCCTTCTTTCCCCTGGGTGCCGGCTCATCATCGGACTCGTCTGAGTTGGCCTCGTCCTCACTGCTGCTGTAGAGGGCCTTGTCGAATTCGCTGTCGAAAGTCCTCCGGCCTCGCTTTGGCTCGTCGGCCTCCTCGCCGTCTTCCTTGGCGGCTTCCTTCTGCCTCTTGCTCCGCTCCTTCGTTTTGCGGATGTTGTTGATGAGCTTCCGGTCCTCTTCGGGGCAGTTCTTGTTCACGATTTCATATCCAAATCTGCGGATCATCCGCTCCAGGATGTGCTTGACCTTGGCACGGAAGTGGCCCTTGTGTTCGTGACTCCAGATCATAAGGTTGGGTATGAGAGTGCCCAGTCTTGGCTCCACCAGCTCCTTAGGAAGGCTGATGACGCAGACTTTGACAAAGCCAAGGACGCTCTTCACTATCTCTCGGTTGTTCGACGTCAAGAACAAGTCCATGGTCTGGACGATCTCGGCGAGGGTTTCGGGGCTCAAAGAGTCCTTGAAGTCGTAGAGGATGCGGCTGATCGCGGTGATGGAGGCCGAGATCATGTGCGGTGTGCTACCAGCAAGACCAGCGCTCACCATAGTGAAGAACTCTTCAATGTTCGCGGTCGCCGATGGGGCGTCTTTGGGCATGTGAGGCACTTTGCTGTTGTCGATAGTTGCACCGGTGGCTGACTCCATCTTCTTGCCCAGAAGGATCAAGAGCTCAAAGGCAGTTGACCTCGCTCGTTCATTCTGCTCTTTGCACCCAATCACAACCTCGGACAGAACTGCCGGAATGAAATGCAGCGAGTCGCTTGGAATGAATGGCACCATAGCAGACATCGCTGCCAACCGTTCTCGGCGGGCTGGGCCAGAGCATTTGTCTCCGCTGGACAAAATCAAGGCCTGCAGCTCGTTCTGTCGTTCTTGTAAAGCAATCTTTCCAATATCGGACTCTGCCAGGCGAGGAATGAGCTTGTATGCCTTCTTTTGCAGCTGTGGGTCGCTGTCTTTCATGATGACCACCGAGGAGATCTCGAACAACGCCGCAAAACTCTCCCTAGGCAAGTAGATAGACATAGTTATGACAAGGTCCATGAGAGTATGGGTGGTGGCGGGCATCTTGTCATTTCCTCCCTTCTTGCCTTCCTTTTCTGTCTTCGTAGCTGCTTCTTGGAGTGAGGACGCCAGCATCTTGCACACGCGATCAAAAGTCTCCATCAGCTCAGCCGATGGCGTTATGCTCAAGTAAGCATTGATAGTCTGCAGAATCGAGCCGCGCGAGTGTGGAAGAGTTTGTCCATAGACGTTAAACAAGACAGCCAGGAAATTGCCAGATAAAGAACCCAGGTACTCAAGGTTCTTTCGTGCTTGCTGTTTGGTTACACGGCTTTGGAGAATAAGGTCGTCTTCTTCCTCGATCGACGCAATGGCTTGGTTCGACTCCACAAGCGCCCTTAGGCCCTTGCAGATATCGAGGCGGAGCTCGACCTTTTGGTAGAGAAGATTTGCCAGGAGTTCGGCGAAAGACTGGTCGAAGGCTTCGCGAAGATCGAGCGGCAGGTCGCAATATCCGGGCAAAATAGACCAGATCTGATGGACGACAGTTTCGAAGATCTTGACCTCCATGGTCTTTTCCGATCCCCCATGGTCCAAGACCCTCTGGAACATCAGCTCACTCAGAGGTACGAGCTCAGAACGGAAGTGCGCCAATTTCGTATTTGTCGTGTAATCTCTGAGCAGGGGAAGCAACCATGCCCTGCCAGTCTGTCCCTCTGTTGGTTTGGCAAGGTTCAAGGGGAGGATCTCGAGTACTGCATCTGGTCCCATTGCCCTGATGGCTTTCCCGAGCACCTCGTCTGCTTCCTGCTTGTTGGCGAAAGAGTCACTCCCTCGCATGTCTCCGACTATCTTCGTAACGTTGAGAAGGTAAGGATGCGCCCTCCATCGGAGGCAGTCGAACATAGCTCCGATGACTTTGAAGGTCTCCGCCCATGCAGCTTGATATTTGACACTGAAAAGGCCTTCTACCACTTTGATGACCTTTTCTAGTGTCTTTTCGTCGTAGACAGAGGGATCTAATATGACCTGATTCGGTATGCAGGTTGCGAGGAACGACACAAGGCATTCGGACGCCGAGATTCGGATGTTTTCTGACGAGGACTCGAGGAATTGCGATATTAGTTGGAATAGCTCAGGTAGTTTCAAAAATGTGTCTTCCGGCTCGACCTGAGCCGAGACCTCGTACCCTCGGGACAAAATCGCTATCCAAGACGGCAGAAGTTGTGTGTCGTCGGACGCAGGGCGCAGTTCGGAGATGATGTCGAGCAATCGAGGCAGTTTCGCCGAGGCGACTTCGTCCGCTGCCATGCCTTCGAATATCATGTCGAATATCTCAAAAATAGCCATTGTCATGTGCTCGTTTCCAGTGCGGGCGATGCCGATGAGGAGTTCGCACAAGGACTCTATCTTCTTGCTTGGCCACCCCCTACTGCCGGATGCAATGGTCTTGATCAATTGAAGCGCATGGATCGTGACAGGGTCTTGGCTTTTATCGATGGACTTCTTCTCCTTGCGTGAGCGAGCCGCACTCTCTGCCAGCTCGGTCAGGCTCATCATAGCGGCCTCAGCGCACATGTCGGCTGCAGGATGGTCGAGAGACGGGGTAGGCGGGGGATTCTTGAGCACATTTTTGAGAGCTTCTTGGGCTCGCTTTCGGACTTTGGGACGCGGATCCAGGGAGAGATTCAGGAGACCCGAGACGGCACTCCGAGGCCCCATTTCTGAGACGGTCAGCTCCCACGATGCCGAGTCCTGGGCTAACAGAAGGGACTCTAGGCATCCAATCGATGGTCTGAGTAGCGGTGCATCTGCTTCTGGTTGTGACACGACAGGAGCGAGAAGCTGGAGGATCTGAGTGAACCTGGCGCGGAGGAGAGGTTGTGGAGCAAAGGGCGTGACGACGTCGAGGAGGTATACGATGGCCGTGGCGAGATCCTTCTTCTGGCCACCAGGAGGAGTTTGGCCAAGAAGCGCAAGGAGAGCAGCGAAGTACGCTGTTGGGGTAGGTTCGGAGTTTTGCTCTTTCAGGGTCGACTCGACTGCTCGCAAGACAACGGACGTCTTCAAGAAGTATAAGTCAGTTTTTCGACGCACTCGGGACCGAGAAGGATTGGGAAAGCCGGTGGTGTACTGACCTGCTGCTGGCTTTGCAGATTCGGCGACCGAATCTTGTCAAGCTTCTCAGCCAGACTTGGGGCAGACATCGTAATACTTGGCTGGAAAAGTGAGGACGGTCTGATGTTGCGAACCCTCAATGTTGCGCCGGCGGGACTTGAGAGCCCCAGAAAGTTTTTGGCGGTGGGGCCTTATCGTCGATAAGCTCGACGGGTTCTGCCGGGTCCCTCTAGAAAAGGTAAGCGGGATGGGCGGTGGCAGACCATCTATAAGCCAACTTGTTAGTGGCAGAAGCCAGGCTACGAGACGGAATGCGCTCATTTACAACTCGGAACTTTAACACTTATATGCAGCTCAACAGTTTGCATACAACCTGACCAGTATACCCCCTCAGCAGTACAACCTTCCAGTGATATGACTTTCTACAGAATAAGTTCCTAAGCCTTGATGATAAACTACACGATATCGCAATCTTCCAACTGTGCTCCAAGGTCTTAGCAGGGGAACAAAACACATGGATAATACCTAGGTAGGCAGCAAGAGCTGCAGCCTGCAGGATTGATGCCGCCGCTTTTGTATGTCTAGGCAGGCAGGCGGTGAGGAAACGTCCGCCTGAGCGGCAGAATGCAGGGTCCATGACTATATAAACCAGCTCCCCTCGCCCCTCTTCCCTCCCTTCTTTCTTTCCTCTCCAGCTCTCTTTGCCTCAATGGCTTAGATCAAGTGTAGTATCTGTTCTTTTCAGTTTAATCTCTGAAAGTGTTCCAACGGAGCACATTCTTGATTATGCTCATTTTTGCAACCGGGTGGGCGGCCCTCTGAGCTCGCTCATAGCTGACCTCCACTGTGTCCTCGGTACCACACTGTCTCCGAGTGACGCGAACTACCCTCTTCATTGCGGTCGTGGGCTTGCCCGCGACGTGGAGAAGAAGAAAGGAACTGCGTTGATCGGTCTGCTCTTGACGGTGCGGCTCGCTGGCCCCAAGGCTAGCATGAGCCCATGATCTACCTAAGGGTCTTGTGCCTGGTGCCTAAATGTTTGGCTGCGCAGCCAAACAAGACGCTATGGCGGGATGAGTCACAGCTGTCAGCATCGCCCTGACACGAGATTCCCACTATCAATCTGCACTTCTGGAGGTCGCAAAGGCTGACCGTACACCATTCCGTAGCATTCCGTACGAGGCACTCCAAAATCCCGCTGGTCAAGGCATATCTCAACGTGTGATTGTCAATAATACTGGATATCCTATGTAGTATATAGCCTTCCTGAGTGGATTTCTATGAAGAACCGATCTCATTCATACCGCGTCTTTGTTTCAAGGCCAGCTATGGCCAGATGCACCTCGTGTCTTCGGAAGAAACTGATATAGGGGCCAATGTACACGCCTGGGCAGTCCCAAATGGATTGTGTATTGGTGTGGAGCTTACACCTCTCATAGAGATCATGAGGGTTGCTCATTCCCATTGATATGAATATGAGTGGCCAGCTACTGGACAATTGAGTGAACGTCTGTAATGCCGCAATTCCAACGCCGTGTCAGCAAAAACAGGGAAGCAAAGAAAGTCAACCGCCCCTCCCCTCCTTCCTCCGACTCTGTCTAGCCGGAGCCTAGGAGAACTCATCCTGCTCGCCTTCGCCGCCTTCCACGATGTTGCCCTTCACCCTGAGCAGTAGAGCAGTCTTCCACTTGTCGAGCTTGCTCATCTGGTCATAGGCGTAGAGCTTGTCGGCGAAGCCCTCCGAGTCGCCGTTCTCGATGGTCTGGATGACGTCCACCAGCAGCTGGTGCTCGCGCTGCGTCCCGAAGCTCGGGTCCATGTCGCGATACTTCTCGAGGGCCCGGTTGGTGGCGATCAGGTCGTTGGTGGCGAGGTGGCAGATGCCCGCCTTGAGGAAGTACTCCTTGACGCTGTAGCGCATCAGGTTGTTGTTAATGGACTGCTGCGCGACCTTCTCGTAGTGCTCGATGGCCTTCTGGTACTCGCCGTCGAGGGCGGCGAGGTCGGCGACCTTTAGGTAAAGCTTGTTTGCAAGACTAAGGGAAGCCTGTTAGTTACTGCACACCTCGTGAAGCGTTTGTCCGGGAATCATGGACGTACGCAGCAGCTCCATCGCCTTCATACCACCCAGCAGCGGCCTCGTATGCCTCGAGAGCGCGCTTCATGTCGCCCAGCTGGTTCTCAAACAGGTCGCCCAGGTTCTCCTTGTGCGAGGCTGCTCTCCGGAAGTTGCCCTTGGTACAGTATTGGTTGATGGAGAAGTCGAGACACCGCGCGGCATCCTCGGGGTTTTCCTGGCGATAGACCTTGAACGCATCGACATAGGTGTTTGCGGCATCGTCTGGGTCCTTCAGGTTGTTGAGCTGGACTTGTGCGGCCTTCTCGAATGCTTGCCCTGCTTCTCGGTCTTGGTGATAGTTAGCTCCCGCTGCGATCAAGAACCTAGTAGCAGCACCCAGGCAGTAAGACTCACTGTTTTTTTGCATCCTGTACGCATTGGCGGCTTGACTGTAGAGGTCGGCGGCATTCTGATACTTGTCCTCCTTGTTGTTAAAGAAGCCGAAGCCGCCAGATGCGCTGGCGAGCAGCTTGTCTGCCTTTACCAAAGACGTTCAGCATGGAGCGAGTGTCTTCCAGCCCTTTGGAAAGAGGCCAACTCACCTTCTGCAGCAACGCACGAGGATCCTGCGCCATTGTCGCAAAGTGTTCAGAGGTCTATCGTCGATATCGGTGTTGGGATTCTTCGGGATCGGAAGGCGCTGCGGGGTCAGTGCCAGGAGTATGAGCTCGGAAGCCGTAAGGAAGAAGCCGTCTTGAAGAGGGTACGAGGATTTCGTCTGCTAGGAGAAGATCACAGGTGGCAGGTTGGCTTCAGTTGATGGTGCAGGTCTACTTTGGGGAGACAGAGTGGGTGGTTGTTGGCTGGCCGTGAAGCTAAGGTATGACGCCGCACCACGGCCGCAGCGCGTCAGATGGTGCTCCGCCTCCTGAAGTAGCTCTACCTTGTCTTTGGCTGTGGTGCACCCGTTTCATGACACGGGTACGTTCCTTTTTCTCGCGCGTGGCACTGGGGATCCCAGCAGGGCTCTCGACCAATCGCACCACATCAGCTTCGTCCAACGTCGACCCTCGAACACGGCCGTGGCCTGCCAAACCAGGTGGAAAGCCCCTATCGGGGCCCTGGGAGCTATTCGTCTAGGCCTGCTGGCTAATCTTTTGGGGGGGCCCCTGCTGCGTAGCCCCCCCCCCCCCCTACGGCGCTGCGCGCCTCCGGCTCACCCCCCCCGGCGAGGCCTACGGCCTTGCCTGTCCATTAATGGGGGTTCGGGTTTTGGAATAAGCCAATCAGCTTGCAAGTTTTCAGAACCATGGTTTCTCTCTGCTATGCACTAATTACTATGTGCTCCGTGCATGCCTGCGGCGGTTAATCAATTAGCTTGCAACTTTTCTGACCCATGGTGCGTTAACCGAGTTCCCATTCACAGACTATTCTAGACGAATAGCATATGGACTACAGCACGCTCGGCATCACTCCCTCAAGACTCGATACGTGCAGGGACAAAGCACATCTCCACAAAGACCCCGGATCAGGACAATTTATATCTTCTTCTGATAGCGCATCCACTCACAAAAGAGACTACTTCGAGGAAGACATTTTACCGGCTTCCAAAAAGGGGCCTTGAAACCTTTTAGCGATGGGTCCGGGTCGCCTTCCGTTCATGAGGCCGCTCATGGCCTCGGGCCTTCAACTTCAGGCCCGCGCGGCCAGTCCTGCCGTACCAACAGGATGGATACGCCGCCGTTGCATGTCACAACAACCAACAGACTCATCAAAACAACAACAACCAGCAGCAGCAGTAGCGGCCAGTCCCGAGTTATCACAGCCGTCAATAGGCGAGGAAACCAACAGAGCCCAAGAGCCTCATCCCTCACCCTCACACCCGCAGCAGTCCCCAGAATCCCCAGACCTCACCTCCATATTCGCCAACCCAACCTGGTCCGTCCGGTCCCTGCTGCCCTCGTCACCTCCCTCGGCGGACGAGGTCACCCCGGCCACCCTGCACCACCTCCTGCGCCTGTCCGCCCTGCCGCCCCCGGGCCAGCGAGGGGAGGAGGACCGCATGCTCGGGACCCTGCGCGCCCAGCTGCACTTCGTGCGCGACGCCCAGTCCGTCGACACCCGCGGCGTGGAGCCCCTGCGGAGCATCCGGGACGAGACTGCCACGGGCGTGGCCGAGTCGACCGTCACCCTGGACACGCTGCGGGAGGCGCTGTCCCGGGAGACCGCCGTTGGCTTCAGGCGGAGGCCGCGGCGGGTCAAGGACGCCCAAGAGAGGGTGCAGTCCGAGGAGGAGAGGCTGGTTGAAGCTGCCACGGTGGAGAGGAGAGACAAGAGGTACTTCGTTGTTGCCAGTGGCAAGGGAGCTGAGAAGGGGGAGTGATGGCTCGTTGGGAGGACAATTAACCAAGCACATATTCTCGTGTTCTCCGAGAAAACTTCTTGCCAGTCAACGTGCCCGACATTCGAGGAGATCCCGTCCTCAAGGTATTTGTACGGTCACGGCAGGGAAGCAGCCAGGCTTGCGAGAGTCTTTTGCTGATATCTACTTCCGGGGCCTACTTTCCACCGGCTTTTGAACTGCCATCAGGCGGTGACTTCCTCGAGTTCATTGATCTATGTGGCCATTTATGGCTCCAAAGCATACCGAACTCCTCCTTGGGCCGAGTCTCATGATACTAAAACTTCTTTGAAGCCGAAACCTTCAGTCCTGCGAAACCCAACTTTTCGATACTAAACTTTGCCTGATGCTACAATCATTTTGGTTTCGTTGCGAAACCTGACCGACGCCTGTACTTCAACTCCGTGTCGATGCCGAATATGCCGTGTCCTAAGATGGAATGATAGGGTGAGTGAAGGTGCAAAATCAAAGTGCCCAACCCTACCGCCGCCTTCCAGGGCTTCTTTTGGTTAATGTATGAATTTAGGACTAAGTGTCATGCGTGATAAAGTCGCCTTCTCGTTGCAGTCGTCGAGTCGTGATGCCTGTCGTTTGGTGGTGGTGGCACCCTGGAGTACTGCCCCTGTCCGGCTCGAGACGTATTGCCCTGTCCGCCGCGGCTGGGCCGAGCATCTGCATACCTATGGCCACGGCCACGGCCACGACCCTGACTACCACCCCTCTCAAAATTTGGCCTCCACTCATCTGGACCAGGATATTTGCGATGCCGGTCCTACTTAAGGCTCATCTTTCCCAGCTGCCCAGCGAGGCGTCTATCGCTGTTGTTGCGACCATTCCTGCCACCACGACCCTGTGGCTGGGTGTTCTCCTTGTTCTCAAAATGCCCAGGAATTTGCCCGCGTCCGCGCCCACGGCCCTGGCCCTGAGTGTGCTGGACCTGGCCGGGTCGGTTGCCCGCAGCAACAGGGGCTTTCAGCACAGCAGTTGAGGACTGTCCGACCGGGTTTGACGGAGGGGGAGCTGTGATCTCAAGCTCATCCCAACCTATTCGTTGTAATATGTCGCCGACGAGGGATGGATACTGCACATGAGCATCCAGGATATCGGACACATCGTGATTCTCAACGCCTCCCACACCCTCGATGCAGCCCAGGCCGGCCATACCGAAGTAGCTGGGTCCACTTCTCGATGCGAATGCCAGCATGTAGTCGTTCTTAGCAAAGACGTTGACAAAGCGGCCCGTCACAACGCTCTTCAGGGCAGTCCATGTACCAGTATCCCCAGGAATTGGTGCACCCATCAAGATGACAGAGTCAACCAGGCCGTATAGCTTCCTCTCGGCCAAGTACGTCAGGGTCAAGTAGATCGCGCGAGCGCCAACACCGTATCCGATGAGACTCAGTCCTCGCTCTCCGTGGAGATGTCCTGTGATCAAATCAGACAGACAAGAGGAGAGCTTGGTGCTGCGTGTCATGCCCATGATCCAAGCATTGTCGACAACCTTGCTCGATCTCAGGAGAGAATTCGGCCAGTCGTACAGGAGCATTTTGGTCAGGACTTTTTATTGTCAGCCTGCACACACGAGAACTTCAAAGGGGCGACTTGAGCTTACTGGGTGTGCGATTGAGGTCCTTTTGGCACTCAGCCCAGGCCTTACTCTTGAGCAAAGTTTCAAAGGCGCTGCCGATCTTCTGAAGAGTTTCGGTCTCCCAGCGAACAGCATAAATCTCGTTCTGAGATCCGAGTCGCTTCCAAGGGCTGCAAACATCGTCATTGGGTGTGAGCAGGCCGTTGACGCATAAGACAAGACGCATTCGCCGGTCCTCGGGCGCAACATCTTTCTGGTTCTGAAAGCCAGATTCCTTGGGACTGTGCAGCGGGATGAAACCAATGTCTTGGAGTGTGAGAGCGAAGCTGTCGATGGACTTGGTGGACGGCCGGTTGGGGTTAACTCCGAAAAACGTGGCAAGCGCGCTCTCATTATCACTCAAAGAACCGAGCAGGTTGGCCACCGTGACAGGCGGGAGGCTGACTGCTGGAAGGCCCTGTCCAGCAGGCACCATGCCGAGGCCAGCTGCAAGAAGGGTGGTGCCGGCCTGGGCCGGGTTCGTGATCGGGCGATACTTCCTGAGGGGCTTGTTGTCCTTGACCGGCCTGGTTCCTTGGACCTGCTTGGTCTCCTGGACCACCTTGGTGTCCTCAGCATCCGTGGTGTCGGTATGCTCGACAGCATCCGGCTTCTTGCACTCGTTTGCCTTCTTGAGCTCCTCGAGCTTCCTCTGTTCCTCGGCCTCGCACTTCTCGGACTCGTCGCACAGGGTCTTGTATATCTTGCCAAGACTTCGGGCGACTCGGTTCTCGTCCTCAATGAAGGCGTACATGGGAATGTGCAGTGAGGATGCGAGATGCATCATGAATATGCGGGAGTATGCGATGTAGTGCTCTGTGGACAGCAACATGAGCATGATGGAGTGGAGCAGCAGGCGTCTCTTGTCGACGGATAGAGTAGTCAGGGACGTCTGAGCTGGCGGGAAACGTCGTATCAGATTCAAGTCGGCCTGATAAGCAATGCCTCTGACCGCTGCGAAGCGTTAGCACTTTGTCTTCCGCCGCTGTAGATCAGACTCCCAGCCATTGTCTGCTTTCCGCATCGAGGGATCACGAATGGGATCACACAAGCAGGGGGAGCACCCAAGGTCTGGCCATCTTCAGACAGAGGACCTCAGCTTACCTTGTTGTGGCTGTTGGGTCCTACCCGAAGAACCAGCTCCGACTGCACCTCCACGGGGAGTGCCCTGGCCCTGCCCGGATGGTCCGGCATTGGAGTTGGGGAACTTGGGCACGACAAAGTCATTGAATCGTTTCTGGAAAGCGGTCTTCCACTTGCCAAAGTAGGAGCTAACATCCTTCTGCAGCTCAGACATAGACGGAACCGCGGCCTCGACGCTGTCGGCACTGATTTCGGGGATGATAATGGAAGGGACTTTGCCATCATCATCAGCACCATCATCGGTATTGCCTGCGTCTTGGGCTTTGGCTTGGTCAGGGTCTGGGTTTGCTTCGGTCTCACCTGGAACTGAGGTGACTCCGGCATCGTCTTGCTCCTGGACTGACCTGCCAGGCTTGCAGTATCCATAAATCACGACGCCGTTGGCTGGAGACTCAGCGGTAGGATCGACAGAAGCCAGGGCAGCCTCTATGATGGGGCCGTAGTCCCAGACCTGAACACGGTTCTTCTGAGCGAGAGGGTGACCGAGGAATGTGAAAGGCTTCTGGACTTGGGTGTTGATCTTCTCCATGATGGCCTCGACAAGGGTGCTGAGCTCGGCCCTCTGGGCCATGTTGATGATGGAGCTCATGTCGGCCTCTCTCCTGGGCGGAGGACGCTGACGGTTGGAAGGCATGTTCAGATCGGATTCGTTGATGATAACCTCCACTTCGGCTTCTTCATTGGGCGAATCGTCGGCGTCAGGCTCATACCCAGCGTCGTTGAGGGGCGGATCAGAGGGCTGGTATCCACCCTTCTTCGTCGCCTTGGAGCTGGATGGAAGTGAGGGCTCCATCTTGGCCGCACCTCGGGGAGGAGGCATTGTTATTGGGGTGTCTGTTGTCGGTCGCTCCTTCCCTACCTGCCGTGATGTGCACGTATCGTCGATTAGGAAGGTGGGGAGGTGAGAGGCGCTGGTGTTGGTGGCGGTGGGTTGCTCCTTCCCCGATGACAAGAAAGTTTGCACGTCGAGTGGCCTGCGCCTCGAGGGGAGCTGGACGCAGGTAGCTCTTGCTGCTGGGGGAAACTCGACCTTGGAATCGAGAGTGCAGGGACTGGCATACACCTGACAGTGCTTCCAAAGTTGGAGAGAAGGACTGCGTTTTCCAGGAAACAACAGAGATGCGCCTGAGGGAAGGCAAGATACGTTAATGTACGGCGCGGCCAAGGGCGGATGGCACTACAAGTGTTGGTTCCCCAAGATGTTTGTTTGCTTTGGTTGTACCTCTCGAGTTCTCGACTTTTGGCTACATTTGACGTCAGTAGCCGTATTGTGTTGTTTCGCAGTGAATCCGCTCGCAGTGCCTCACAGCTCTCCCTGTGACACAAAGGCTGCCGGCAGTTAAGCTGCAGTGTTCCATCCAACGGGCCTCAGTACCAGTGGTCTGGATGGCCGTTGTGGACCAGCGAGCCAACACACTCTGAGACATACAGTGACTTGGTCTTGCCTCCTGCTGTTAGACTTTAAAGGAGAAACCTCAGCTGTCTCCAGTCGTTTAGTATCGAAGGTCATACATGCGTCTTGCTCGTCTCCTGCGGCTACGTGCTCTACGAGTCTCCCTCTTTGAGGATACAGGAGTCTCGATATTCACCACTCAGGTATGGAGACCAGCTCGCCAGATACTTCACATCACAGGCACCCTGCACATCTGTGTCCTCATGGTGCCGGGCGTAAGATACAAAAATGTATCCTTTGCAGTAACAGAGACCCAGTCTCAGTCCCTACATTGACACATCACATCACCGCCCAAGCACCTAGCACCGTCTGAGAAGCATGAGAAACGATGATGCCTGCGGCGAGGCCAGCCAGCCTGCGCATCTCCACACCATTGTACTTTCTATAGACATGGGCTCATATCCCAGGTCGTACCAACGAGCTACCCCTGGCATGCGATCGAGCAGTCAGGCAATCAAGGCTAATGCACCCCGCAAATCTGACAGATGATCTGCCGTCGGTTAGGGCTGACAATCAATAACACTCCCGCATCTCAGATGTCAATAGCGGATTTCACCTGTGATGCAACAACGGCAGCCGGAGCCTGATTGGTACCTGGAATTATTTTGACCGGGTCCAGTATGCTTTCATGCCTCTGACCAGGTTGATCAAGTCGAGGCTCTCGACTGTCTTCAACGAACCAAAGATGATTTGGAAGATAGTCAGCGTTTGAACACAGCGTAGCTTCCGAGTTCACATATGGGATGTGGCTGTCCATTCGTACCCAGGACAACCTCTTCTTCTTTGTAGGTGTAGCACGGATGGTCCAGGGTGCTGACGCCCAGTGAAAGACAGCTTGAGCAGGTGGTGCTGATTACCCTTAAGAATGTTTACTAAGGCGGCAACTAATACGATGAGAGCACAAGGCATGGGCTGATATAAGGTCGGCAATTTTATACTAGGTCATCCTCTGCGCTCTTCTATTGACACAAAACATGCTCTCAGGGGGCCTCGGGAACGCCAAATCCAACGCCAGGTCTCTCCAGTGGTAATTTGCCCCTATCCCACTCGTGATCCAAAATGGAGGCCACCAATATATAGTTCAAATCCAAGAAAGAAAAGAGGAAAAGGGGCGGTTCGATCACAGCCTGACCTTGGCGCCGATGCCCCGACCCTCGTACCAGACCGTTTCCCTCCAATTTGCTATTCTCAGCCCGACAACAGCTTTCGCGTCGAGCTTCAAGCCCCCGCCGAGCGCATTTCTGATCTTGTCATACGTGTCGCCATTACCAATACTCCAGTCTACCGGCAGCCGTGGAGTCTGCGACAAGCCAGGTGGTGCAGCGATGGGCAAGTCGTAGACGATCTTGCCGACGGGCTCGGTATGGTTGTAGAATGCGGTGGCGTTGATGTGTTCAATGTACACGGTGTTATACTGCAGTGGACTGACGAGAGTGAAGGTCGCTGAGGAGGAGACAACGTGGAACGTTGCGCCTCTGATAAAGTGACCCGCCCTATCGCTGCCTCCACCGTCCCCGTCGTCGTCGCCGGGCAGCTGGAGGTGTGGTGTCGGCACAGTGAGGTTTAGGTGTGATAAAGCTTCGCCAAGGGCAGGCTGTGACGTATACTATTGCGGTGCGCTCGTACGGTGAGCGACGTGTTCCGGCCAGAGAGGTATTGGGACATTAGATCTCTGGCGATGACCTTGGCCTTTTCGCCACCTAGTGATGGATTCCACTTTGCCGTAACAATGAGGTTCGTGTTGTTGCCCCTCGATATATCGAGATCTTCCGCAGTGACTTCACCGATCACGGATTCGTTGCAGAGAATATGAGCGTTGACATAGGGGATGTGCGCAGTGTAAGGTGACGGATTCGTTATGTTGACAAGCGCTCGCAACTCTATTGAACCTGGTGATGTGTTCATAATCATAATGTTGCCAACTCTTGGGTTGATGCTGTGGAGCGGGTCTTCTTTTGGTCCGTTTGGCTTCTTCATGATAGCTGTGTGATCGTTAGAAATTGTTCGGATAAACAGGATCAAGGCAGGAAAGCTCAGCCCTGACAGACCGAACGGTTTCAAGGATACTAACACTACCAAGAAGAAGACGGACGTTTTACTGGAATCTTGCCCTCAGCGGGGACATCTTTCAAAACCAGCTGTCCAAGGACCGTTTGGACCTTGACATCGACCAGAGCCTTGACATCCAAACGAACCGACTTTCCCTGAAACAGCAGGGTCTGAATCACATCGGTAAGAACGTCGCTGTCGGTCACGTTCAGAGGCGCATCATCGATGCGAGACGTGATTTTCAGCTCGGGGTCTTCAGGGTCATCCTGGATCTTCGTGGAGTTTGCATCTCGCCACTGGCTCACGTCCAGAATACCCAGCTTCTTGCTCTTGTAGAAGACATCGGCGGATGCGCGAACTTTGGTGACGTTGATTCCAAAGTTCATGTCCTTGGGAAGTCCAGCAATGACATTGATAGTGCCTGACACTGTCGGATTTGATGCGGTGTCGTCGGGGTCAGCCAACGGATCAGGCAGACTGAAGTGTGCGTCGGTCAAGGAGAAATTGCGGATGAGGTTATCAAAGGTGCGACCCGGGAATGGTACTGGCACAGTGACCTGAGACAAAATTTCATCCACCCACTGAGGGGTACCAAGCCCCGTCTGTTGCTTCCCTCTCACAAAAACGGTAGCAGCTTTTCCGCCGAGATATTCCTTCAGGAATCGGTCCAAGGGCGACGATTCAGAGTTGGGACATAACCGCGTCAATGCGTCTGGAAGGTGCCTAATCACCCCGTGGACGCTAGCAACGACAAGTTCGCGGGGTCGTATGCCTATAGGGTCCGTCAGGGCGTCAGCGACGAGGATGTAAGGGTCGTTGAGCCCGCAGTTTGGCACAAGAATCTCGAAGCCAAGTGGTGGAATATCCACTTCGACGGGGTACTTGTTCAGCGCATCAATAGACACATCAGCAGCCACAGTGTGGTTGTCAATGTCTCGGAACAACACCTTAGTGATATTGTACTGTGGAATGCTGGGCACGTCGCTCCCTGTACGAGTCATCAGCCAGTTGTTCACAAGCAGCAAAGTGACTAATCGATGTAACAATAAAGTGACTTGATAATTCAGAAGAGTGTCTTTTCTCCGAAGTACAGGGACGCAAAGGATTGGTAGAGAGATTGACCTTCAATAGTCAGGGCTTCAGACACTGCGTGCGTGCCAAGCGGAATGATACCCGTTTTGAGTGTAATGTCGGCCTTCCCTTGCACTCGAAGCCTCCCTAGCCTGCCTTCTAGCCACTCGTTCGCGATGGTACGTATACCGTCAGCCTCTCCAGGCATGAGCTCGGCGACGAAATCGATGGCCGTGTTGTCGCCGTTGATCTTCAGGTCGAGCGGTGGTATCGCAGCACTACCGAGGCGAACATTGTCGTACTCTGGGAGGAAGACATGGACTTGTGTGGCGTCAGTGCCGAGTCCGCGAACGAACCATGTTGCGACACGTCCCACTCTCCTAACATGCTCGTTCTCGACCCTCGACCCGTCCAGCTTGAAGTTGGCCTGGATGCGCGCGCGGACACCATTCGCAGTGATGGACTCGAGCGAAAGGTTTGTTGGCTCAAGTACGGCAGCCTCCTTGGCGTATTCCTCGACGGCCTTTGGCACAAAGAAGGCGCCAAACATGATGCTGATCGTGAGCACGCCCAGGATGATCATGGCGATGATCGAGGCCCATCTCCGTCGTGGCGGCTTTCCCGTGGAACCGCCGCTGCGGTACGATCTGATGGACGCATCGTCGTTGCCGTTCTGTTGCTCTTGTTCGGCTCCATCGTAGTGGGCAGCGTCGGTCGAGAGTAGCGGCGTCGACTCAGTTCCGGTCTCGACTTCGTGTCGCGGCGCATTTTCATCCGCTGAGAGCAGCGGGGACGATTCCGAGTCGGACATCGTGATGTTCTCGCAGCCAAGTGACTGCTATGGTCGGGGTTCAGGATGAGAATGGTGTTCGGGGGTTCCAAGATTACGGTGGTTCGTTCAAGTTCAGGGGCCGACCTTGGTCGGATCCCCGGATCGAGGCGGTCGGGTGGGGCCCCCTGAGGTGTACCAAAGGATAGAGATGATGAAAAAATATAAGTGACAGCCGTCGTGATGAATATTCAGTCCGAGGAATATGCAAATGTTCAGGAACCAGACGGCGGTGACGGTGTTGTTGCGAATAGACCTGAGGGCTGTCAGGCGGGCATTCGGCCCCCAGTCCAGGCTGGCGGGATCGGCAAGCGCGACGGTGACGCAAGGGCCAAGGCGGTGCTGAATCCTATTAGCCGGGAAGGGTAGCTTGGATCCACACCTGTCAGGGGACATGGAGACCCCCGGGAGTCGGGGACTCCAGCAGAGCAGCGGACTCATCATCCCAACCATTTCCATGTGCACGCCAATCTACCAGCCTGCCAGCCTACCTATCTAGGTACTTGGTCTGAGTACCGCCGTTGCAAATTTGGTCAAAGCCTTACCCACAGAAGAGTCACCATAAGCCGCACCACTTACACGATCAAGTAGAATAGACCCATGTAATGACTAGGAATTCTGTTGCGCATTGGAGCACCAACATACTTTCCATGAAGCATTAGAGTGAGGCAAGGAATGATTCATCGGTCCTGTACTTTGTTGTAGACTGCTCAGGCAGAAAAGAGAAGCGTTGCAGCACTATCGCAGAGTGTGACTCTACCACGCGTGAGATCGTCCCGTACTGTGCTCCCCTCCCCACCATGCAGCAGACGGTCAAGTTAGCTCCAGCGACACCAATTGTTGATATACTGGCGAATCATCTGCTCCTCCACCAATCCGCGGCGTGGGAATTATCGTGACCAGCTGCCAGTTGCAATAATTCGACTCACCTCCCACCTCCAAGACTCATCGTGAGCTCCAGGAACCACTCAAACAACACCCCGCTCAAAACATCCTCAATTCTTCATGTGTGCAGGCGTCAAAATCCAACATTATCATACCACCTGAACACCGATTCGTCCAGGAGCTGAAACCTTCCCAGATTCCCAGACCAAGGCCGTGACTTGCCGTGTCAACATGTTCCGCACAGCCAGGACAGCAGTGGCCCGTCTGCCGCTGAGCAGGGCGTACTCCAGCTCCGCACAACCTCGTCACTTGATGTCCATTAATGATCTGACCCCAGCCGAGTTCACCAAGCTCATCCGCAACGCCAAGGCCCACAAGACAGAGGTTGCACAAGATGACAAGCTCAGTGTGCTGGGCGGCGCCCTCACGGGCAAGACGGTCGCCATGATGTTCAGCAAGAGGAGTACCCGGACCCGCGTCTCAACCGAGGGCGCAATTGCTCTCATGGGCGGTCACCCCATGTTTCTGGGCAAGGACGACATCCAGCTTGGTGTAGGCTCAAAACCTCGCAGCGCTTGGGGTGTGGGACGTTGCGGGTGCTGACTGACTTCTTGCTAGGTCAATGAGTCACTCTACGACACCTCGGTGGTGATCTCCTCCATGGTCTCGGCCATGGTCGCCCGCGTCGGGCCACATTCGGACATCACCGGCCTGGCAAAGGACTCGAGCGTCCCTGTCATCAATGCCCTGTCCGACGACTTCCACCCGCTTCAGACCATTGCGGACTTCCTCACTATCCACGAGGCCTTCCCGTCCTCCTCTTCCGGCCCGGCAAGTCTGGGCCTTGAGGGCTTAAGGGTCGCCTGGATCGGCGACTCGAACAACGTCCTGTTCGACCTCGCGTCCGCCTGCGTCAAGCTGGGCGTCGACATCTCCGTAGCCTCGCCCGCTGGCTACGGGATCCCCGAGCCCATGAAGAAGCATATACTATCTGCTGCTCAAGGTGTCTCCAGCCCCGGGAAGTTGTCGGAGACCACGGTCCCCGAGGAAGCAGCCAAGAATGCGGACATCCTGGTGACCGACACCTGGGTGTCCATGGGACAGGAACAGGAGGCGCAGAAGCGGCTGAAGGCCTTTACAGGGTTCCAGATCACCAATGACCTGGCCAAGAGGGGAGGCGCGAAGGAGGGCTGGAAGTTCATGCATTGTCTGCCGCGACACCCTGAAGAGGTCCATGACGAGGTCTTCTACAGTGACCGATCATTGGTCTTCCCGGAGGCTCAAAATCGATTGTGGGCTGCTGTTGGTAAGTACACACCCTCCGCTTCAGCTTCTACCCCATTGTCGAAAGCTAACTTTCTATAGCTGCACTTGAGGCCTTCGTGACCAACAAGGGCCGCATTATCTGATCAAGAAAGAAAGCAATCGCGGCCTTGGCGTTGTGACGTATTACTCAGTTTCTGGGGATCTCGGCCTGGTATTGGCGTCTAAAAGTGAATCAAAAGTCTTTGCACCCAATTATGTCTACGACAGTAAATTGAATGAAATGTCAAAGATTTTCATCGTAAAAATTAATTGCTTTTGTATTGTGGTACAGTTTACAGCAACACCTAGCCAGGTGGCAGCTGGCTGGCATCAACAACATCATCAGCCTCCTTAAGGCTGTTGTCGTCCCTTGGGCCCGTAGAGAGGTGACCGTGGCATGGCCATCAATCCAGTCCGAGCAGACTCGAGAATGCCGAATGGTCCGATCAGCTTGAGGAAGGAGTCAATTCGGTTTGGCTTCGCGGATCTGTGGGGAAAGAGTTAGTAAATATCATGTATAAGATGTCTGTGGGTCTGCCTTACATCTCGACAATGCAGCTGCTGTTGCTGATATCCAGCACCTTGCCTCCAAACTGGTGCGCAAAGTAGGTGATGCTCTTCAGATGCTCATGCTTCAAGCGCAGGGCCTCGCTGGGTGCCAGCCGGCTGGGGTGGAAGTCCTCCGATGTTTCGCCAAGCGAAGGCGTATGATCAGAAGAGGTCACTCCGTCCTGAACAGCAGTGCCCTCACCCTCAATCTCGGCGGTTATCTCGCGGGTGAGCCCACAGCTCCTGGAAGTACTCGGGGCCGAGGATGTTGATCTTGGCGAGGAGCAGCTCCCTCTGCACGAGCGCCGCGCTGGTGTAGTCGAGCACGGCCCAGACTGGGACCAGATCCTCCAGCTGGCGGCGCGCCTGCTCGACGACGCCGTCCTGGCCCGTCAAGACGATGGTCATACGCGACAGATCGGCGACCTCGGTGCTGCACACAACCAGGGAGTCGATGTTGAAGCCGCGGGCGGCCAGGATACCGGACACGCGGGACAGGACACCAGGCTCGTTCTGCACCAGACAGTTCAGGATGTGGCGCTTCGGAGGGGCCATGGATGGCGAGGGGGTCTCGTAGAGGATGTTGGAGACGGCGGCCTGGGCCGACCACGCTGGGGGCGCCTCATTGGTGGGCAGAGGAGCTTGTCGACGGCGCAATGCCTTATAGGCGATGGCTGAGGTCGAGGAGCTGGAAGAACTGTGGCGAGCGGCCATGGCGGGCATGGAGGTGGCTGCGGCAGGTTTGAGCCTAGAGGCTGCTGCCCGCCATTGCGACAGCAGAATGCTTCGGGGCGCCATGCTTTCGATCAACCCAGAGGTGGTCTCTGAGAAGAATCGATATATGGCTCTCCAAGGCAATGGAGCTGCGAGATCAATTGAGATGTGTGGCCGCCAATTGAGTGTCGTTTGGTGTTGAGCTCTGAGTCAACGTTCTGGCCGCTCGGCTGCGTTGAGGATCTGAATTAGTTCGGCAGACAGGACGACATCGGAGGGACCCTGGCGGGCTGCAAAGCTTCCCCAGATCGTCTTAGGCTAACAATTTTCATGCTGTCAGCGTTGCCCACCTACCTTACCTACCCCCTGTCAAGTTTCGCGGGACCGAGAAGCACAGCTGTCAATCGAGCACCGGTGGCATCCACCTGTCTACATGGTGCTGCAACCGATCAGCAGCTCTGAGCTCAACCACCATTCCCGAGATCCCACGATCACCCGACCATGCTTCACACTCGACGACCCACGCATTCTTACTCGTAGCCCCATGGCACTGATCGTTACCGGCAAATCTCCAAAACCATGTTCTCTGCCATAGCGACTGCTCCGGCCAAGCAGTCGGTGGGCGAAACGATCTCCGTCCTCAGCGGTCGTCTGAGCTCGGCCACCCTGCTCGAAGACCGGCGCGCCGCCATACAGGGTTTGCGCAGCTTCGCAAAGGACTACCCGGCTTCTGTCGCTTCCGGGGCTCTACGGAGCCTGATCGGGTGTCTGAGCAATGATGGGCAAGATGTGGACACGGTCAAGGTGGTGCTTGAGACCCTGCTGATGCTCTTCAACCCCAACGAGGGCAGCCCCGAAGCCTCAGAAGAAATCGCCTTGTGGTTGGCCGACGAGTTCACCCAGAGACAAGAGAACATCACGCTCCTGCTTGACTTCCTAGAGACGCCTGACTTCTACGCGCGATTGTACTCCCTACAACTGCTCATAGCGATCCTTTCTGCTCGAACAGAACGCACCGAAGAATGCGTGTTCACCGCGCCCCTTGGCATCTCGAGGCTCGTGGCCATACTCGACGACCGAAGAGAGGCTGTCCGGAACGAAGCAGTTACCTTGCTCATCTACCTCACCCCCTCAAATGTTGACATACAAAAGCTGGTCGCTTTCGAAGATGCCTTCAAGAGAATATTTACAATTATCGCCTCGGATGGATCCCTCTCGGAGGGCGGACAGATCGTGGAGGATTGCCTGATATTGCTGGCAAATTTGTTACGATTGAATGCTTCCAACCAAACCCAATTCCGCGAAACAGGATGTGTCCCTGAACTGGCGCAACTGCTCCAGAGCGCATACAAGCCCCCAGAAGACGGGGAGGAGGTGGCGCCTTGGGCACAGGCACAGCGTAACCGGAATGTATATGCCTTGCTTGCAGTCATCCGCCTGTTTCTCGTTCGCGGTGCGGTTGGCACCATGCAAAACCAGAGCGCTTTCTGGCAATATCATCTTCTGTACCACGCCCTGCAACTTGCCTTCAGCCACTCCGCTGAGAACCCTATCAAGGCCGAGGTACGTGCTGCCCTGCCCTGTATGTATCCTCACGTAGACCTAAACATCATGGCGGTAGGCACTCGTGACATGCGCCGATATTATCAGAGCCAACCCAACGCTCCAAGAGAATTTCGCGCAGCTCCAAGTCCCCTCGCCACTTGAAAGCCCGCAGGATGGACACGGTGCCCAGGCCAACGGTGTCCCCAAAATCTATGTTATTGACGGCCTTTTGGATCTCACCCTTTGCGTTCACAGTTTACAGGCCTTCGACATCCGAATGGCAGCGTGCGAAACCTTGAAGGCCTACTTTTTCAACCACCCCGGGATTCGCGAGCATTTCCTTCGGCGAGCCATCGAAGGGCACAAGTCGGGAACCATCGAAGCCGCGAACGTTTTGACGACCTTGCTTCGCTCGCCAACCGAAGAATCGACAGTGGACCCTTATAGACACTGGTTTGCAGCGTGCATAATGCTGCATCTCGTTTTCGAAAACGCGACAACCAAGGAGCTTGCAAGACAAGTTACTGAGGGCAACGAGGCCGAAGGGGAGGAGGTAGTGACTAGCATTCAGATCATCACGTCGCATCTGATAGGCAGTCTCTCGCGAAACGACGATGAGCGCATCACTATAGGGTATCTAATGCTCCTGCTCTGCTGGCTGTTCGAAGACCTAGATGGCGTGAACGAGTTGCTAGAGGAAGGTAGCAACGTCCAGCGCCTCATTCAAACTGTCGTGAAGAACAGCTCCAGCGAAACACTGGTTCAGGGTCTCTGCGCCATGATGCTTGGCGTGGCATATGAGTTCTCCACGAAAGACTCACCAATACCACGAGGCACTCTGCAACCACATCTGATGTCCAACATGGGCCGCGACAGATATATTGATAAAATGAGCAAATTGCGGGCTCACCCTCACGTGCGGGACTTTGAGATGATCCCGCAAAAGCTTGATCCTTCTACCGGCAAACTTCCCGAGGTCTACTTCGACGAGACATTCGTCGATTTCTTCAAAGACAACTACAGCCGTATCTTGCGGGCCATCGATAGAGATCCAGGGATGGAGATTTCAGTGGTCACGAACGGCGTCCAGAAAGGAATCTCTCGAGAACTGGTCGACTCGCTGCGGTCTCAGCTGGATGAGAAGGAGAAGGCCCTGCAAGGATGCCAGGCGAGCCTCGCCCACCTTGAGCAGCAACTTGGCCAGGAGCGCGCAGACACGAGACGTCTCAAGGAAACCAGCTCGGTCGAGCTCACGCGGATAAAATCCGTCAACGAGAGCCTGCAGAGGAACCATGAGACCGAAATCCGGCAGCTGCACGAACAATTCAGCGCGAGAGAGGCCGAGCTTCAGAGACACGTGGAGACAGCGCGGAAAGAAGGCGCTTCCGAGATCGAAAGGCTTCAGAAGAAGGCCGACACAGCGCAGAAAGAGGCGGCGGCTGAGGTAGAGAACCTTCAGAAGAAGGCCGAGGCTGACCTCAAAACGAAGGCGGAAGAGTACGAGAAGCAGCTCCGACTGAAGGAGGAAGAACACCAGAAGCAGCTGGCGTTGAAGGATGAGCAGCGTACCCGTGAGGTCGAGGAAGTCCGCAAGCAGACGCAAGAGGGCCACAGGCGCAGGCAGTCCGAAGCAGATCGGTCATCTAGGCGGGCGGAGGCAGAAAAGGCTGATCTGAAGGCCACAATCAGCAGGCTCGAGGTAGACCTTATGAAGGTAACTTCTGCCCAACTGACAGCCATCCTTGGGCTAGATGCTAACATGTTGTAGGCAAACAAGAGCAAGACACAGGAAGCATCAGCAGCCAAAGAAGCCTCGGAACGTGCTGCTAAGAAGGCTGCTGAATTGGAGAAGAAGGTCAAAGATCTTGAATCAAAGACCAAAGAGGTAAGCCACGCTCGTGATTATTTGACAAGGATCGTGCTCATGCTAATTCTGTCTCTAGGCCGAGGCACTTGTCAAGCAGAAGGATACGGAGAAAGAGTCTACGCAGGGCGAGCTGGACGACATGCTGATGCTTTTCGCTGATGCTGAAGAGAAGGTCAACAAGTACAAGGAGAAGCTCAAGGCATTGGGCGAGACCATCTCAGACGACGAGGACGATGGTGAGGACGATGAAGAGGGGGATGCAGATGAGGACGAAGATGAAGACAACGCAAAGGAGGACGAGACGTCGGAAAAGGGTGGGAACGACGTGGACTAAAACTGTTCACCCTTGAATCCCTTGCACAAGCGTTGGCCCAAAGTCGAGTCCCGGGGTTCTGGGAGGTCTGCATTTGCCGCTGGATATCCAGACGAGTTCATCTCTCGCGGCTCAGAAGGTTCGACGGGATTGTGAAAGCGTTGCACAGCCTGCGATGAGATTATGTAGCATGGTTATCAGCAAGATGAGGTGTATATAGCATTTGGGGAGCAAGCCAGCTATTGGAATTGACAAAACAACATCAGAACATCGCGCCTACTAAAAATGGAACGGCCAAAGGACATGATGTGACCTAGATCGGAAAAGTCTGGTGGTTCACGAGAATTGTTCTTGTAGGGGAGCTTTCTGTTCGGCACGACCCGTAAAACTTTCCCGCATGCAGAATTTTTGGGGTTGCAGGCTTGCAGCACTTGAATTTTTCGCTCGCCCGCCGTACTTACAACGCTGCGTGGATGTTCACCTGCGAAATCTACCTTGACATACATACACCCCTTCACCTACTTCGATTTTTAGCACGTGTTCGGACCCTGTAAGTTCCAACTTTTCTCAAGTGCAACGGTGCCACTGCCTTCATGATTTTTTTTTCAGACTGATATCAGAAGAGCCGGTTAAACAGCGCTAACAATCTCTGTAGTGCATCAAGACGGTTCAGAAGAAAACAAGGAGTGTTTTGTGCTCACCAGAATCCAACTCGCACTGCACCATGTCAAAAGAGGCAGACGACATTGCCAGCGGGTCCGAGGGCTCTGAGGGATGGGACGATGTTGACGAGGGCGTCGACGAGGAGAGCCTGGAAATCGTCTCGCTCCTGGATGACAAGGTCTTCCCCGATGCGCAGTCTATGCTGGAGCATCTCAAGAGCAGCTTCAACTTCGATTTCGTGGCGGTGCGCGACCGGCTCGGCCTGGACTTTTATGGCAGCATCAAACTTGTCAACTTCAGTTCGTTGTCTGCTCAAGCTCTTGTGTGACTCTCCAGCTAACGCCGTCTCCCAGTCCGAAGTACCGTGAAAGGCGGCAAGTCTCTGCCAGACCAGATCACTGAGGCGGATATCGAGGATGACAAATTCCTGATGCCTGTACTGCCTGACGATGCGCTCATCATGTGTCTGGATGACCTGCCGTCTTCATCGGATGTTGCAGATGGCAAGGGCAAGGCTCCAGAGGGTGCATCGACAACAGAGAACGCTGGCGACGCCGCCAGCAAGGACGCCTCACTGCAGGCCCAGCTCGACGAGCTCAACAAGCAGTTCGCCAACTACCGGCTTGCGGTGGAGCAGACCCTTGACAAGAGGTGGCATGCCGACGATGATGGCTCGTCATCGCGGTCGTCCGCCAGTTCGAAGAAGGAGAAGAAGGATGAATCAGCGTACTACTGGGAGTCCTATGCACACAACGGTATGCTGCTTTCCTGCCCTCACAGAACCAGGCAGACCTTGAAGTCCTAACAGCATGACAGATATCCACGAGACCATGTTGAAAGACACCGTCCGCACAGAGGGCTACCGAGACTTCATCTACAACAACAAGCACCTCTTCAAGGGCAAGACCGTCCTGGACATCGGGTGCGGGACCGGCATCCTGTCCATGTTCTGCGCCAAGGCCGGGGCAGCACACGTCTACGCCATCGACAAGTCAGCCATCCTGGACAAGGCGAACGAGAATATCTTCAACAACGGCCTGTCGGACACCATCACCTGCCTGCGCGGGCGCGTCGAGGACATCGTGCTGCCGGTCGACAAGGTGGACATAATCGTCTCGGAGTGGATGGGCTACGCGCTCCTGTACGAGGCGATGCTGCCGTCGGTGCTCTACGCCCGCGACAGGTACCTCAAGCCGGACGGCCTGCTGGTGCCGTCGCACACGACCATCTTCCACGCGCCCGTGTCGGACCCGGAGTACGTCGCCGACAACGTCACCTTCTGGCGGGACGTGTACGGCTTCGACATGAAGGCCATGCAGGAGGGCATGCTCAAGGAGGTCAGGGTGCAGACCATGCCGGCCGAGTCCCTCTGCGGCACCGCGAGCACGTACGCGCTGGACCTGTACCACGTAAAGGTCGAGGACCTCACCTTCAAGACCAGCTGGGGGAGCAAGCTCACCAGGGACGTGGACAACGTGGACGGCTTCCTCATCTGGTTCGACAACTACTTCGCCGCGTCGCGGCAGGAGGGGCCCGAGCTGATCGAGGCGCCGGCCGACGACTGGGAGGCGGCCCGGAAGGGCGGCAGCAACGCCTTCACGACCGGCCCGCACCGCAAGGAGACCCACTGGAAGCAGGTCCTGATGCTGGTGGAGGACAAGGACGGCCATGAGCGCAAGCCTCTCAAGGCCGGGGAGCAGATCGAGGGCACCCTGTCTTACTCTGCGCCCGAGGACCACGCGCGTGGGCTGCTGATCAAGGTGGAGTGGGACGGGCTGCCGAATGCTGAGAAGTCACAGGTCTGGGCTCTAAACTAGTGATTGGGTAGATTTTCCTCATTGGAGAATATATAGGCCATAAGCACCCACTCAAGACGCAAGACCAGCAGAGGTTCAAGGGTGCCCTGTGTTGGCATGGAATTCAACCCAACACACCCGTGGGACAAGCGCTTGTCACATGCGTATGTAGAATAGAACAAGCCGTGGCATGCCAGGAGCACAGAAAATGCCAATTTGAAAATGCCTTGATCCCCCCGAATCCAGCATTGCGGACACGTGCAAAGCTGGCTATGGGAATCCCGCAGGTCTTCAACATACCGCCCACAGAGGCTAGGTGGGCGTGCATCCGGTGACAGTCATGTTCCCCTCTCTACAAGCTTTCTGGTATGTACGAAAATGCCAAATGCCTATGCTATATGAAAAGGGGATGAGAAGCTAGAGAAGTGAATATGAATCCTATCCCCTCCTCGCCTCACAGATGCGGCACACCGGCACTCTCCATGATTAAATTGACAATACTCAAGAATCCCTCCCCAAGAATGAAACCAGATGCGAGCACAATCAACGGCGTGTCTTCCCTCGTGCCCTTCTTCCTCCACCACCAGGCCACCAGTCCGCCTACGGTTCTCGCCAATGTGAAGCTGGGCACTGCATTTTGTCAGCTGCGTTACTCCAACCATGCTGACCGATCGCAGAAGCTTCACTTGTGGATGGATGGGGCAGGAGAGGTAGGAGAAGCTGATACATACCGTTATACATGCCCACAGCCACGGCAATTCCGCCAGGAACGAGGTGCTGCCACCTCTTATTTGTAGCATAGATTCTAACCATGGTACTAAATGTGAACAGCACCGCAAACGCGATGGCCCACTCCCTGGCCATGTAAGGCAGCCCCTGGCCGGTGACCAGCCTCGCGGTGAAGATCCACACGTAGGCGGTCGGGACCTGGAACAGCGAGCCCGGGATGGTGTACACGGCCGTGTAGAGCCTGTAGATGAACGCGCTCACGACGGCTCCTACGGTGGCGCCGACGACCTGGCCCCAGAACTGGGCCTTGGGCGCCGCGCCCAGCAGGTGGCCCGTCTTGAGGTCCTGCATTAGGTCGCCAGCCTGCAGGGCGCCGGCCTCGGAGACGGCACCGGCGACGAGGTTGATCAGCACCGAGGTGGGGTGGGACTGCGGTACGATGAGGGCGAAGAAGAGCTGCGCCAGCTTGGAGATGCCCGACACGGGGTTCAGGTCCGTCTCGCCCAGGGCGCGCACACCCATGATACTGAGTACGAGTGCCATCAGTACCGCCGACACGGTCGCATACAGGGGCACCAAGTCCCCGAAGACGATGTGGATGCACAGCACGCAGAAGGCAATGGACAGCGCGAGCCCAATGATCACCGTACGGTTCGAGATCAGCTGTGAGGCTGGGGCGTCGTCCTGGTCGGCCTCGGCGAGGAGGTGCGAGATGGACGACTGCTGCTGGTGGTGGTCCTGCTCTGGCTGCTGGTGATCAGACGAGGGGCTGGGCGGCGGGAGGTCGTCCTCCTGGGGGCTGAGTGTGGTGTACCCCTGATGACGCGGCGGAAGCAGCTGGCTGAGGCTCGTGTCCCCATTCTGCCACCGGCGGTGGAAGCTGGCGCCGGCTTTGGTGAGGCGCTGGAGCAAAGGACGCGAGGCGAGGTAGCCGAGACTGACGACGGCGTCTGCGAGCATAATTGCAAGCGAGGTCCATACGATCCAGCCCTTGCTCCCGTTCTCCCAGTCGCTGACCTTGCCTGGGGCCCAGCCTTGGTGTTTAGCCAGGGGTGAGAGTATGCCCCATCCAATGATTGCACCGAGTAACTGCCGAGCAGTGTCAGCGCAGAGATCCGAGTGATGCTCTGTACATTCCAGGGCTTACCATATGAATTGTAGTCGCCGGTCCCATGATAATACCCTGCCCGACATAAGCCAAGCTCGGGTTCAGCGTCCACAGCCACGTTGAAGCTGCTGTTACGCCAAATATCGGCAGATCTCTCAAGATTGGGAAGAAGTAAGTCGCAAAAGTGTACAGCCCCGATATGAAGAAACAGGTCAGTAACAACCTGACGTTGGCCTTCCACTGCTGCCTCCGAAGATCTGCGCCTTCTTCCTCATCAACAGCATGTACATTCCCGTCTTGCCCGAGACGCCCGCCGAAGCCCTCGGGCACAACATGCTCCTGGTGGTGATGCTTAGGGGACGAGTCATCCCTCACCAGCCCCGTCTTGCCATGCAGCACACTGATCAACACCGCAGTACTGAAGCCGCTTGGGAACTTGAGCTTCTCCCGGATGATGACCTGCCGCCTCAGAGGGACGGCAAACACCACACCAAAGTAGCACAGCCCCAGGGACCAGACGACAAGCTTCCAAGTGCTGAGGTCGACGGGGCCCTGCTCCTCGGGCTTCAGGAGATACTGCATGGCGGGCAGCACGCCGACAAAGCCGCAGCCGAGCGGCATGATGGCCATTGACCCGGCAACGGTCTGGACGAGGACGTTCTCGACGGGCGAGAAGGGGAAGGCCAGGTGCCGGGACAGGGTCTTGAAGATGCCGAAGCCCATGAGCGAGGCAGGCATGGTCATCATGGAGACCCAGCCGGTCTGGAGGCCAAAGTACATGTTGGAGAAGCAGATGACGAGCCCGACCAGGAGGCCGGCAGCGATGGCGCGGAGGGTGAAGCTGCGGCCTTCGACGTCGAGCCCTGGCTTGGCCACCCTGAGAGCCGGTGTGGGTGGCGAGTGGTCTTGGTCGCCACCTCGAAGCGCGTCTCCCTCGTCAGGAGGCTGTCGTGATGAGAGGGCATCGTCACCTTGAGCGTCATCCTCGGACGTGCCAAGGCGGTCGTAGCCGGAGCGGTCTTGACCCCTATCGGGCGCCATACCTGCTGCAGTACGCGGAGTTCTCGGACCGCGAGTTGACAGGTCCAGCAGCTGGATGCCTAGACTTGGACTTGGACTCGGAGGGTTCAAGGACAAGCCTCTAGAGCCCGGAATACTGAGTGACGAGATTCAGGAATGCAGCAGACCGTGTGCCATGAGCAGATCACGGCGCACGGCATATCATTGGGGGAAGGGCCCAGACAAAGAAGCGATCCCGGCAGGTTGGATCTTCCCGTGACCGTTGCAACCGGCAGACGGCGACGATGATGCCATGGGCCCGGTCCGATCGGGGTGCGAGCTTATGTAAGCCGTCCCGTTCAATGGGATGCCAATGGATGCTAGTCTGCTCTGTACTGTTGTGTCGTCCACATAGCAGCCTGGGGTAGACTGGCAGAGCTATGGAATGGTAAGGATCCTCCGGCTAGCCTAGACGAAGGGGAAAGAGGGCAGAAGAGACAAGAAGGCTGGCAGCTCCGATGTCTGTTCTCGCCGTCTCGACGCCGTGCACACGACAAGCAACGGTCCGGTGCCCAGTTCCCAGTGTCGCGTTGGACCATGGTGTGGGTCTGCTGCGCCCTGCCTGCCTGCCTGTCCTCGCCCCCTGTCAGTGTCCTGTCTTGTTGACGCACGCCACCGACGAGAACCGCTTCGGCTCCGGCTCGGCCCAATGCAGGCCGCGTTGCCTTGCTTGACCGCGTCTGCGACCCGGACTGTGACTATGGCCACGACTATGACTAGCATCGAATGCTGTAACTTTATTACAGTATAGATCGCAGTCACTGTCACGTACGTGCGAGTCCCAGTCGCAGGCCCAGACTCCCCACAAGCTTAAAGTCGCGACGGCCAATTCCCGGCGTTGCTGTTACCCAAGTGGTCCCACTTGAGGAAGCAACGTCTCACCTGCGCCCTAGGGGCCCCAGCGACGAAATCCCCTCGTGCCCGAAAACTCGTCGTTGCCCCCCGGCGAGAAAAAATCTCTTCACCTCGCCCGCGAGCTCCTGCGCCCCTGCTATTCCCGGAAGATCGCTCACCCCCAGTCTGGCCATGCGCCACTTTTCCAGTACATCGATGCCCCTTCTGGCCCGTCCGCGTCTTCTCATACCTGCAGATCTTGGCAGCGTGGTGTGGGTTCCAACCCCGCGAGGCAGGCCTCGACGCGCGGGCTACTGCAGTTGCTTGTTCGCTCACCTTGGGCAGCTTGGCTCTTGGGATGCCTAGGCCATCGCAGCCCGCCGATTGTGATGCCTTGAGCCGTGAGAATCCCTGGGCCACCCTTTCGGCCATCCCGTCATGGAATGGGAAATTTTCAAAGGAAGAAGTCTCGAGTGAGGCACGCGACTGCTGGCAGGGGGAGGTGAGGGCTGTTGCCACGAGTGTTGGTGCCGGCCTTGGTGATGATGTCCAAGGTCACACCACGCCAGCTGCAGACGCTGCAGCATCGCCAACACTGATATAAGACCCCGCCCCGCAGCCGAGTTTCTATGCGTACAACATTTTGCAAATATCTCGATAGATCATCTAGATTATTACCTTCGCTAAACCCCCCATTCGTCCTCGGACCTGCTCGGCCTGGCCCAAGTGCCAGTCTAACGAGCCCCAGCTTCAAGCTTCGTATCCACCAGTCCACTTCCACGCGCAGCCACCACCCTGTCGTTCAGGCCCGTCCCCGAGAGACGGGGGAAAAGCTTTATCACTGCCTGCCACCCGGCCTGTCTCGCAGTACATAATTGTCACACCACTTGGACAATCTCTTGCAGTCACCCGTATATGCCTGTTCTCTCGTCTCGCCGTCCAAGTGCTGCTCTTCGCCTGCTCCGGCCGACTCTGCCCCCTGAGGACCCTCTCTGGCGGTAGCTTTGGCTCGACCTCATCCGGACCGGACAATTGTTGGGATTGGTTCTCCACCGGATCCCACACGGGAAAGAAAAACACCAGTATCAACGTCATTCTCGTGACTCACCAGGTCGCAGTTTATTTGGGCACCGGACTCCCACTGCTGGAACGGATCCCAGTTCCCGCATACCACTCAGGAGTCGCAATCGCACGGCACACCCAAGGACAGAGCTCAGCATGGCCAAAGCAGACACCATAGTCGCCGCAGGGCGCGGCGATGCCAGCCCAGACCCGGAGAAGCAGTCCATTACCGAGGCCTCTACCCATGAGCTGAAGCGGGAAATGTCAGGTCGTCACCTGCAGTTTATCGCCATTGGAGGCGCAGTAGGCACGGGCTTGTTCATCGGTAGCGGCGCTTCTCTGGCCACAGCGGGTCCTGTTGGCTGTCTGATTTCGTATATTGCTGTCGGGACGATTCTTTACTCGGTCATGACCAGCCTCGGCGAGATGGCGACATATATCCCGACTGCTGGCTCATTCACATCGTACAGCGCTCGATTTGTCGACCCGGCTCTGGGCTTTGCGATGGGCTGGCTCTACTGGTTCAGTTGTGAGTCTAGAAACCCCATGTCACCCATGGCCTGAGTGCCATCTTAGGCCGGATGCGGGCGTACGACTAACGTGCTTCAAGGGGCTATCACATGGGCTCTCGAGTTGACCGCCGCCGGCTTGATCATCCAGTACTGGAACTCCAGTATTAGTATTGGCATCTGGATTGCCGTCTTCTGGGTTCTCTTCACGGCAATCAACTTCGTTCCTGTCAAATTGTACGGCGAGATGGAGTATTGGTTTGTCTCGATCAAGGTCATTACCATTATCGGATTCCTCATTTTCGCGGTGCGTGCCAATCTGCCCACGCCCATGAATTCCTCCTGGAGCCGGCGGGCAGTGTCTGAGGGATCCCTGCGCCTTGGGGAAATCCCTCAACACACCGGATAAGCTCTGGGGACGCACTTGTTAAAAGGTTACTGACAAACTTGAGCAGATCTGCATCAACGCAGGCGCAAGCCCCCAGGGATATCTGGGCTTCACCTATTGGAAGAACCCAGGCGCGTTCGCCTCGTACGACGAAAACATGGTTCCGGCTACCGGCAAGTTCGTGTCATTCTGGAGCGTTCTCGTCACGGCGGCTTTCTCGTACCAGGGTGCAGAGCTCGTTGGCGTTGGCGCGGGGGAGGCTCGCAACCCGCACAAGACGGTCCCGGTTGCTATCCGGAACACCTTCTGGGGCATCCTGTTCCTATTCGTCTCCACGATCTTCTTCCTCGGCATCCTCGTTCCGTACGACAACCCTGAGCTTACGAACGGCAGCACCAGCGCCGCCGGCTCCCCGCTCGTCATCGCCGCGAACCTCGCCTCAGTTCCTGTCCTGCCGGACATCATCAACGCCGTCCTTCTCACCGCCGTGCTCTCGGCGGCGAACTCGGTCGTCTACTCCGGCAGCCGTATCCTCGTGGGTCTTGCAAACGAGGGCCACGCGCCTCGATTTCTGACCAAGACCAACAGCCACGGCGTTCCTTACAACGCCGTAGCCTCCACGTCGGCGTTCGGCCTCCTCGCCTTCCTGAACCTCTCCCCCTCCGGCACTGACGCCTTCAACTGGTTCCTCAACATCACCGCCGTGGCAGGCCTGATCACCTGGGCCAGCATCAACCTGTCCCACATCCAGTTCCAGCGCGCCATGAAGGCTCAGAACATCCCACGGCATTTGCTGCCGTACCTGGCTCCGCTGCAGCCTTACCTGGCGTGGTACGGCCTGTTCTTCAACACTCTGATTGTGATCACACAGGGCTTCACCGCGTTCATGCCCTGGAACACGGTGGACTTTTTTACGGCATACATCAGTGTCATTCTATTTGTAGTACTTTATGTTGGGTACAAGGCCGCATATCGGCCGGCGCTTGTAAAAGTAAGCGAGGCTGACTTGCACAAAGGTCGGTTACAGACCGCGGAAGGGGTGGTTATTGAGCAATGACTGCACAGTAAAGTGCATGGTGTAAAAAAGGTGTTGGTCACGCGGTTTACAGCACAGCGACAAAAATAATTTAATACGAGATAACAGATATCGATTCAAAAGAACCCAGTCTCCATGTCTTACAACACAAGCGTGATGGTTGCTGCAACAACCTACTGCAGTGTCACCACCTTGTGCAGTCATCTTCCGCATCATGAACTGGCGTGGCTCTACGAAGACCAACGATTATCCTCACCCCGGCTCAACTACCTTAATAAGCAGCAGAGACATGGCATAAGGTGTAATACAGCGAGTATTGCCTGATCTGTCTGAGTCCACGGGTAGGTATATCAACGTTTCTGCCACCATGCATACATAATCGTCTTGATGATTTTGGCGCGCATGGAATACATGAAGCCAGCCTACTTTGGTGCTTGTGATTGTTTGGGGATCCATAGTAAATATGCCCTCACGGCGCATCCCTTGCCTTCCAGCTCTGCGCAACACTTGCCATAGTCTCAAATGTGATCTCCCCTCCGCTGGACTCAGCCATCTTCACCAGCCTCCCAAGAAACCTGTCCACCATGCCGACGATGTGCGCTCTCCCAGCGCTCTCAGGGTGCCAGATCAGGGGATATATCGACCCATATCCCACCCCAGGCCCCTCGTCCAGGAACGACTCGTTCTCCCACAGCCAGTCGAACCGGTCCCACCACATCCTCTCGACAACACCAGTAGCAACATAACCATGCGTCGAAGCCGTGTACGGATAGAACCCCAGCGGCGTCATGTCCTCCGTGTACCATGAAGCGGGGACCTCGACCAGCGCCGCGGCCGCCTCCGCCGTCCCGGGGAGCGGCTGCGCGGGCAAGGGTGTCGGCCGCATCCACGTCGCCGCCGGCTTGCTGTAGTCGGGCACGTGGGGCACCTCCTGCGGGAAGGGGCGGGGCAGGAAGTAGGGCAGGGAGTCGTGCGCGTTCATGCTGCTGTCGTACAGGAACCCGCGCCGCTGCAGCAGGTCCACGGTGGACTCGCGGATCTGGTACAGCGGCGCGCGGTGGCCCAGCGGCCGCTGCTGCTGCCCGCTGCCGCCTTCGCCCCCGCCTCTGCCGCGCAGCAGCCCCGTCGCGAGCTCGGTGCACCGCTCCAGCACGTCGTCCTCCTGCTCGGGCGTCATTGCGTACGCGCCCTCGTGGCTGTAGCCGTGCAGCCCTATCTCTGCGCCGCTGGCGGCGATCTCGGCGGCCCTGCCCGGGAAGGTCTCGATGCTATGGCCCGGGATGAACCAGGTCACCCTCTCCGAGATGCCGTGCTTGGCGAACAGCCTCAGCAGCCGGGGTACGCCGACGTTGGCGCTGAGCAGGCCGGCCGAGTAGTCCGAGAGCGTGTTCTCGGGCGTGTGGCCCGTCCCGAGGTAGCCTGAGAGGGCGTCGAAGTCCACCGATAGGCATATGCGCATGCGGCGTGGCTTCGGCTTGGTTGCGTCCATCGGGGGCTATAAGGCACTAAAGGCTCTGTCTGATGTACAGCTTTTGTATGATCCCTCGTAAGGCAGGCAGGCAAGCTTCTATCATAACATATCGCGCTTGGTTTCGATGACGCCGTGGGGTCTTCTGCAGCACGTTGAACTGCTGTGGCAGGGGTTCACGGCGGATGCGGAGACCGTCTTCTGGATCGGCCCAAGGCGGAGCCAGCTAACAGCCCAGCAGATGCCCGACTGAACAATGTATTTGATTGCCGGATTTGTTGACATGATTTGATAGCTGCTGGCATCATTTCAGTCTGCAAAAGAAAGGCTCATGAGCCTGGCGATAGCAAAAGAACTTTGGAATTCGACACTGTGCTTACATTTGTGAATCCGACAGCTCACTGCTCGTTCTGCCTTGCATGCCATGAATCGACACCTGGTAGTCTTCTCCAACGGATCTAGAAATTGCATTGGGCAAAAGTGAGTCTTTTCTGGCCAATTACATATCATTAGATGCGAACAGGGGAGCTGACCCGGAAATGATCCCAGCCTTGCCATCATCGAGCTGAAGCTGGCACTCAGCCAGATCGTGCTCAATTTTGAGCCGGGAGAGGCCATGGAACCCGAGCTGGAGTATGAGGAGTACTTGGGTTTGACGGAACCCAAGGGACCGGTTAAAATTACTATGCGTGAAGGATAGTGAATGGGGTTTCTGCCAGCCGCTTTGAGGCAGTTCGATGTCTGCCTCCGTCGTTTGCTGCTGGACGAGAGGTACTGCAGCAGCTTCAGGTCCAGTAGGGCTGACGTTGAAGAAATGTGAGATTAAATGCATGTGTAGTGATTCAAATCGCAGCTTTCAATAGCGCTATAAAAACAAACAAAAAGCCTGTTTCCTTGTTTCGTGGAAGACTACACACAGGGACTGCTCCACGCAGGCAACCACCCCGTCTGCATGAGTCCCAAGCATCGCCCACCATCAGCCATCCTCACTCCCTTCCCAATGCAGATACCGAAATGCATGACCCCTATTCCAACCAATTCATTCAGCAAGGCCCGAGACATATCCCTTGAAGAATCCAGCACCGATTCACATTCGCCAGAGACCGAAGCACGGGGTGAAGACCGGGATCATCGCAGCACAAAGCGTGTAAGCTGATTGGCCAATTGCCGCCGCCAACCCCCCCCCCCCACACTCGCAAAATAGCAAACCAGCCAGACCCCCGTGTGCAACCCGAAGCCACAGCAGGGTCAACAACGACGCCGTGAGCATTTGACAGGGTCTCATTCTCTGTTTCGGTCTAAATCGCGATCATTTGATTCCGTGCGTGTTCCGTGTGAGGTCGCACGATGGTGAGCCTCCAGATCGTACTTGTCCTACCGCTCCGTTCAGCCGGGGCCCACAACAGCGACATCCTCCGGCAGGGTCAGGACTGGAGATCATGGCTCCAGGGGGAGGTGGGCTCTTCCAGGGAAGCAAGAACACACTCTCTTGGGAACCTGCATACGGTGGTGGGGAGCAGGGTTGGGAGGCTTTGCATGTGAACTTGTAGGCGCAAAGTCTCTTCGACCCTAGAGCATCCAAGAATGAGTGGCGAATAGCGTTATTGAGCCTGCATTTGTGCTTCTTTATGTACCTAACCCACTAAACAGCACTGCAATGATTACGAGGAACGCTGTAAACTGTACGGTATGGGTGTGTAGGTTGCTTAGTTGCTAATTATGCTTAAAGGGCAGTGCCTTTAGTGTTTTGGGCTGCAACGCTGCTTATATAAGCAGCTGCTTACTCGCTATTTATAAATCTATATTATTCCCTTTCTTAAATAAATTATTCTTAGTCTTACTATATAAATTATATCCTTTAATAAGGAAAAGTAAGATATATGCTTAATATTTAATTTATACCCTTATTAAATAATTATTCCTTTTTATTATTATAATAAATAATAAAGTAATGTAATAATAATATACTTTTATTTATTTTAATAGTTTGCCTTTTAATTTAATTGCTTTTATGGAAATTTATTAAAAAAATAATAGCTTTTAAAGAATAGCTTTTTAAATAAGGAAGTTTTAAGTTTAACTTTTAATTTAGCTAATTTCCTTTTTATCTTTCTTTTAATTAATTAAGTAAGGAAAATATAAATTGCTTAAAAATAAGGTATTTAGTTAAGTTAATAAAATGTTAATAAGCAGCTAATAATAATTAATAAGCTGTTATTTTTTATTTTTAATTAAGTTATATTAATTAAGCAATTTAATTATAATTATATTAAAGCATTATTTTATTAATATATTATAAGCTTTTAATAAAATAACTATTTATAATATATATTAAGAAGAAGTTTATATTATTATATATATTTTTAAGTATAATGCCGCTAAGGCTGCGGAAAGTATAAGTATTATTAATATAATAAGCGGTAATAACCTAGGAATTATTATAATAAAGCTTATACTTATAAGCATATTAATATACTTATAAAATTTAATTATTAAAAGTAAATATATATAATAATGCTTTATTTTTTTTAGAAAAATGCTTAAATTTAATTATAAAAGGCTTTTAGCTTTATAATATAGTTTTATGCTAATAAAGCCTTATATTTCTTAATTAATTATTTTATAAAATTATTATCTTTTTGCTTTATAAGTTGTTATATATAAGTAATATAAGGTTTATACTTTAAAGGTAATAATATATTAAGGAAAAGGAAATAAGGGTTATACTTACTTAACTTTAAAATTTAATTATATAATATAATTACTTGTTATATTAAAGCTTAAATATCTTAATTTAAATTAATTAATTATTTTTATAAGATTATATGCTTTAAGTTTTTATTAGCCTTCTTAACTTTATTATTACCTTTTAGCTTAATTAATATAATTAAGCATAGCTTTAATTTATATTAATAATATTAAGTTAAGGCAGCCTTATTAATAAAGTAATTAATATTATTAAAGATTTATTTATTAAGTATATTAAAAATATTAATAATTTTATTTAATAATAAGAAAGTGTTTTTAAATTATTAATTTAATATAACTTTTGCCTTAACTTATTTAATAATATATTTAATAATTATTAAAATTAATATATTATTAATTAATATAAAGTTAATAACTTATTTTATTAATAAAGTTAATAATATAATAAGGTTAAGGTTTAATAATATTAAGTTAAATATTTTTATTAATTAATACTTTATATATTTAATAATAACTTGCTAAATAATAAAAGTAATCTTAAGGTGTTAATACTTTTTTAATGCTTTTTAAAGGGTATTATTAATTATTAAATAGCTATATATTAAATATAACTTCTTTATAATTATAAATAAATTATTATACTTTAAAATTAATAAAAGGAGTATTGCTTTTAAAGTAATGCCGGCATTATAAAGAGAATTACTAAGTTATTATTTATATATATAAATCTTACATAGCTATCCTTAAATAACTATAAAGTACTTCTTTATTTATTTTAAGTTAATAATAAAGGGAATGTTATGGGTTAGCCTTGGGTTGTTTGCTATAAGGTGTTTAAATAGGGTTTATATTTAAAGTATAAAGGAAAAGGTTTACTTTTTATTTATACTTATATTAAAGCCTATTTTTATAAAGCTAAAGCTTATTAATTAATTATAATAAGCAAAGCTTAAATTATAATATATCCTTTTTTTTAAGTTTTTATAATAAGTTTTAAAGGGTAGCTATATAATAAAAAATAAAGAATATTATAATTTAATTATAAATTAAATATTACTTTTTACTTAATTATTTAATTATACCTTAATATCTTTTAATTACATTAAAAGCTTAACTTATTATTTATAATTAACATACCTTAGCCCTTATAATTTAATATATTAATTAAAGCAAGCTAATAAGAAATAATTATTTAAGTATAAGCTAGCAGCTAAATTAATAACATTTTTATAATCCTTTAATATAAGCTTTTTATATAAGCTTTTTTATTTAAAACCTTAAAATTATAAATTTATTATATAATTTATAATTAATTAATGCTTAATTATAAGTAATTTACTTTATTAATAAGGATTTTTTAAATTTTAAGCGTTTTTATAATATTAAATTAACTAATATATAATTAACTTACTTTAAGCTTAAATTAATATTAAGCTAGTAATGCTTTTAAGCTTTACCTTATAAAAAAAATTTATACCCCTTTAAATAAACTTCTTTTCTTTATTAATCTTAATTAATAAAAATTATATCTTTATTTTCTTATAATAATTAAAATAATTATACTTATAATAGCTAAATTAATTATATATAAAATACTTAACTTTGCTTATTAAAATTACTATAATATTATTATAAGCTAGCCTTAAGTTATTTATTATAAAATATTTAAATAAGGTTTATATTTAAAATATAAAGAAAAAGGTTTATTTTTTATTTATACTTATATTAAAGCTTATTTTTATAAAGCTAAAGCTTATTAATTAATTATAATAAATAAAGCTTAAATTATAATATATTCTTTTTTTTTAAGTTTTTATAATAAGCCTTAAAGGATAGCTATATAATAAAAAATAAAGGATATTATAATTTAATTATAAATTAAATATTGCTTTTTACTTAGTTATTTAATTATATTTTAATGCTTTTTAATTATATTAAAGGCTTAGCTTATTATTTATAATTAATATACTTTAGCTTTTATAATTTAATATATTAGCTAAAGCAAGCTAATAAAAAATAATTATTTAAATATAAATTAATAATTAAATTAATAATATTTTTATAATCCTTTAATATAAGCCTTTTATATAAGCTTTTTTATTTAAAACCTTAGAATTGCAAATTTATTATATAATTTATAATTAATTAACGCTTAATTATAAGTAATTTACTTTATTAATAAGAATTTCTTAAATTTTAAGCATTTTTATAATATTAAATTAATTAATATGCAATTAATTTACTTTAAGCTTAAGCTAGCATTAAGTTAGCATTGCTTTTAAGCCTTACTTTATAAAAAAATTTTATGCCTCTTTAAATAAACTCTTTTTTCTTATTAATCTTAATTAATAAAAGCTATACTTTTATTTTCTTATAATAATTAAAATAATTATGCTTATAATAATTAAGTTAATTATATGTAAAATATTTAACTTTACTTATTAAAATTATTATAATATTAATATTTATTGCTTTATAATGCAATTATAAAATCTTTTACTATATTAAAAGGGAAAGGGATTTATTAATTACCTAAAAGGCTCTTTTATAGGCTTATTAAGGGCATAATAAGCTTATTATACTAAGCTTTAAGGGTATATTACATTACTTTACTATTTTAAGATTAAGTATTATTTTTCTTTATTATAGCATTAAAAATACTTTTATATTATTATAAAGTAAAGCAAAAAGCCTTAAATATATTTAGCTACTTTTTATAATTAAGCTAAACTTTTATTATAAAGGTTAAGCTATTAATTATTAATAATATTTTATATTTATTTAACTAACTTTAAGTCTTTGCTATATAAGTTAATTAATTAAATTAAATAAGAAATTTTACTATTTTTTTTTATAATATTATTATAATATAATTAAGCTAAGCTTAATATGCTTTTACTTAAAAAGGTTTTTAAATATAAAATAAACCTTTTTTAAAAAGCTTTTTAATTATTCTTTAAATATCTTTATAAAATTAATATAAAATAAAAATTAATTATAAAAAGTTCTTAGCTAATTAAATATATAAAAAAATTAAGCCCTTTTAATATTAATTACTTCCTTATTTATTATAAATTTAATCCTTATCTTTATTAATTAAGTTATTAAATATTTTTAAAATAAAAATTTCTTTAAATAAAGAAAAGCTTAATAAGCTATTATTATTCTTTTTAAATTTCGCTATATTAAGTTTTATATAATTATATTATAAGTTTATAATATAAGAAAACTTTAAATATATATTATAAGCTAACTTTAAGTTATTTATTATAAAATATTTAAATAAGGTTTATATTTAAAGTATAAAGAAAAAGATTTACTTTTTATTTATATTTATATTAAAGCTTATTTTTATAAAGCTAAAGCCTATTAATTAATTATAATAAGCAAAGCTTAAATTATAATAAATATTAATATTTATTACTTTATTATTTTAAAATTAAATATTATCTTTCTTTATTATAATATTAAAAATGCTTTTATATTATTATAAAATAAAGTAAAAGGCTTTAAATATATTTAATTATTCTTTATAATTAAGCTAAGCTTTTATTATAAAGGTTAAGCTATTAATTATTAATAATATTTTATATTTATTTAATTAACTTTAAGTTTTTATTATATAAATTAATTAATTAAATTAAATAAGAAATTTTATTATTTTCTTTTTATAATGCTATTATAATATAATTAAGTTAAGCTTAGCATACCTTTACTTAAAAGAGTTTTTAAGTATAAGGTAAACCTTTTTTAAAAAGCTTTTTAATTATTCCTTAAATATTTTTATAAAATTAATATAAAATAAAAATTAATTATAAAAAGTTTTTAATTAATTAAATATATAAAAAAATTAAGCCTTTTTAATATTAATTATTTCTTTATTTATTATAAACTTAGCCTTTATCTTTATTAATTAAGTTATTAAATATTCTTAAAATAAAAGTTTCTTAAGATAAGGAAAAGCTTAATAAGTTATTATTATTCTTTTTAAATCTTATTATATTAAGTTTTATATAATTATATTATAAGTTTATAATATAAAAGGACTTTAAATATATATTATAAGCTAGCCTTAAGTTATTTATTATAAGGTATTTAAATAAGGTTTATATTTAAAGTATAAAGAAAAAGGTTTACTTTTTATTTATATTTATATTAAAGCTTATTTTTATAAGGCTAAAGCTTATTAATTAATTATAATAAATAAAGCTTAAACTATAATAAGGAAAATTAATTTTTTTTAAAAATATTTAAAAATTGCTTATAAATTTACTTAATTAAGCTTATAAAGATATTAAATTTACTTAAGTAAGTTTCTTTTTTTTTTTATTTAAAAATAAGTAAAGTAAATTTAAAGATTATATTTTTAAATAGCTTAAAAAAGTAATTAATAAAAATATTAATTTTATTAATATTATTATAAGTTAACCTTAAGTATTTATTAAAAGGTATTTAAAAAGAGTTATAAATTATAATATTTAAAAAGTAAGTTAAGCCTTAAAAAGGCTTAACTTTAAATTTATCTTTTAAGTATATGCTTTATTATATAAAAGAATTAAGTATAATATAAGCTTAATATAAGTATATATTATAGCTTAAATAATAGCTTAAGCTTATTATATAGCCTTTTTTTTACTTTTATATTATATATAATAAGAATTAAACTTAAAGCTTTTATAATTTTATATTA